CCCCGAGTGTGGAATTTATGTCTATCGACGACATTCTTGAGCTCGCGGCGGGGTCTTAGTTTGGATTCCTGCTGCATGTGGAATTAATGTCTATAGCCGAGATTCCGTAAGGAGCCGAATGCTGTTACCACGCTTCCCCCGAGTGTGGAATTTATGTCTATCGACGACATTCTTGAGCTCGCTGCGGGGTCTTAGTTTGGATTCCCGCTGCCTGCGGAATTTATGTCTAAAGTAGAGATTCCGTAAGGAGCCGTATGCTGTTACCATGCTACCCCCGAGTGTGGAATTTATGTCTTTATGGAGGCTCTTTCAGCTCAAGCCAGAACCGCATTGATTCACATAATTCATTTCTTGTTTAAATTATTCCTTTATATTTTCCATTTTGTTGATTTTTTTCTCTTTCATAAAGATTCATTATAATTTTGGAATTTTCACCCGCTTGTTGCTCCCGACCACCTAGATATGGCCTATTTTTTATTATTGGACGATGACCATTTTGGGACCAACAAAAAACCTGAAGATGGGAAAAACAACTCCCGAAGCGGTCATCACCCAATGGTAAAAAGTAAGACAAAATTTAGAGAGCGGGAGCTACAAGCAGGTAAAGACTACAAATTTTGTTTATTATTATTTTTTGTGGGAGGTTGAAAGAACCGATCAAGTCCATGGCATCTTTCGCTTCAAACGAAGACGAGTCAATTTGAATGTGGTGAGAAGTTATCATTACTTAGTGATGATAATAGCTCGACACAAAGTGAAACCTTCCCCGCCCTTCTTTCCTTCTGACGAAATTAGTTTCTTCTCAGAACTTATTTTTGAAGAAATTATCAATTAATATCTCTTGGCTCTGGTAGCTGAGTTTAGGGATACCTTCGAATTTCAAGACGGATAATTACTTCACAGAACTTGATTAAGATCATTAAAGGAACTTGGGCGGGTTTTCACATTGCAGTGAGAGAGACTCGATGAAAATGTATACCTAGACCGTTAAGTGTCTAAATAAGTAATTAAAATGTTCAGCGCAAAAATTCATGCAAGCTATTTTAACTTTCAGCACTTGTTATTTCGCCGTCGCTTTCAGCTCCCAAGTCTGCATTCTTTGGACTTACTTAAAAAAGTAGGGAAACATTCTCCGAGAAAAACTATGCACGGAAAGAATTACGGAGCCCATCAAACTACCCCCCCCCCCCCCCCCCNGCCCAGACCTTCTCCTTTGTTTGCTACTGTTTTACGTAAATGAAAGTTCATTACCAGACAGCTAAGTTCGATATATTACTACGCTGACAGAATACCCGAGTAACATTATTCAACGGAAAAATCGAAATACGGGAGGGACTCAAAAAAACCGAAATTTTGCCGTAACTTAGCAATATATTGGAAAATATTCGGGTTCTACCACCGTGTAACTAGGAGCTATATCGCCGGTGAAAGTCGGCAATCACATAACGACGGTGAAACTACCAAACCACGTATCTCGTTTGCGGTGTTTAAAAATCTACGCTCGCATTTTATTTTTTTGAAGTAGACCAAATCAATATCATTCCTTGAAATTTTCACAGAATTTTCTCCGCACGAAGAGGAAAAATCACAGAAATTTTCAAGACTGGACGTTGAGTAGTTTTTCATTTAAAAAATAAAGTATGACAGGAAGTCTGCGACGTCGCAAACCGAGATACGTGGTTTGGTAGTTTCACCGTCGATAACTCGTTTGCGGTGTCTGAAAATCTCCGCCTCTACGTCAATTTCTTAAAGGAGAACAAATTGACAGTATTGCTTGAAGTTTTTGCAGAATTTTCTTCGCATTGAGAAGAAAAATCATGACAGTTTGAAAGAATTGCCGTTGAGTACCTATTTTTGCCATTTAAAAAATGAAGTATGACAGGAAGTCTACAACGTCGCAAACCGAGTTATGTGATTGCCGACTTGCACCGTCGATATGAAGGAGTCAATGTAAAAAAAATACGGATAAGACGAAATTTCGCAATTTTGACCCGTAACCATAGCCGGTTAAGACGAAGAAAAATTTCCGATTTTCCCCCCTGAAATTGGGTAAAAACGACAAAAAAGAGCCAATTCTTGGGGAAAATAGACTTAGTTTTACGTACCTTGACATAAAAAGAGTAGGTTGAGAGTAGATCGTGGGTATCCTCTGTTTTGCTGGATGACTGAGATGCAATCGACAGTTGACGATAAACCGATATGCGTGTTTTAAAAAAAATTCAAAATTTGGATTTCGTATGGTATAGAATATAGAATTTAAAAATTTAAAACTGCTTCCAAATTTTGGCTTATGCCAAAAAATTTCGTCTTAAGCGCAGTTGCCGCTTAAGTATGCCGAAAAATTTCGTCTTAAGCGGAGAACGGTTAAGACGAAAATCCGCTTTTGACGAAATTTTTTTCGGTCCCTTCATTTATCGTCTTAACGAGCTTTTACAGTACATGGACAGTGGTGGTTTAAAAATGTGTGAAAAGCAAGTTCTAATTTCTGTATGGAGGAAAAATTTTACTTGGTGTTTAGGTCTTTCATTTTTCAATGCCCTTACTTAATTGCATTGAAAAGTAAAAAATGTCTCAATTTCGCCATACCTATATGGCTTTTATTTTGCAGAAAGGCACCAAGAGCATTCCAATGTTGCTAGGATTGTGCAATCTACATTCTTTGCAATAAAATTACTGAAATTGTGTGCAAAAAATCAAATTTTCCAAGGTAATTTCCGTCTTGAATTTATAGTATATTGGGATTAATGATAAGACTTATTTAGATGATCGGTTTATTTTTGTGAGGTAAAAAAAGTTGCCCAATCTTAGCAACATTGGAATGCTCTTGGTTCTCTCTAGCAAAATGCAATCCATATGTTCTCCTTTCACATTAGTGCATTTGAGGAATTTTTTACCTAAACACTTTTTTGCCTTGATGAAACAACAAAAAATTAATCTTTAAAAGAGAATTATTGAAACGAAACAAAGGGCACTCAATCAATACCTAAATATTAGAAAGGAAATACAAGAATAAGGCAACCTCCCAAACCAGTCCTGCTGGTCATCTTTTCTGCAAATTTGAGTGATAAACTTGGAACTAACATTGTTTTGCAAGCTTGCAGCAAGTTCGATATCCACTCATTGCTTATTCTGAAAATTCGCAATCCAAACCTGAAAGTTTCTCTTTTGCAATCTTGCATGGATATGCACGCTAGTTTCAAGACTGCAATTTTGCTGTACCTATAGAAGGTAGTTAGAAAGCTGGTTTGGTGGCTAGGTAGTACTTAGAATTCACCTGAGCCTTGACCTCTACATAAGATCATCTTGAAATACCATCAATCTCTATGATGAATAAGCTCTCCATGAAAATGACCAAAATCTGACAAGGCTCCTTGTTTGCCTTCATTCTAACAAGGGAACTCGCAATTAACGTGACTGAACAAGTATATTATTTTATTCTCTTCTGCTAATAATCCCATCATATGAGGACAAGGCGCCTTCATTCTAACAAGGGAACTCGCAATTAACGTGACTGAACAAGTACATTATTTTATTCTCTGATGCTAATAATCTCATCATACGAGGACAAGGCGCCTAAGTGCAGTTTTTGCGATATCGAGAAATGCGTGTTGGAAATTTCTAAATTACATGGATCCTTAAGGTGTAGAGAAAGTTCAAACTGATTTCTTGATGCTTAAAAATTGGAATTTTGGAGGGAATTTTTTGCAGAATTCACATCCAGACTAGTTTTACTTGAAATTATTAGTATCTCAATTTTTTCAAAAACTGCACTTATGCGCCTTGTCCTCCAAGCTCCTCATACGTGCTGAGCAATAGTGACCAGTATTTTAACAATTTCTGTTAATTTTTTAAAGACTTCGCTGAGAGCGCTGAAAACTGCTACAAAGGACACTCTCTGTAGCAGATTGAACAAGTATATCTGTTTTTGGAACGAGGCAGGAGCCCTAACTTTTAGAGACTCCAGTTTGAAACAAAAGAGGGGATCTAGAGGTGGATTACACTTCAGTCACACTTTCATACATTAAGAAAAGGGTGTCTATCAGAGTCTAATTTGATTTCATTTGGTATTGAAAAAGAAACCATGAGCTCATTCAGCTCTGATTTTATCACAAGATATGTATATGAAAACAAAAGGTAAGGTGGTTTTTAAATTGCATTACTGGTAAAGAAGCATGGTTTTCTACCTGGAATTTGTTAAGGAACTGGATAAAAAGGAAACTTGAATGAGACTTTGTATTTTTATTCAGTTCAATTCATACCTCAGAAAATTGCTCAAATGGGTTCATATTACAGCTCAAGCTATGCAGTGATTTAAGAAAGAAATTTTGACATGTAAAAACAGGGTTTCACAAATACCCCTTGTGACTGATAAAACTTAAAACTAACCTTTCTAAAAAAAAAAGAAGAAAAATACATGTGCCTTGACGTTCTTCCGCATTCATTAATTATTGAACTATTTGAAAGTTCCTTTCAAGCTTTTTGACTGAATTTTGCTTAACATCTAATCGAACACTGACAAAAAAGGAATGAATCAGGGAGGAAAGAACCTATAAACTATAATGTTGTAAGAGGCAAAACTGTCATGAATCAGAGGGTTGATTCATGTTTGTGATCTCAATTAATTATTTTTAGAAGAGGAGGTTAAAAAATTGAACTGTCGCCTGTCATACAATCAATACTTAACCTATGTACACAAGGAAACTTAAGAGTACTAATTCCATCTTATCGCTTGGGTCCTTTGACAAAACACCAATCAACATTTATTGTTTGACCCAAAATTTCTGATCCGTCTAGCGCTTGTTTAGCAGCTGAAGCTTCTTTGTAAGATTCATACTCGACTAGTGCATACCCCTGTAAATGACAAAAAAGAATATGATGGGAAAATTCAAAATTCAATTTCAAAAAATTTAAAAAAGGTAAATCTGTCAATCTACACATGCCTAGATTTACTGGGTAGACAACCTAGGCAGTTGCCAGGGAGCAGCATATTTTAGGAGCAGTACATTTTGCAGGAAAGAAAAAAAAAGGGGCCCTCACAATTTGTTATCAACCTTCTCAAAGTATCAGTTACATAAGTAAGATGTGCCACAAAATAGGTCAAACTTGCTCTTAAAGGACATCATGTATTGATAATTTCCCAAGGAAGGCCCTCTGGTCTACAATTAGTATCAACATAAGTTTTCTCGCCAGAGCCATTACAGGGATCGCAAAATTCTAGTTGCCACAGAGTGGCAAAAAGTCAAATCTAGGCATGATTTAAAAAGTAGGTATGCGTCATTTTTCAACTTCTTTGTAAATACTTCACAAAAAATCAAAAGCACTTTTCACTTAACTAACTTAATGTATTTAAAGATGTTACACAAGAATAAACTGCATTCTGTTGATGAAAAATACTCCTTATCATCTTTTCATCTACAGCATAAGAATAATTATTGCTAATTTTCCTGTGTGATATTTGTAAAACATTGACGATCCTGAGTTCATGTTAGATTTTTATTATCTTTTTGACACACTGCAAAGTCAACAACTTTTGTATTTCCCAGTTTTACAGATATTTTTTTTTCCCAATCATCTGGGTAGGTAGGATGTGGTGGAAGATTGAAGGAGAAAACATCTTTCAACTTTTTATGAGATCATCACTCAAGAGTTTCTAGATTTTTAAACACTGATAATTGAAAACGACAGGAGAAAATACAAGAAAATACCTGATGATCGAGTATAAATAATAACACTTCCTTAATAATATAATGGAGCTCTTTGTAGGAAGATACGAAGGGACATCGATAGAAAGGATGGCAACAAGAGGTCTTCCATGAAATGAGGGAAGATCACCTTCCTGAAGAGCTTTGGGAGGAAGGAGGACTGTGACAGTTAGATGTTACAGAGCGCTAGAGAGCATTATGAGAGCGATTTTTGCGGATAAAATAACACTTACTAAGGAAGGTTAAGAGTTTTCAAGAAGGCTTCATGTTTGGGCGGAGTTCATGATTCTGCATTTTCTGCTCCTGTGTTTGAAGGATTTATTCTCCAGGGAAATTGCAAGTTACAGCCTATTGAGGCAAAAATTTTGACCACTTGGAAATATAATTGATTGAGTATAAGAGACAATTGAAAAGACAAGTTGAAACTTACTTTGAGAAATCCAGTTCTTCGATCTAAATTCAAGTGAAGGTTCTTGATTTCACCAAATTCTGAAAATTTATCATTGATATCTTCTTCCTGAGCTTCTTCATGAACTGAGGTCACAAAAAGGATCCAACCTTCAACAGCTGAAAAAATTTGAGAAAAATTTCAGTTACTGGTTAAATGTCTACAAAACCAACAGACGGCATGAGAAATAGCTAGGTATGGCTGAATAGCCTTCATAAGCAAGAGTATTTTACTACTCATGACAAAGCTGATATACTAACCAATCAGTCAATTGCGATACTTTAGAGGCAAATAATGAACACTGAATTGTCGTCAAGATCACAGACATTTCTCAAAGGGAACTGACAGCACTCTTGCCATTGCTTCCATGATTGCTAGTACATTAGCAGACCAGGAAAATTACTGTCGTAACTAGGATAGGGTTTAGCTGGGAAAACATCTTTCAAGTTGCCAAAAATCAAGCCTCTTACAAATAGAGGAATATTGCGCCAACAAGTTTTACGGCACTGAATCGCTTACTGTTTGTTTCCAGCATTATCCGACAGTTTGTCATGTGAGATTTTGATCTGTTCCGAAATGTTTCCTGCTCATGTTCACTTTTGATAGTGTGTCGATATCAATGAATTGTAGGTGAAAAATTAAAAGAACAAAATACTTGCCGCAATGTTTCAATTACTTCTTGAGTGAGTGCAAAATGTACGGCAGTTGTGATATTAGTTTAATTACCCAAGACCCAGTGTGGTTGAAACCATGGGCCTTTGCTTTAAACGTCAAACAACAGTCCAATAATATACATACATTTTGTCGCTATCCTCTGTTTTGTAATTGTTATTCCATTTAAAAGATGAAATTGGCTTACTTGAGCTCAGAAATGAGTTTCTTCCCTACATATGTTTACTTTGGATGCACGTGTTTTCACGACAATTCCTGGTTGCAATAGCCCCATTGATGACAATAAACTAAATGAGCAGGTAAATGTTTAAAAACAGATTAAATCATACATACTTTATTAAAGTTGTAAATAGCGGTCTATTCTACTCCTGAGCAAGTTTTATCCTTGCATAAACAAAAACATGTTGCTTGATAGTGGAAAAGATGTGACGGTGAAACGGAGACAAAAAATGAACTTACATCTTTGAGGACCTGGTTCGCGATCATCATCATGGCGATCGACTGATTCGTACTTTTGGATGTGTTCTCTAGCCGATTTTTCTACTCCAAAACCTCGACCTTTACGCCTTCTTGCTTTCTCCTTGAGTTTCGAAACCCTAGCTGTTTAAAATTAAAGAAAAATAAAGAGGATGAGCAAGAACTGAAGTTACAGAGTGATTATATCAGAATGTTACCTCCCAATGTCTGAACCATTTCATTTGTTACAAACACTCCTGTTACCTTGTACACAGTTAGGTGAGAGATGGTCGATGAAAATAACACCATTGTATGGGCTAATTTAGACCAAAATTGAGGTGAGCTATTCCTAACTAAGGATGTAGAGATCTAAAGTGGGTGCTCGTTTGTTGTAGCCATGGACTAGTCGCACATAGCCAGAATTGGAATACCCACACATTCTTAAGGAAATATCCTGTCATTCTTCGCCTGAACTCTTTTCATGAGGATGGAGGGAAGGGTTCTCATGGATGGAATGAATTGATGACATGATTAAATATATATTCGAAAAGGTTTATCTCAAATTACTTCTCCTTCATGAAATAGTTGGAGATATTATCAGCTAAATCAGCTCATGCTTACATTCCATTTGCAAGCAACCACATTGCAGTTGTCCAATGGCGATCAAGGATTGACTACGCTGGCAATTGGGCCCCGGTCAAGGTGCAATGCAATCCCTTTGGAGCGGAAAGTGGACAAATGCAAACTTTTAATTGAGCTTACTATGAAGGTCTCAGATGGCAGGGAAATCTAGTGTGATTGACCTTCAGAGATACACATTCCCCACAACCTGCTATTTGGTCTATGATATGGACTAGTCCATGATCTATGACCTCCATCGGCTGGCTGGAAGGTTCTAGTGTTCTCTGACATGAGCAGCAGATGCGTCCACCCACTTAATATTCGGAATCCATACTACCAACCTTCCAGAACATACACCTGGCTTAGCGACTCCTAAAGTTTGTCTTTAAATAACTGGCAGCAGCATGTCGGCTAAGATAACTATCAATTAGCAGTAATGGAGCTGCAAACTGACTAAGCAAAATAGAGTAGCGGAAGCAGCTACATGAGGACTAATGTCAATAGCTGTGAAGATCTCGGTGTGAATTTCAGCGAATACCCTTAGATATAAAGAGGTTTCACGCAATTTTACAACTAGTATCGAATTTCAAATGTAAGATAATAAGTAAGTGCGGAGGAGATAAAGAACGTACCATCATCTTCATCCATCTCGATGTCATCATTGTCGATGTCTAAAACGTCTGCCATCGTTAAAAGTTGACCGTGGACTTTAAACCACCAGAAAATTTGCAAGGGCGTATGAATAAGAGGTCACGGAACAAAAATGATGATTACTTTCAGTGTTTTAATGAAATTTTGGACGCTACACGGAAAAACGAGTGAATTTGTTGATTATTTTTCCTTCTTCTTCTTCATTTTGACATCAAACGCTGAGCATCCATCAGCCATCAATGAAACCAATATGAAACCTAACCTTTAATAGTTGGCACATGGCACTGTAAACATTTGCGAATCAAATTTTTCAACTTTGTTTCCAATATCTTCTTCATTTCAAGCATTCGAAAAAATCGTAATGCACCTTTTCCGTTAATTCATAAGTTTCCCTCTGTCTCTAATGACATAAATGTCAAGTGTTAGTGTAAGGAATTAAACATAATGTCAAATTTCAAGAAAGTGAACACCAAAACTTTTTCCAAACCTTCACAAAAAGTGACACCAGATTCTATTTATTGGAAAAAACTTGGAGTAAGTATTTGATCTTTAACTACATACATCAGCAAATTCTTCTTTCACATCAACGGTGTAAGTCGGCAATCACATGACTCTGTTTGCGATATTGCAGACTTCTTGTCATACTTTATTTTTCAAACGGAAAACTACTCAACGCCAATTTTTTAAAACTGCAGGGATTTTTCTTCTCTGTGTGAAAAAAATTCAGTAAAAACTTCAAGGAATGATGTCAATTTGTTCTCCTTTAAAGAATTAACATAGAGGCGGAGATTTTCAGACACCGCAAATGAGATATGTGATTGCTGACTTATACCGTCGATATTCCCTTGACTGGTACACTCTCTCCCGATGCCATTACAGTGGCAATCAATTGAGCAATAGTAAACATTATCATTCGCCTGCTTGTGTCTTGGGTACGTAAGACATCACAGCATCCCCCCTCTGGTATAACACAGCTTGAAGAATACTTATGGGCCAGACGAGTGCCCGGAACGCTACATATTTTTTAGCAAATCATCTTATTGTAGTGGAATCGGTTTAAGACTGGCAAAGTCTTTACTGAGCCACATGGAGGAAGCTGGTTCAGAGACACGGCAAGTTGTGAGGAATCACGGATTCCCATGTCAGTGGCAGGGTCAGGCATGTTAGATGCAAGTTTTCGAGGCGCGTTTGTCTATGTCCACACGCGGAGCTTGCGGCGAGAGTGACTCCGACCTCCGGCAATTTGGAAGTCGGAGTAGGGCATGGAAGCTTTGGGCGTTGGCACAAAAGCTTGCGGTAGCTGCTCAAGCAGGGTTAGTCAGCATGAGGTGTAAAAACTCGAAACGACCCGGTCAGCCCCCTGTCAGAGCAGCTTAAGTGTAGTTATAAAATAAAGAAACTACCTAAAAGTGTGGTGCGGTTTTGCCCCCCATTTGTTCCCACTACATTATCTGTGAAAATCCTGTACTTACTAACTGTGATTAGTAACTTGCTCTTTCTAGACCAAGAACTTATTGCTGCGTTCTTGTTGAGAAATGATTATTCCAATCTGGAAGAAAATCTGGTACTTGTGCAGCTAAAATTTCACCAAACTTTCTTTGATTTTCCCATACCATCTGTATCTAGGTGAGCATTCGTATGATTCTCTTTCGGATTCCACCCAATCTTGGTCTCTTTTTTGCGTTTCATGAGTTCTATAGCTCCTTTATAATGAATTTTATGATGTTGCGTCTTGGGGCGCAAAAACTTCCCAACTGCAAAACCGTAATCATGTTAAAAATGAGGAAGCTGCAAGGAGACTGAAAAGCTCAGCTTGCATTGCTTGGAAATAATTTCATTGAAATGTAGATGTCACAGGTACTTAGTCAAATCAGGCATTTTATCAAATGCCAGGGCAGATAGTTAAATTTTGACCGTTAATGACTTGGTTTGAATTAATGATGAAGAGCTCACGAGTTTTCAATACTTTAGAAACATCGACTCATTAAATCTTCGGAATCTCTCTGTTTCTTCCTCTGAAAACGCTCATAATGAATTTAATTATTAAAATTTTAAAAAATGTGTGTATCATGCAACATGCTGTAAATTTCAACATAACTGTTCGTTCAGGAGCTAAGAACCGTTTAAAATATTACTCAATGCCACACATTTTTACAGAGATTTCTTTCTTACATAAGCTATGAATTATTTTGTCTCAAGTCAGCAGAAGAATTAGAATTTCAATCTAAGTAAGAATAATTGACTATTTGCCTAGGCATTTGATAAAATGCCTGATTTGACTGTTTGCCTGGGACACAGATAATGATCATTTCAGAAGTAATTGCGCTCTATCAGGTTTGTTTTCATCCAAACATTAATAAAGTAACATTTTAATCTATTTTCAGGTTCCTGTTTTAGTGAAGGACTTTGGACCTGTGGACTACATTGATTTTTCTCCTGTTGAGCCACATTTTTTTGCTGTAACATGTTCTATGAGGGTAAGTTCATCAGTTCTGACAATACCAATGTTATCACAATATGTAAGAAAAAGCATTGGAGAACTCATGAGTCCATGCAGTGCTGTATGAGTGTTCTTAGCATGGTGATAGATAAAGTAAACAATATAGAACAGTAATATTTAATCCTATATAAAAAATCTAAGTGATCATTACCACTTACGAAACTGTGTTTCTACCCTCAGAGCCAAGGTTTCTCTTGAATCAACCTCTTACTTCAAAAATCTCTGCACATGCACACTCAGGGCCTAAAATGTACATGATTTTACTTTTATAGTACCCTATTTCCTGCTTCATATACTGAATAATATTTTGCATTTGATTCATTTTGTCTGTGCATTTAGGTACAAATTTACAATCCTGTAACAAAGGGTGTAATAAAAAATTTAAATAAATTTCAAAAAGCTCCATTCGGTGCAACATTTCGTTCTGATGGCAGGCTGATCTGTGCTGGCAGTGAGGATGGACTTGTGAGCATGCTGGATGTTAGTTCCAAATCGCTACTAAGAGTTTTTAGAGGACATAAAGCGTAAGTTACCACCAATTGTCATTTCAAACTCTGGATCTGTAATTGAAGTGCCAGGAGGTAGAAAGGCATTTCTCGATTGCGTTATTTCAGATTAGAATATCTCCTAATATTTAATTTTAAGGGAAGTGAATGCATATATTTCATTAAAGAGGTTGTTCCATCTACCATTGAAACTGGGCCCAGAATGAAATCTCCTCATCTTTTAAGGTATCAAAGGGCATGGTCAGGGACACCCAAAAATGGTTGAATTTTTTCCAAATTCCCCCCTGGGGAGGGGGGGCGGGGGGTTATATGAAAAACGGTTTTTTGGCTATAACTTTTGAACGGTTTGAGATATCGATTTGAACTTTTTTTTAAATGAAAGGTCGTTTAAAGAGCTTTCTTTTGGTATATTATGTTTAATAGTTAGGTCAAGTTTTGACCAATTTATGGCCTGTCAAAAATTTTCCATGAGTCCAAAAATCAGATTTCTGTAGTTTAGAGCAGCGACGATCGCATGCAGATGAACAAAAAACTGTTCAACTTATAGCCCTCTCTCTGACGGTTAAAATGAGCCCAAGATCATCTTGGGGAAACGATTTGTCTCCGAGTTATGCTTCTTCAAAGTTGGCGCGGCGGGGTCCGCTTCCGCGGGGCAGCGCTCCGGAGTACGATAGTTCACTCCCACCCCCCTCCCGTCATGCCACGCGACGCAAACCGAGGAAGACTACCTTTAATGATCATTTGAACAGATAAATGCACACAATATACGCTATTATGGTGTACAAGTATTATTAAAATTATATTAATATACTAAATAGAAGAGTGGAATCTCACCGAATTTATCATCACCGCAATCCATAGGATCATCGGCAGTGTGATCCGCATTTTCATCCTCATCTTCGTCGTCTGAAAAGCCAAAATCGACTTTTCTGAGAGGGAAGCACTCGTTCAAAAAGGCTGAAGGCGCTGGTTTTTTGTGATAGCGCCCGTAAAACAAATACGAGCACAAGGATTGATGGTACGCGCACCGTTCTTACATGTGCAGTAACTTGCTTTAATGGCCTCGCTGGATTTTTGACTGGTGTCGATTAATATAAATATATGATATTCTTTTTTTGATTTATGCCTCGATAGGATCCGCGATCGAAGAAAAAGAGGCGAATTTACGGAAATATCATATTTTTGAAAATCTGGCAAAAAGTTATCCTTCGTCACTTGAAAGCAATATTTTCCATCAGCAAAATGGTCTGCAATATGACTTGCTGCAAGTCCAATTTGATAACTTCCCGAGAGGGTGTCAAGATCTTCGCTCCTCCACTGTTCTAATTGTTCAAAATGATCTGTCGTCAGGTTTTCAAAAACTACTTTTTTTCGGAGCCATTTCTCGTCCTCAACAATTTGTTGCACAATATTCGGCTCATTTAATTTTTGGAGCATTTGAATGGCAATTTTTGCGTCGTCACCATCACTTTGCAGGCGTTGAAAATATAAATTATGTATCGCGGACACTATGCGATAGTCGTCAAACAAATTGCCGGATCCAGGTATATTGCTTCTCGTTTTATAGAGCGTTTTCAATATAATTTTAATAATACTTGTACACCATAATAGCGTATATTGTGTGCATTTATCTGTTCAAATGATCATTAAAGGTAGTCTTCCTCGGTTTGCGTCGCGTGGCATGACGGGAGGGGGGTGGGAGTGAACTATCGTACTCCGGAGCGCTGCCCCGCGGAAGCGGACCCCGCCGCGCCAACTTTGAAGAAGCATAACTCGGAGACAAATCGTTTCCCCAAGATGATCTTGGGCTCATTTTAACCGTCAGAGAGAGGGCTATAAGTTGAACAGTTTTTTGTTCATCTGCATGCGATCGTCGCTGCTCTAAACTACAGAAATCTGATTTTTGGACTCATGGAAAATTTTTGACAGGCCATAAATTGGTCAAAACTTGACCTAACTATTAAACATAATATACCAAAAGAAAGCTCTTTAAACGACCTTTCATTTAAAAAAAAGTTCAAATCGATATCTCAAACCGTTCAAAAGTTAGAGCCAAAAAACCGTTTTTCATATAACCCCCCGCCCCCCCTCCCCAGGGGGGAATTTGGAAAAAATTCAACCATTTTTGGGTGTCCCTGACCATGCCCTTTGATACCTGAAAAGATGAGGAGATTTCATTCAGGGCCCAGTTTCAATGGTAGATGGAACAACCTCTTTAAACTGAATATTCTTCATGACTCCACAAGGTTCTATTCTGAAAAAAATAATTTGACTCCTCTCTAAGATAAATTAGTGGCAAAGATTCTAAAACACGGTAACCGAGAAGCGCCTCTCTTGCACCCAGGTCCTCAATTTTAGTTACAGTAGTTATTTCTTGATACCAAACCTCCAAGCCAAATTTGAAAGACGTCTTTTTCTATTTTGGGGAGGCTTAAACTTCAAAGCTTCTTCAATACATGGTAGAGAATGTGATGATCTTATTTTCATCATAAACCAACGTTGAACAAATATATCTATTTAATACCTAATCCTTACCAGAACTTTCATAGCCACCGAGCCTTACATTTAAACTTTCATGTTTATGTATTGAATTTAATCCGTAGAAAGTTACTACTTTAATAGAGGATCCAACCTCTGGAATCTCTTATATTCTAGTTGCCCACGTTATGTTTTTAGAAATGGCAAAATTTCTCCAAATGAATTTGACCATGACTGACTTATTTGGACTTACAATGAGGCGACTTCCAGAAAAACCATAAGAGAGGGGACTGTGGTGGCCAGGTAGCACAGGGCACAGGGGCAGTAGTGTATGTACATGTGACACGACTAGTTTTTATCATTGAAAATTTTTTCGTTTGATTTTTCCCTATCATGTATTTGTATTGCAGTGCAGTTCATCGGACTTACTTCACCTCAGACAACACTCACATTGCCAGTTTTTCTGATGATAAAACTGTGTGCCGATGGGATATACCTACTGAAGCTCAACTGAATTGTTTTACAGAACACAATGTAAGTTTATTCCTCTATTTTTCTCCCCCACTTACTTGATCAAACCGCGAAATAATAAGTCTACCAAAATGTCAAGTTTCCGTTTTTTTTTTTTTTTTTTTTTTTTTTTTTTTTCCTCAACTTGAACTCAATAAAGCTTCATTGATTGAGGCCTTGACGTAACTTAGCTATGCTCAAAAATAATTAATTCTTACCCATCCTATATTCATTTACTTTCAAATGGTCATAATCATAAAGTGTGGTATGTTCACCAGCGAAAATTTATATGACCGGACAACCCACAGGGAAAAGATTTCCTGGAAGACCACCCAAGAGATGGGCACAAAGCTGACTCTCTTCTCCTGAGGATAATTGAAGATTTTACTCTGTCTTCATAGATTTTACGAGTCTATTATTTTTAGTGATTTTCAGATTTTTAATATTTATATAGTTTATTGTGCTCGATACTGGATGGCCTGACAAGCAGAGCTATGCCCTAGCCGTTAGTGGAAGAAGAAGAGAAGAAGATACATATTCATGGTTTTTCTACGGGTCCTAAATCATTTTCTGAGAATTTCATTGTTGGCCTTGTTTATTGCTCCTCAAACCATCTCAATTTTATTTATTCTTATACTTCCTATTGTGTTCGTTTTTGTTTGTGAATTAAGTGAGTAGGTAGTCCTTTAAAGTTAACATTTGTACCTCTTACATTGCAGCCAAGATTTTCCCAATTTTCAAGGGTTTACATCAAATTTTATAAAAGCACCTACACAGTTTTTAAACCAGAGAACTAGCTGAAATAGAAATTAAACATCCAAGAAGAAATTATTGCAATGACTTGGTTTACTCATTGAAGATAATGCGTCAGCAGTGGCATGCAGTGAAATCTTTTTTCGCACTTGCACATCACCTGGCTGTCCTTAGAATCCACAGGTGCGATGAGAACAAATATGGCAAGCTGCAGCTTACCCCACCTGTTTTTTTCTTACTCATGGGCTCAAAGGACATCCAGTAATGTGCAAATGAGGAATGAGATTTTACTACTCGCCCCTGGCTATGATATGAGTCATCCTTCAAAAGAAACGACCAAGTTGATACATGGAATTTTACTTTTTCCTCTAATGTTCCTGAAAATACCATAACTCAATGATTTTAATTATTACTGTCTGGACTGCTTTTGTCCGTACGTTTCAAAAATTTACAATTTTACGAAAAAGTACCAAGTTCTCTAAGTTTCAAAATGTATTTATCAGTATCCTACCTCTAAATATATAGACTTAACTTTGTGTCATGAGTCCATAATTTGAAATCATGTGCTATTGTGTATTTCTAGGATTTCATTCGAGCTGGGGCTGCTTCTCCTGTATCACCAGAGATTCTAATATCTGGTGGATACGATGGCGCTGTTTGTATGTATGATTGTCGAAATAATCAAACTGTGTTTAAAGTTGAACATGGTGCACCGGTTGAGAGTATTCTTGTGATGCCGTCAGGTGGCATCTTTTTGTCAGCAGGTAAGCCATAACTCACATCCACCTAACAGTCAAGCATATGAATTTATAAAATCCATACTGAATATATACATAAAACTTTTCAGTGCGTTAAGTTGGAGGGCCTAGTGTATAAAAAAATTAAGAGATACTTTAGTAATTGTTTAAAGTTTCAAATGTAAATTTTACACGCGCTATTGTAACTTTATCAGTTCAAACGTGGGCTTAAAGACCAAAAATTCAGTTGACATCCTTTTTTTACAGGTAACACTTCAGACAAGTTATATTCAAAATAACCAGTGTGTAATTATTCCATGTATTGAATGTCATGATTATTTTTACTTATACCTAGTAACATTGTTGCTTTTTCAACATGTAATATCAATCATTTATTTCTGTTTAGGTGGCACTGAAATTAGAGTATGGGATGCCTTCTATGGAGGTAAATTACTAACGAAAATCTCTCAGCACCACAAAACTATTACCAGTTTAAGATTAGCCTCTAATGGGAACCGCCTGATGTCTGCATCTCTAGACCAGCATGTCAAAATTTATGATGTATCAAGCTATCGTTCAGTCCATACTTTAGATTATTCCAACGGGATTTTGAGTTTAGGAATCAGTGTAAGTGTTGCCTTTTTATTTATCATGAGCAGTATTTTGTTTGTCACCGTCAGCATCATCCAGGGCAATAGTGTGTCATTGGAGTGAGATGTTTTGTATTTTGTATGACTGATGCCCTCAGAAAGAGGTGAAATGTGTGTGCTGCGGACACAGTTGGTCTCCATTTTTATGTTCGGGGTATGATCATCAGTTCCATCACTCTCCTAGGTCTGATGGTAAAGTGATGGCTAATCCAACGGTTTTAATTGGCTCATGTGGATTAAAATGCTGTAATGGAACATCACATGGAAACTTGAGTGGTAACTTTTTTTGAGTCAATTTTTGAAATTTCTAAAGAGGCACGGTCATTAGTCCAACATCCTGATCATCACTTTGATGGCGCTGATGGCAATCAAACAAATATGCGCGTCATGTCCATCATAATTTGTGTTCCTTTTCTTCGGTGGATCGGATGAAACTCAGCAAGTGCTGAGTGTATGCAAGAACATCTATACGTGTGAAAATTCTTACCTCAAACACTCCAACAACTTATGACTTCATACTTAGGCTGAAAGTGACAATCCAAAATTTGTAAATCTTCAATGCAGGGGTTGGAAAATTCCTTTGAGAATTGCGTCTTAAATTCTTTCTTTCTTTCTCTTAGGCCGCACAGAAATTCAAATAACATTTTCATTTCCTTGCAAGGTTTGAATGTACTAAAAAATGTGTATCACTTATTTTTTATTGCTCATTCACAGAAGAAGGCCCCCATAGTTTGCATTTTTTGCCTACGTGTCTCCAAATTTTCGAGTGGAAACAATATTTCCTGTGGTTTTGACTTTTCTTTAATTTTGAAAAGGCCTGCAGGCTAATTGTTGATATTGATAGACAAAGCTATACACAAAAAAGACAAGAGGGATATGGAGGGATCCTATCGGTGGCAGCGAATAGTTGCAATTGATAAAGGAGGTAGTTAACAGACTAACTAACGGCAGCCCACAAGAGACTCTATAATTAGTTCATAATTTCTCCCTTAGTATACAGGTTCCAACCATTTCAACCAACAGGATGGCTCCATACTCCCTATGTCTTCTTAATCCATGGCTTTGTAGATCAATTTCAACCGTTAACCCGCTGATTTAATACCAGTGGGCTTCGCGGAGCTTGGTAGTCTATACGTCCCTTTTTTAGTGTTCAAAAGTTTGATTGAAATAAGAGGAAGCCCATGATATGAATTTAATGTAAGTATTTCAATTACAATTATAATTCTAAATTTTTTTAGGCGGATGATGATACGGTTGTAGCCGGAATGGTGGATGGTTTGATCTCAATTAGACGGTTTGAAGAGGAAGTAACTCCTGAAAAGCCTAAAAAGAGGAAAGTCTCTCATCGATATTTCAGCGACAAAGTTCACAGTACTGTCGATGAAGTTGTTGAGGATGCAAGTCAGAAAGCTACCATGGCTAAATATGACGTAGCTCTAAGGAAATTCCAGTATTGCAAAGCATTGAAAATCGTGTTAGACTCATTTTGGCATTACAAGTCTCCTCAAAAAGTTACAGCTGTTCTGAAGGAACTTATGAGGTACGTACTCAGACTCAATAAACTCCACGGTATTTACACCAAACCTAAATTATAGTAGTCTTTCATCATATCCCTTGCTTCACTCTAGATCTAATTTACGAAAAGAAAATTTTACCTCGTTGCCATACTGGTCTTCTGAAATGGTTAACTGAAGTTTCTGTGAATTAGGGGTCTACTGAGGGGGTAAATCAGAAAAGTTTGCTTACGGCATGAATCAAAAAATCTCTGTCATCAAAGGAGCTTTAATTCCATATTATCACATGATTTAGTTTTTCATCTCTTCATAAAAGAGATAATGCAGTCAAGTCTAACTTACAGTCATTGTTGGCCTAACAATTTTGGCAGTTATTTTTCGATTGAGCTCACTATTATGCGAACTGACCAATTAAAAACTAGATTCACCACAAATACTATAGGAAATTCATCTTGGATACTTACCCTGTTAAACTGTTCTTGTTCAGTCAAAGGAAAGTTTGCTATCTGAAGATACGGGGTATGATCCATTAGAAACCGAACTTTGGCCATTGTGGGCCAACGGATGATCGGATCGACGTTTTCTTGGGTTTGTCTGATTGCTGATAAACTGACAAACACGTTGGTTTTTATGGATTTCAATTATCTTAACTAATTCGAATTTTACAGCCGTTTGATTCAGGTGTGTTCAAGTTTCTAGTCTGAAGAAGATTGATAGCGGAACTACCAAACCGCAAATCTCAATTGCAGTGTTTGAAAATATTAAATATTTTCAACAGAATACACCGACATTTTTGGAGTATACTAATTAAAGAACAAAAAAGTCAAACAAAATTTCCTGCAAAAACGAATGATCATGCTTCTTTTTGGAAAAGTAAATGTAAATGGAGATTGGCAATATTGCGGACCAAGATATGTGGTTTGGTGTTTTCTAAAGTTGCTGCTAATATTTTTACGAGGTATGATCCATTAGAAACCAAACTTTGGCCATTGTAGGCCAACGGATGATCGGATCGACGTTTTCTAGAGTTTATCTGATTGCTGATAAACTGACAAACACGTTGGTTTTTATGGACTTCAATTATCTTGACTAGTTCGAATTTTACAGCCGTTTGATTCAGGTGTGTTCAAGTGCATGTTGCGATTTTGAGAAATGCGTGAGCTTTTAGAACAACGGTGTAACATTAAATTTTGTTCAAAGTTGGGTAAAACGTTTTCCGAAACTTTTGCACTGTTAACGAGAGTTTATGGTAATAAGTGTTTAAGTCGGACTCAGTGTTACGAGTGGTTTAAGAGATTTAAAAACGGTCAGGAATCGGTGGAAGATGAGGTTCATGGAGTCAAGCCCAGGACGTCAACTGACAAGATTCCCGTGAATCAAGTTCGCGAAAAAGTGCAAACCGACGGCCGTTTAACCATTCGTGAGCTTTCAGAGGAACTGAATATTTCTTTTGGGTCCGTTCAGAGAATTTTAACCCAAAATTTGAACATGCGTAGAGTTTCTGCAAAGTGGATTCCCAAGTTGTTAACCCAAGCGCAAAAAGAAAAGCACGTTTTCATCTGCCAACAGCTGCTGGACCGCTCAAATGCTGATGCAGATCTTTTAAGTAAAAGTGTCACCGGTGATGAAACTTGGGTCTATGGTTATGATGCTGAAGCCAAGGCCCAGTCATCTCAGTGGCTGGACAAAGGTGCCCCGAGGCCCAAAAAAGCACGCGCTTGGGTTAACAACTTGGGAATCCACTTTGCAGAAACTCTACGCATGTTCAAATTTTGGGTTAAAATTCTCTGAACGGACCCAAAAGAAATATTCAGTTCCTCTGAAAGCTCACGAATGGTTAAACGGCCGTCGGTTTGCACTTTTTCGCGAACTTGATTCACGGGAATCTTGTCAGTTGACATCCTGGGCTTGACTCCATGAACCTCATCTTCCACCGATTCCTGACCGTTTTTAAATCTCTTAAACCACTCGTAACACTGAGTCCGACTTAAACACTTATTACCATAAACTCTCGTTAACAGTGCAAAAGTTTCGGAAAACGTTTTACCCAACTTTGAACAAAATTTAATGTTACACCGTTGTTCTAAAAGCTCACGCATTTCTCAAAATCGCAACACGCACTTGAACACACCTGAATCAAACGGCTGTAAAATTCGAACTAGTCAAGATAATTGAAATCCATAAAAACCAACGTGTTTGTCAGTTTATCAGCAATCAGATAAACTCTAGAAAACGTCGATCCGATCATCCGTTGGCCTACAATGGCCAAAGTTTGGTTTCTAATGGATCATACCTCGTAAAAATATTAGCAGCAACTTTAGAAAACACCAAACCACATATCTTGGTCCGCAATATTGCCAATCTCCATTTACATTTACTTTTCCAAAAAGAAGCATGATCATTCGTTTTTGCAGGAAATTTTGTTTGACTTTTTTTGTTCTTTAATTAGTATACTCCAAAAATGTCGGTGTATTCTGTTGAAAATATTTAATATTTTCAAACACTGCAATTGAGATTTGCGGTTTGGTAGTTCCGCTATCAATCTTCTTCAGACTAGAAAATTTGTTTGCCAGGCTAATCAAATGAAGTAAGGAAAAATTTATGAAACTTAGAGGAGTTTGAGAGGTATCCATAACCTTGAGTTTTCTTCAGATTTACCGAATGTTTTCCAAAAGATTTTCAGATAGCTGGACTTAAAATAATGTCAATTTTATGTCTCAATAATATGTATGTTCTGATTTCAGGCGTAAAGGATTCAAACTAGCTCTGACGGGCTGTGAGGAAAAACTGCTAAATCAGATGCTGAAGTTCCTTATCAAGTATATCAGTGATTATCGTTTTGCATTCACCCTCATTAAAGTTGCAGATATTGTTATCGGTAAGAAAATTTTAGCTCTAATGACTGTAAAAAAAAAGTTTTTAGAAGCTTCGATAAATTGAGTAACAATTAACGGGAAAGAATAGAAATTGTTTTTATCGTCATGCAAAGCCTTAAATTTTTGTCTGGTAGTCAGCAGAAATATAATGAAATTCTACCAAGTGCTAAGCACTGTTGTTGATATTTGATCCGTAAACTTCATGCCCCTTGACATGTTCTCCCTTCTTCTTGTTTTTCACAGGATAATTTTGTCATTAAGAACGGTCATGAGTCATGCAAAGCCAAACTCTCTTCATATGAGGGTGCTTTAAAAAGTAAAAATTTTATTCAGAGCATAAAGCGTCTCATGAGAGCGTGAACATTGGAATTTTGAAGGTACATCTTGCCGCACGCTCAAAAACATTTGTAACTATCCGTTTATCCACCTTTAATGTTCCAACTTTTTTTTTTGTGTGTGTTACAGATGTAGTAGAAAATAACTGGGACTCATGCTCAGAGGAGACAGTAGCACTGTTTGATACACTAAGGAAAGAGTTGGTCCGAGAAGAAACTATGACCCAGGAATTGCTCGCTCTTCAAGGAGCCTTGCAGATGATCTTAACAAGCAATGATTACGATGATGAACAAAGTGAAGTCGTGATGCAGAGTTACAAACCTTCCAATGGAGCCTCACAGAACTTTGTAGTTAATGTCTCGTGACTTTTTAGGTATTTTCAATTTTCGTTCTTCATTGTTTCATGATTTCAATACAACAATAAATAATGTTATCGTTCACTCGCCGTAATCAATTCACATGCACTTTTTTTTTTATTTTTGTGTAATCAGTTCTCATGATTACTCAATTTTCGTAATTCATGTGATCTAGAATTACAGTTTTTAGTAGAAGGAAAAAGAACAACTGATATTCACGTAAAAACCGTCCCTTGTCTGGTAATATTTAGAATCTCTATTGACTCAAAGTCATTCAACTTGGAGTTTTCCAATTTAAAAGTTCCGAATGCTGATCAGGAAAAGAAGCTTTGTTCGTGAATGGAAGAAAATGAGATGGTAAAAATTTATGTCATCATTTTTTCCCCTTCTTTTTGCAATGCTGGCAATTTTTTTAAAGAGAGGCTACATAAAAGTCATCCGTAGATTATCTGTTTTTGAATAAGTAAAAGCTTAGGGAGCTTACATACCGAGGTTCGTGTAAAAATTCAATTGAATGAGGGCATGTATCCTGAACGGGAATATATTGCATCCAACACCAATTGATACCAGTATCGGTTGCAATACTTTCTTTACAAGAAAATCCCAACTTTCATTCAGTGGAGTCTGTTATCAAATTTTTTGTGTGAGAAGTATTAATTATTTGATCTAAGATCAGTAACTGTCGTTAATAAATCAAGGGTACTTTTCAAATCACAGCTATGAAACCACCAAATATATGCAATCAGTATCGGATAAAATTTATTCATTTATTATTTGCTCGTTATCATAAATTTTTTAACAACAATTCATTAACAACACTCAATAAAATTCAAAGTACATTACATTTATGATACAGAAACACAAAGAATTAACGTAACAGTATAACAAGATTTTAGAGCTGCTTTTCTTTACTTCTCCGAGTTAATTTTCACTTTTACATAATTTTATCATGTGATGATCTCTAAAGAGAAGGAGATAATTATTTGATGATTTACATAGTTTCCTTTTCTAGGTTGAAATACGTGTTGTAGCAAAAAATTTTGGTTCTCTAAAAAAAATTAAATCAAATTATTTAGAGATTAAATTCCTAGAGCATAGTTAATGTTTTTCCCAAACCAAAGGAAAAATTTCCTTTCAATGTGATAAGCAAAAAAAAAGAGCACCTCTCTAACCGGTGTCGTAAAGTTCTCAACTGCATTAATCATTTTAATTTGGTGAAGTAGAAAATTTTGAGGTGCATACTCTCTTTCTCTTCGTCAGCCTGATTTCAATATCTACTCCGTACAAAAAACTGAATCGAATTGCACTTAATTTTTGAACGATATTAATCGGGGTAAACCATGGAGAAACAATTGGATAATAATTAGAGAGTGCCGGCAGCACAACTGCTTGCACCTCAGCCATTGCATTGCAAACATTTTCACCCCTGTGACTTGCGCCTATAACTTTTTGCAGCAGGTAAAGTTTTAAACTATTCAGAACTCTGCTCTGCGCCTTTTACATGATTTAAACCCTACCATTCAACTACTTATTTGTCTGTTCCTACGTAGCTTTACAAATATCATGAATGAAATCAGTCCTACCAATCTATTTTCCAAATCTCACCAGATTCTCATAGCACATTTTCAGTTTTTCTTTTCAAAGGCTTTTGATATCACATGGGAAACAAAAATAGCTGCTGAGGTAACATTAATATGTATAGGAAGACATTTCACAAAGAAGGCTAAGTAATCAATCAGTTTTGGAAGACTTTAAAAATTTATCTGAGCATTAATAAATTAAAATCATGCATATCTAAATCATAACATATTGATATATACAAATATATTTAAAATTAAATACGTACAGACTATCCTAAATTCTTTTTGGAAGACATGAGAAATGCATTTTGAAAATAATCACGTTGAATGGAAGACTTAAATTTTTCAAAGCTTAAATTCTGTAAATAATGAGTGGCAACAAAATATTTATCTATCATCTACCTTATTATTTACTCATGAATAATGTTTCAATGATTTCGGAAAGAACAATCCAAATATTTATCAAAATTTTATACATATTTTGACAAATGAGAAAAAGCACTGATCAGCTATGGACCGTATTACCAGGAGGGCAGAAAGTTCTTTGCCTTCACATTTTTTGAGACTACCTTACACTGCAATCCACATGAAACTTCGCTACTTACCTTCTCTGCATAATAGAGCGCTTCACATAGTTTCCTTTGAAAAAAGTAACGTGCTAAGTAATTTCCCTCTTGTAAAAGAAAGCATTTCATAGTTTTTTTTTAACAAATTAGCACATTCATTAACAAAGTAGCAAACCAAGAAATAATAGTGAAATATGCCTTGTAACCCATTATTTTTCACCCTTTTCAGGTGTTTACACATTTCTCTTGCGTTGAGTACTTTCTGCACACCTGGTATCTTACATTGATATCTTACAACATTGACACTTGTTCTGTGTTCGCAATTTTATACTTTTGAAAAACAAAATTGAATTTTAAGGATAAAAACAATTAATAATTAAAAAATCAATTCAGTACATAACTGGGGCCTCAGATCATCAAAACTAATCTGCCTTTTGAATTGTAACATACTCGTTAGAGGCTTATATTTATATTTTCCACACTCTCAATTTGGAAACTTTTTTAACTATCTCTTCTGAAAAGTACTTAAACTTGAGTCCTGAAATTTCAGAAAGTGAAATCTTTTTTCACCCTCTTTTTTTCTCTTTTTCTTTTCAACATGGAATTTTAAGTCGATTCTTCCTACTCACAAAAAACTTCTTCCCTATTTTCAGTGGATTCTAGTAACTTCTTAGCTTGAGAAAATTGGGTCGACAGCTTTCAAATTTTTTAGAGCATCGTGTCTAAATTTTTATTGCCTATGTAGGAAAAAACTGTTGGCTCATATTCTGTATCAAAATTGATTGATATCATTCAAAGCTTCTAATCATGACTGCTTTCTCAAACATGAAATTAACATTTATGTTGATATCGTAACTCTAAAATCCAGGTTATCATTATTTCTTCTATCTAGTAATTTGTTTCTTATTGTTACATTAAGCGGGGGGATTTCTTTTTGTTTGTTTTATTTTTCATCGTTTCATATTCTTTCATTAGTTCAGTCAAATTCTGAAAAAATATTAAAAGTCTTTATCATAAATATAAAAATGTATTTAATTGAATTTTCTTTCGCCATTGACTCAGGTTGAATTAACGTCAGTCAGTATTTGGCCTCATAATGCCAAATTAGGATACCTAAATATATGAAAAGTATTTCAGTCAATAATGTGTACCTAATCGTATGTTACGGCCAAAGTTTTGGAATAGGATAGAGACATGATTATCTTAAACCATGTTTGTCATTATCTTTGCTTTCTTCTCTAACACTGACATTTTTCTTTCAACTTTTGCAACAGTAAGAGTTACTTAAAATATGTAAACATTGTTATTTCCATCTGTTTAAGTACTCGGATTAGAAACTTGCAATATTGAAGGTAGGTACAGTAATTAATTGAACCTTTGAAGAGCAATTTCTGATTTTTAATTTCCCATAAAAGGATGGAGTGTATTTATCGATTAACTCTAAAGTTCTCCACTTTGATTCGCTAGGTACTTAAATTACTTGTGGAGCATTTCTGTGTAATGTGATAGCCAATTATGGTTCCATTGGATTTGGACGTAGAATAGACCGAAACATGGCCAGTGGGAGGAAAGTGTTGTGTTCAATGTATAACATCTTATTAATATTCAGGCATTGCATATGTAGATATTACAAGATGTCCATGATCAGATATTTTAAGAGATAACACATACTAACCATCAATCTTAGTCCGATTTTTTCACTTTAGTAATTTATCACGTTAGTGGAACTTTGTCCGTAACATATGTCTGTTAAAACTTTTTTTTTTAATTTCTACTCAACTTTTCACAAGCTACCTAATTTTTTAAACTAGTATGAACGTAGGTACGTGTATGTATATTTTTCAATTGATATCAAAACAAGTGAACTTTAATGGAATACATACGCGGCTAACAAAGTACGTAGGTACAATTAACAAAATATTGTAAGAGCAAAGCTTTGTTTACAAAAAGTTAACTCGGTAATTTATGGAAGACAAGTTTCATATATCTAGCCAGTGGAAGTACATATTACCTACCAAATATTTTTCTCAAAAATAAGAAAAAAAAAATATCTTATCTAAAGTAAGTACTTAAGCGTTTTATAAATGTAATAAAAACGTTTCAGTTGGAAATCATAAAAATTCCGTTTTGTCTAGTCTTAGAGGTACCACTAAAAACATATCTCATTTTGCTGTCTTTTTTTTTGAGGTTTATGGTCAGATTACATTAAAGGTCCCTTAAAATTAGGACTAGTATATTACGAGGGAAATAATGTCAGAGTTTTAACTGTCTAGTTTTATTCTAAATTTCACTACTAAAGTTTGCATTGATCATTGGAAACTTCCTTTTTCTTAGACGGTCTCAGGGTCGGTTTTTTTTTTTTAGTTTTTAATATGACTATGAATTTTTCATAAATTTTTTTATAAGAGGATCACTTAGAAATACGCAGGTTAGCCAATTGCTTTCGATAAAAAAAAAAAATAATTAAAAAGACAAAGCAGGAAATTAGAAATTTCTAGCTATCAAAATTTCTGGCAAAGTCCGCATTCACAATCAGATTCATGAAAGTACTATGATGTCTCGGTATATTATTTGAAAGCAGCAAAATAATCAGTTTTATCATGCGCATGAGGAAAAACCTTTTTATAAAAGTGAGGGTCCTATAAACTCAGCTTTTTTTTCATCAATACCGATAACAATCATTTATGTGCAACATTAATTTCTCCACGTTTTTAAGGAAGAGATAGAAAACCTAAATAGTATCTGAAAATGCACAGATTCGATCCAAACGTTCCACATCTCTGTTTTTGTACCACACTTGGCACCTCTTCATTTCACACCGAAGTGCTTCTCCGCTCTATGACCGTTTCAAGACTTGAAGTAGGTGCCTTTGAAAGAATTGAAAAACGGAAAACTCAATAAAATGACGTTATATAGGTATTTCTCATTACCAACAGTGAATAAATTTGACGATTAGGTCTGCCCTGGAGATCTTTTTTCTAGCAAAGGTTCACCTACAGAGCACAAAAAAAAATGTCTCCATTTATATATCAATCAGTCCGAAAGCCTAAAATCACGCGCAGAACTTTATGATGCAACTTACTGCTGCTTTTATGAATTTTAAACTTAAATTGAGTTACAGGAAGTTGAAAAGATGCAAATTAACTGTGCAATTTCGAAACACAGAATAGAAAGTACCTACTTTCGTTCTCATCATAAATTATGTTGCTCTAGTCTGTCGGAAATTCTTGATAGTTTCCTTCTCAACCTCGGGACAATCACAAGTGTCTCGTCGAATTTGTTCGCTTTTTATACAAAAGAAATGGAAGTTAACGAGTCATTCCGTTCCATTCGGGCGGTCACCGAATGTCGCATCTCAACGTCGAAAACACAGTGGCGTGGCTAGGGTGGTCCAAGTTAACATGGGGAAATTTTTTTTTGGCCCAATGAACCGCGACTCAACCTAAATTTGTTCCTTACCATCCAAATATGATACCTGCCAAATATTTTTGTTCTCCGACAATATTAACACGTGCCGACTTGAGGCTGAAAAGCTCCCAAAAAATTACATTGATTTAAATGGGGCGAAAATGGGCCGATCCGCGGTATTTTGTTTTTCGGCTGTAAAATGCGCCAAAATGCAAATAACTTGCTCTTAACCTACGAAGATACCTAGAGGCCTATTGTGATTGAGAAAATCACACATTCGACCCATTGGGAGGGGGGGAGGGGGTCACAGCGGAGCCGATTCCTAGGCCCCGCGGCCCTGCGCGAAGCTCCATGCGCCAAACTGATGAGAGAGGAACGCGCTCGCATTTTCGGGCTCCCTGCTCCCTGATACGCATTGCCGTACTGCAAAGTAAATGATTTTATTTCTAGAGTTTGAAAAGCAAATCAAGTGACCTGCTGATAAACACATTCCAACAATGGTTTGCTGGTAAAACTGCTGAGTTTTGCAGAAAATCTCATGTTTTCTGGGAGCGGAGTGCATTTGGCAGTCAGAGTCTGTCCGCCGATCGATCATCGATGTTTTCATGATATGTTTGTGAAACTATGGCTCTTTCAAAGCCAACTTTGCGAAAAGAACGAAACGTGTATCTACTCGGCAATTATCCCCCGTAATTGAAGGGAGTAAACTCCCGTCAAAGAAACAAGTTTTACGCGTATTGTTCTTCAATTTACGAGAAGTCCATTGGTCCATGTAACATTTGGCAATACAAAACAAATTTTTGTTCACGAGATAGAGTACTTGCTCTTGCTCCTTATCTAGGATATAGTCTCATTATTATAGTTATGTCATCATCATTATTTTCAGTGTTTTTACTCGCTTTAAATTCACTTTAAAAGCATACTCATTCAGTTTTCAATTGATATTTTTTTTAAAATACGCACTGATACTTATCATACGCGGACATCAGAAATTTTCAAGCTAGAACATGTTTTAGCTACTTTACCGTTGTCGCAGTTTTTTTATTTTCGAATATTTTTTAGGTTATCTCAAAAAAAAATTTTCTGAATGCTATATGTCAAGTGCTGAAACTTGAAATCCGTATTTTATAGGTGCGGTCGAACACAAGTAAGGTGCAACGCTGCTTTTTTATACCAACGTTACAAATTTTAATAATACTCGTCTTGTTTTGCTATTTCTTGCAATTTTCCTAAATACAGTCTTACGGTGGCAGGTTTTAACATTATCAGAGAGTAAAATAAAACGTGGCCGGCGTCATTTTTGGATCAAATGGAACTAATTTAGGGAGCGACGCGGTCCATTTCCCGAAGTTGCCCGGAGCGTATCACATTAGCGCATGATGCTTTACGCGGCGCCCCAGCAACTATGAATCGGCTCCGCTGTGACCCCCTCCCCCCTCCCAATGGGTCGAATGTGTGATTTTCTCATTCACAATAGGCCTCTAGGCATCATCGTAAGTTAAGAGCAAGTTATTTGCATTTTGGCGCATTTTACAGCCGAAAAACGAAGTACCGCGGATCGGCCCATTTTCGCCTCATTTAAATCAATGTAATTTTTTGGGAGATTTTCAGCCTCAAGTCGGCACGTGTTAATATTATCGGAGAACGAAAATATTTGGCAGGTATCATATTTGGATGGTAAGGAACAAATTTAGGTTGAGTCGCGGTTCATTTTCCGAAGTTGCCCAGTTTGGACCACCCTATGGCGTGGCGTGCTTTGCGATTTATCGATTGTTATGCCATTTAAACCTAAGGAAAAGGATCGATAAACAGGGTGTTCGCAGCGAACACCTTAATAATCGATTATTTACCATAGGTTTATATGACAGAACAATCGATACATCGCAATTCACTCCACGCCACTGGAAAACAACGCCTAGATGCATGCAACTATATGTTCTTGATGGATGTCTGTAATGCATACTCCAAAAATTGAAGGCGTTTTGATTTCCCTCATGCTCAGTATGGGCGCACAACTCACTAGTGAACGCTGTGCAACAACCTAGCGCAAACGCGACTGCGGGCTGGTTATTGAAAGAAATAGATAAAAGGATGGACGAAGAAGTCAAAGGGACAATGAAGTGATCCTATTGGTTGAAACAGGTGGTTCTTATAAACTAAGGAAAAATGATGACCAAACTAAAAGGGCCTCTCTTCGGTTGTCGTTAGGTAGTCTACTACCTACTTTCTACCTCTCTACCTTTCTACCTTTTTCTTGGTTACTTTTCTATCTTGTCTATTGCAACGCCCCACTTCCATCAGTAGGGTCGCTCCATTTTCTCCATGTCTCTATCCATGGCTTTGTCTATCAATTTCGATAATCAACCCACAGAACGCGAGAGAGATGCTTCTTTTTCCATAGCTGCACAATTGGGCCACATTTTGCAATAAAGAACTATAACTTCTTCAGACTCATTTTAGAAACAACGTTTGTGTCATGTGTTTCCTTTTGCAGATAGGTTCTTTTAAAGAAGAGCCAGAGGTTTTAGTTCCGTATTGTAAAATGTAGTCCAATTCAAGTCACATTTTCTACCCCAAAACTGCCGCTATACTGCCGTGCGAAGTAAAAATGCCATGTAAAATTCGATTGCCTCCAAACCTCTAAAAAAATATTCACTTTTAAAGAGAGTTAGAGACGTTTGCCAGTGAAATTTTCGGACACGTTAATCATATTACGAACGAAACTCGCTGAAAATTTAGAATGAATATAGTTCCAAATTCGCCCGAAAATTCGTGATTTGCCGAAGGAGGTTTGACAACGTCTAAAGGCTCGTTAGGCGGTTTTCCTTTGCACAGCAGTAACGCAGTATACCTATACTCTCAGAGTTTACCAACAATCTTATTTTTGGGGAGCTTCTTTCTGTCTCATTCCAACACTCACGACGAAAGTCTAATACTGCCGTGCTAAGAGAGAACGCCATATTATGTACATACCTGTAGCAGGGCCGGATTCAGGGGGTCGCCACATGGGCCGCGGTCCATGGCGGCAAAAGGGGGCGGCAAATTTTGCAATTTTTTAAATGTAGGTATAAAAAAAATCGGATTTAGACAAAAATTACAAACGAGAGAAGGCGGCAAAATCTCTCATTTCCTGAGAGTATAGTAATTTCTAATTTTATCGTCTTTCGGTGATACAATAGACAGCACCTTTCATTAGTCGAGTTAAGAGAGAAACCAAACACGCAATTTGGCCTGGAGCGGTGCGGCGCAGAGGCAAAAATGACGAGGACTTGAAACGAAAGGAGAAACCTTTGGCGCGGCGGTCGGCATGTAACGCATATTAGCGCCTACAAGACTCCATGAATACTTCACGCATTACGTCAAAAACAGTGTGCTCAGCAGCAGCAGCGGTCGGCGTGAGACGCATAGCGCCTACAAGACTCTAGGAATATTTCACGCATTGCGTCAGAGCAGTTATATATGGTAGGCCTTGTCCATACAGAGGAAGGTTTACGGAACTTAACTTTCGCGCAAAGTTCCGGAAACTTTTGCCAGTAGTGCTGACAGGGCTTTCGCAAAAAAGATGTCCAACTCGAGTTTACACATCTCATGCACCCCTCCCCCTCAAGCACGTTTACTTGATGGTTTTTATTGATGTTTCAAAACGAATGAGAAAGGGGCGGCAAAATACAGGCGGCCCATGGGCGGCAAGTAGGTAAATCCGGCCCTGATCTTTAGACGTTGCCATATTTCCTTCAATGAAAAAAGAATTTAAGGGGAATATTGTGAACACTTTTTTTCAAAATTTTCAGACAATTTTTTTCGCAATTGAATCTGAAATATCTGAAAATTTCAAGGAAAAATTTGCATACGTAACTTTCCTCAAAAATACATGTTTTATCCGGGAAAATTTTATTCCGCGGCAGAATAATCAAAGTTGTTCCTCCGTGTGAAAGTTCACATTCAAGTTCCTTGGTTCTGAATACGTGTGATCCTATCATTTTAGGAATATGAGTACTAGGCATGCATTTTTTCTTCTTTTTTTTCTAGGTAATTATATAAATAAAGGAAGAGAGTGAATTTTATAAAATCGCCCTGAATCATCATCAAATTAACCGCAACTACACTGTATTATTTTATAAATGATTGCTATTTGTCTTCGACCTCAATTGAAGTATTCAAGTTGTGGAGTGTTCTTCCCAACTTTTTCATTTTAGGTACCTATTGACAACATAATTTGTGTGTACATCGTTTTCTCGAGATCAGGAGGAAGTAATCCATCATTTTTTCTCACATGAGATATTCTTTGGTATCCAACTCGTTTTTCTACCCAATGAATGAGACGGTCCTGTGGAGGGAGGGGGCGTCTATTTTTTTAGCTTTGTATAGTTTTTTTTTAAAATGAACCTCACCTCAGAAAAAATAAATAGGTAGGTACATCATCAATTCATAAGCAGGCACAACCCTACACCCAGGTTCCTAAAATGGAAGTCCTATTTCAAAAGCCTTGATCATCGCCGAGCCGGAGTCGTAAATCCCGATGATCCCGAAAAGGCAGCCCAAACATATTACAAAACAGTCGAAGATGACAGTCTTTCTCTCGAGTGTATCCCCCTTCAACTTGAGATGGAAATAGCACGGCCAGATGAAAGACAACATGGTACCTGTGAAATTCCCGATGAAACCCATGAGAATGATGAAATGCGGGATGAGGATGGCCATGAGAACGGTGCCGACGATGATGCCGACTCGGAAGGCGAGACCCCAGACCTTGAGCTCGCCGTCCATGTGCCATATCGTCGGGAACCGGGTCTCCGGGCGACCCTTGAAGAAGGACTTCTCGAGGAGGTCGCAGGCAGCGTAGTAGGGCAGAGGATAAGAGAGTATTGCTTTGATTACGAGGAAAAAATTGACGAGCCCCTTGAAGGCGGGCGAGTGGAGGTTGTTGGTGATGACCTGCTGCGTGTCGTTCTGGAAGGTCAGGAAGCAGATGTAGCCGAAGAGGGACTTGAAAATGGCGGCGGCGATGTGCGACCAGTCGAGCATCCAGTCGAACTTGGAGCGGTCGATGAGGTTCCCCTCGAGGGTGGGCAAGAATATCTGAGAGGTGTAACTGAAGACGATGACGCCCAGGGAGATGGGGAAGTTCTCCAAGTCCAGAGTCCACTTGACTTTGCTCCAGCCCCAGCTGGGGAGCTCGAGCAAACAGTAGCCTAGGATGATGACGTTGATGAAGATGTGGGACATGGTGCACCAGAAGCTGAGAGTCGAGACGTGGTGGAGAGATTTTAGGAAGCCCAAAGGGACCAGGAAGCAACCGACGAGCATCATCCAACTCCGGGTGTCGATGACGCCTTCGGGAAAGGTTCCGATGAGGAGGTCACCGCAGACGACGACGTAGAGGATGCACGTCATGAGAAGCTCGATCATCTGAGCCATGTTGACGATCCTGGCGCCCCACAAGGGTCCGAAACATTCCCGCGCGATGGACACGTATGAGTCACGCACGCGGACTCGCTCCCCGGTCATCGTGTCCAGCTCGTACAAGCACTCCACCAGAATCTTACCTGTGTAGCAGCAGATGTACGCGGTTCCTATCATCGCTCCGATTGCCCAGTAACCTCCTCGGAGCACGTTGAATGGCAGGGATACGATGAACATTCCCTGCAAAAAGAAAGACATCTTTACCGTGGGCTCTACAGTGGATCGAGTCAATTGGTGAGGTCGGACATGGTTTGGACCGAGTTTAACAGAAAGGAACCAAGCCACATCAGCTGTTGCCAAGTTTAATTGGGCAATTAAATTTTTTACGAGAGAACGTTTGTTCGGATTTATTTGAAAATTTTAAGGAATTTGCCTCGTACCATGGAGGATTTTTACAGAAATTTGCACGAAAATCCGCACAGCCGTTTTTATGTAAAAAATTAAATTGCCCAATTAAATTTGGCAATAGCTGATGTGGCTTGGTTCCTCTCTGTTTAACGCGGTCCATTTAGAAACTTTCGAAGTGTATCCCTGCTAAAAATGGTGAGTACGAATAAGTAGACAATCAAAGTCATCATATGAATAGAATTTCAATTCATATGAATAGAATTTCAATTCATATGAATAGAATTTCAATTCATATGAATAGAATTTCAACTTATATGAATAGAATTTAACTCATATGAGCAGAATTTCTCTATTCAGCTTTCGCCAACTTATATGACTAGAGATTTTTACTCACATGAGTTCAGCGTTGAATCTACCGTGTCCGATATCTCAGAAACTAGTCACCGCATCAAAAAATTATCAAAAATGTTACAAAATGTTACAATTACAAATTGTTTTTGTTTTTCAAATTTACATGCGATGTCGGTGTCACCTGGTCAGAAACAGCACTTCTGAAAAATGAAAAAAATTGAATTCATATGAGTTGAACTTCTCTACTCTTATGAGTAGAATATTCTAGTGATATGAATAGGATTTCTACTCATATAAGTAGGAAGTTCTACTCATGTGAGTTCGCGAATTCTGAATAGCCTACTCGTCATTTTTAGCAGGGGTGTCTTTATTACTATGCAATTTTGATGTTTTAAAAGCAGTTTCATCAGTTTTCTCGTAAAATTTTCTGTGAAAAGCACCCCTTAAAATTAAAATTGTGGTGAGATTGATGTAAAATTTAAAATTTTTGTCAAAAATTTCAAGTCCGACTTCTTCCATCGACTTGATCCTCTGTGCGATGGAAATTTTCGTTTTTTGTCACAATTTGTTCTACCCTTCCTCTGGGTTAATCTGCCTTGCCAAGGAAGGACGCCGCATGAGCCTTCAGACGCTGCCAAGTTTCCTTCGATAAAAACCGAATTTACTAGGAAAATTGTGAATATTATTTTCCAGAATTTTCAGACAATTTTGTCGGCAATTTCATCTAAAATATCTTAAAATTGCAAGGAAAAATATGCATGAATGTTGTCAATGATACATGCTTTATCAAGGGAAATTTGGCAACTCTCGAGTGTTCATTCGGCGTTTTTCCTTAGCACAGCAGTAATGTCCATGATTTTTTTTTGGCTATCCACTGTATGGTGAAAGTGCCTAGATGAGCTCGATCTATATTCAGATTCTGGAAATATGACCCAGGTTTTTTTCCACCTCAAGTCCCCCCTCTCTTGCCCTTTTTTCTATGTCTGGCGTTGATGTCTGGTCATATCGTCGCTCCTCTGGCGTAAGGGCGTATCGGGATTTTCACATGAGCCCCAGATAGCATAGTTTTATACGTAAATTAGGGCTCACGTGGGTATCGAGATATGCCCTTACGTCGGAAGGGCGACGAAATATGTCCAAAACTTTATCCCATTATTACGTGATTTGATTGTAAATTATGGCCATGTAGATTAACTGAAGGGGGATCGTAAAGGGGGCTGTAGGGGGGCCGCAAATTGCCTCTTGGGGGTTGGGCCACGTAGGGGCCAGGGAGCGCACCCCGTATTTTTTTACAGCCTCTTTCTACAATTCTGATCATCTAGGCCCGCCTGTCGCAGTTCGCAATCACGCAAGGTCGAATCGTTTGCGGACTGAGCAAAATTTCGACTTGGTCGGGATTTAGTCGTAGCCGATTTGGAACTTTACATGAAATGGACGTATTCTGTCAAACGGAACTATATGCATTATGACGTGAACCCTGTTATGCATGTATTCCTATGGGTCTCAGGGCTCATGTCTTATTGCACATAGTTCCGTTTGGCAGAAATACGTCCAAATAAGTATGAATTTTCGGGATACCTCTCCGTAAGTCAACGTATCCGGTAACAGGATTCTCGATGGAATTTTGGTGCAGAATATATATATATTCTGCGGTTATATATAAAGTGGTCCATATATGGACCGCTTTTTGCAATAAGGTTCCCCTAAGGACCCCTTTGCAGGAAGATTCCTGGCTCATTTTAGAAACAGCATACATGTCATTGGGCTTCCCATGCAGAAAGGTGATTCTATAGAGGAGCCAGAGATAGTGGTTCCTTATTGCCAAAATGTAAACCATATACATAGAGTACATAGAGTCGTAATGTAAGTGGAAGAGCTGGCGCCACTTTTAAGCATTTCCCATGTCCCGAATTCCGAGACTCCTGTGTGATGCCGGGTCACTTTTTCGATACATAATCGATTGTTTGCGATACACGGGTACCCGGCCATCCGATGACAACAACAACAACAACAAAATAGATAGGTATTACCACGTATTCCACATCGCCATTTTGGATCGAAAATGTATCGAAAAAGCGACCCGAACTCGGCGCACACCGGGCTCGGAATTCGTCGAGCAGAACATGGCGCCAGCTCTCCCATTTACATTACGACTCTATGTACTCTATGACCATGTAAGACTCTTAATTTTTTTTGTTTAATTTTCCCAAATTTCATTCAATTTATGGCCCAATTTTTCCATTAATTTCAGTTTTCTGAATAGTGATTAGGGGTTAATGTCTATTCTGATGATTATGGTCAAATATTGTGAACTTGCCTCCACTCCCCCCCCCCNCCCCCATCACTCTTAAAGTCCTATTTCATAGAGTCATAAGTTCAAGTCGAAAAATGTCTACTTTTATTGAACTGCAAAAAATGCTTCTGTTTGGTTAAAATAATCGTGTCAGAAGTGGGATTTGAACCCACGCCCTCAGAGAGGACCAGAACGCTCGGCCCGCGGAGCGGGTAAGATGTGATCTTGAGTCTGGCGCCTTAGACCGCTCGGCCATCCTGACATGTGTAACGCCAGTCAATTTCATTTTTTGGAAAGAAATTAATGCAACATTTTCCGAAAATTTTTTGAATAGGTGAAAAAAGGTTACAAACATTTTTTCAAAAACCCTCAAGTTAGTCCTCTTGAAAAAATAAAACTTCAGCGAAAATTGATTGGATATGGGGACGTTCAAGTATGATGTAACGCACTTAGGGGGGAGGGGGGATTTGAGCCAGCGCTACGGTGCGTTACAAAGGGGAAGGGGGGAGGGTCATGCCCAGCGTTACAAGACAAATCCGAGCCGGGGGAAAAAGCTTGGAAAAAACGTGCAAATAATGGAAAATCCCGCATTTTCCGAATGAATCTTTTCACTCTTTTGTTGATCCTTTCCCGTCGTATTTCAGCGAAATAGCTCCAAAAAACCCAAATTTTTCAAACTGTTTTTCTACGTGTTCTTGATTTTTTTTTAAAAAAATCTAAAAAAAGTGCGTTGTGTAATACTTGAACAGCCCCTGTGACCCTGTGCGCGTTATTTATTTATTTATTTATTTATTTATTTATTTATTTTATCCATCCATCAGGTATGATATGTTCGGAACTTCCTCTTAAAAAGTCGGGAAAAATCAATTTAAAATGTATCATGAATTTTAACAAACTCATTTCTTTCCTTTAAAAAAAAAGTCCAACGCGAGACGCGTAATCAAAACAGCCCGGAACGCGTCTTGAGTACTTAATAAAACTTTTTCAAGCGAAAGAAGTGAGTTTATCAGAATTTATTTTACCTATTACAATCAGGCATCGATACGCGACAGAGGTCACAGTCTGAGAACTTAACGTGGCTAATTTTAGGGTTGAGTGCATACCTGAATTGCATTGGTCACATTCCAAGCTGCTTGCCATTCGTTGATCTTGTGCCTGCCCCTCTCCCCGAACTCATCAAAGCTGCACCCACTCTCGAATGTAGTGGCCCTGGATTTGGAAAAATTGACTTGCTTGCCTCCGAAACCATCTTCGTCGCCTCGATCGGCCGAGCCGTAGCCAGACATGGTGGCCATTTCCGTGTTGTCGGTTGCCTTGGGGCCATTGAACTGGGCGAAATTGACGTGCTCATTGGGCTCTTGTTTGCCTTGGGCACCTCCGGCCTCCTCACCTGTCCGCTGACCCGTCATTTTTTGGATAAGTTCGACGCAAGGGCTGTCCTCCGGAATGACCGCTTTTATCGTCGCCCATGCCACATTCACCGCTGCACTTATCGGGGGTATATAAAATCGTCCGAAATACGTCATCGTGCCGCAACGGAAACTATAATAGAACGACAAAAATAATATCTTTTTTCAGGTATCAACTTGCCAAACACATCATGCCGTTTTCCATCACCTCTCGGCAATGAATCTAACAAGTCCTCCTTGCATAGCGCATCCACTTCGTACCAATTGACATAAAAACAAAAAGATCACTCTCAATGAGAAAATGTTGATTTAGTAGGGATATTTGATTTACAACTCATTTTTCTATATAAAAAAAGACTCCCTACAAAAAGCACCAATACGAGTTTAGGCTTATCGATTACTTCATGTCCGCCCTTGCAATTTTATCGCACGATTTTTGAAACTTCACACGGGATACTTGAATACTGCGTTGCTCTTAGGATATATTCGGTGGTACAGAGGAGGCACAAATATTTAACACTTACATGAAACATGAATGTTAGAAACGAACGACTTAAAAATTAAAAGAACCTACTAAACTTAACTATGGAAGACTTGGATGTGGGGTTGAGCCACCCCTGCAAAACTTGGAGAGGCAGCCTGTCGAACAGCCCCCGAACTTCATCCTCCCTCTCCGCCCCCTGCCCCCCGCCGCGCCAGGCACATTGCCGCCCTGCCCTTATTCTCATCCCAGATCGATTTTGAAGCTGTATGGAGCAAAAGCCCTCCGCCGCCTGCCGCCATCTACCGGGACCCCCGGGAAGCTGTGTTGCTCTTGAGCGCCACGACGCCGCATGCCGATACCGCTGTTGCTCTTCTCCCACATTCGCCGGATTAAGGTGATTCGTCAAGCTCAAGTGACGTGGTCGAACCGGCATGCAATATATTGCATTGCTTAGGTCAAAAATCTTGGCAGATTTTGAATTTTTAGCAAAAAAGGATGATAGCCCCTGCGCTAGTGCCTAAAGAATCATTCTAAACCCAAAAATCGGCCAAATTCAGAGAAATGAGAGCAGAATAGTGTTTGAAAAAAAACCTCACATTCGATACAGAAATCGATAGCTGAATCGAATGCGAGGAGTTTTTTTTTCCAAACACTATTCTACGTTTATTTCTTTGAATTTTGCCAATTTTTGGGTTTAGAATGCTCCTTTGGACTCATACGCAGGGGCTATCGTCCTTTTTTTCCTAAAAATTTAAAACCTGCCGAGATTTTTGACCTAATCAATGCGATATATCGCATACCAGTTCGACCACGTCACTGGAGCTTGTCGAATCACCTTCAGCTTGATTTACTAAAGGAGTGGAATTATGTAACGTATTCATAGTCGTACCTCAAACTGCACCTTTCCTAAGAAGGCCCCACATGGTTTATATTGTGACAAGGGAGGTGTAAGGAGATACCCTGGTAAAAATTGGCGATAAAAGCTGCGTTTCAAAATACCATAGGAGTTCTTATAGCCGACTGAAGAAGGCGATGGAAAATCACATAGCTGGCTGTAGAAAGTGGAAAAAATCATACGGCCGGGCTACACGAAGCGATAAAAAATTTTACAGCCGGGCTATAGTTCCTATCGCCGGGCTTTACACTTTATCGCCTGGCTGTTGCTTTTTCGCAATCGATTATAAAAGGCTATAAGAAATTGTGTAGAAATTCTTGTGCTTTGGGAATCACTAAGTTTGATACGGAACTACCTTAATATTTACAAAACACACATTATATTTTCCTTTAAAACATATTTTTTTTTCATCAATTAAAATGAGAATAATCCATACAGAGTGTGCAAACGTTTCAAAGTCATGAGTTGAAAAACGCTGACTCCACAAGATTAAATATTAGAGCCTAACACAAAGCGGAGCAGCGGCGCACCGGCGCCTACAAACCTAACAGGGATACTTCACGCATTGCGCAATGCGTGAAGTATCCCTGTTAGGTTTGTAGGCGCCAATGCGTGTTTCGCGCTGGCTGCCCGCCTGCCGCGCCGCAGCGTACCACGGCGCGGCGCTTGAAGCAAATATTTCGAACCAGAGGTATTGCACAGAATCATACGAAATTGAAGGCGCTCCAACATATCAGGAATGGCAGGCATCCTTCAAAAGTACGGAGCTTTCCTCGCAAAATAAATCAAGATACTACAGCCAAAAAAGAGAGCGGTAGTCCAAAAACTCACTAAGTCCTAGCGTCCGTAATTAGTAACGTTTAGCATACACTTTATCGCCAGGCTGTTGCTTAATCGCCATCGGCTATTAAAGGCTATAAGAAATTGTGTTGCCGGCTATAGAAGCTATTGGAAATCCTACAGCCGGCTGTAGGTCTATGGTATTTTGGAACACAGATTCTTCTGCCAATTTTTACCAGGGTACTTAGAATGCGGCCATTCATAAAAGGACGATTTCAACGAATCTCGCGTAAAATTCAACAATGTATCCTTAGAAATAGCGAACCTTAAAAAAAATGAAGAACTTTCAGGTATGTTGGAGGTAAAAACACAAAATCGCAAATTGTTCGCATGTTCTGAGAATTTAAAGGTAGGCCCGGACTCGGGAACTACCTACAAGCTCCTCAAAACCATAGAATTATTTCTTTTGATTTTTTTAGTTTTTGCAGCGGCAAATCATAGTAATTCCTTGAGAGAGTGTATTCCCGAAGCTATCTTGTTATATTTTACTCGAGATTTATTAAAATTGCCTTTTTACGGCGATATTTTAAGGATCTTCTCGAACACAAGAATCTCAATCACAATGTAAACCATATGGGGCCTCCCAAGGATAGGAGCTGTTGAAGGAACGATAAATAATCACACATAGGATTGCCAGATTGTGTGAAATAACATGTATTTATCACATTGAGTTATATGCGAATATGTGCTGAATTTTCAGCACAATCTGGCCACAGTTATCACACATCAATTACGCCCATCAATTTCTATTAGCATCCTCATCAAATTTTGGGCAGACAGAGAAACACCCATATCTGCCTCATAAGCTCCACCCCAGCTTCTATTTTTTGAAGGAGAAAAAATCAACATCATTTCTCGAGGTTTTCACAGAACTTTCCTGTCACAATGCAATGTGCACACAATGTGGAAATAAAGCGAGGGAAAGGATGAGCGTTGACGACGGCGCAGAGATACAACTATTCGTACTTGATGGACGTCTGTGCTGCATCCGAAAAATTGAAGGCGCGATGACGCGAAGCGTGAGCTCTCAACGCTCTGCTATATGATGTCAATGAGGTGTCGCTTAAATACGGAGGAAAGTTAAAAAAGAGAGGCCCGAACACATCTCTTCTACATTCGGCTGGGGCACTCACGTAGTGCTTGAAGCACCTTTACGAATAAGAAAAACGGAGACAAATGCAATATGGAAATAGAAGCCGGGAAAGAGTGCGCGTTTACAACGGCGCAGAGATACAACTATTCGTACTTGATGGACGTCTGTGCTGCATCCGAAAAATTGAAGGCGCGATGACGCGAAGCGTGAGCTCGCAATTCTCTGCTATATACTGTCAATGAGGTGTCGCTCAGATTCGGGAGAAAAGTTAAAAAAGAGGCACGAATATGTCTTTTCTGTCTTCGGCTGTGTTGATACTCGTTCTTTCTTCTTTTTTCAGGTTCTTTTCTGATTCTTTTACATATATAGGATGGATTTGCAGACCCACGTCTTAAGCTTGTGTGAACCGCAGCACTGGCTCGGTTCGTTTGGAAATAATGGTGCTTGGATGCGTCTAGAGGCTTTAATTTTTTATGTTTCCTTTAATTTCAGAAATCTGTCGGTTACTTCAATACGTTCATTTGCAATTTGTATTCTGTACAATTAATAAACTTTGAACCTGAAAATAACGTAAACTTGTGTTGCTTTGCCAAAATTTTCTGAACCCTCTTCACGTAAGGGATGCCCTACTAGGAAATATCGCATTACGCCCCTTTAACCAGCTCAGGGTCTACGCCCTCAGATGCGAGCCAGTCCGACCCTGAATTCCCTCGTCCCCCCACGTCATCCACAGCCTCCAGCATCTCTGCTTGTCATTTTCCGACGTCAAAAACGACGTATGAGCACCTGAGCATTGCCAACTTTCCCGTGATAAAATTGTAATTTGCCCGAAATAAACTCACGAAGTCACGAATCTTCACCGGCGAATTTTCCAGAGAAATGTAGCAAAACTAATGTACCTGAAAACTCCACAGAAAAGTATTCATAACTTATTCAAAAATTGACATTCTATCCTCATCAATTCGGCAACGTCCATTTCTACCGTAATAAGGAAAAATGCTGTATGAACCTCAAAACGTTGCCACATTTCCTTTGATAAAAAAACGAGTTCTGGGAATATTCTGAATATTTTTCTTCCAATTTTGTTCGCACTTTAATCTATAACTGAAAAATTCGTGGAAAAATGAACATAACTTTCTCCAAAAATAAGCATTTTATCGGAGGAGATTTAGACAATGCCTGAAGGCTCATACGGCGTTTTTCCTTCCCTGAAAAAATATGGCAGATTCTACAACATACTCAGAAATAGTGGTACGAGTATGGTAATGAACACCAGATTCTATGATATAGCGTTCACCATATTAGGGTTAGAATCACCAGAGTTCTGGTTGATACTACTAGAATACTGGTTATTTCACTAAAAATTATATTTATGTAAGCCACTTTTATAGCGCTCTTTGGCGCTCTGCGACGCCTAGCCGCCAAAGTCTCCTATCTTCCCAAAGCCTTTCAGGGCTAAACAGTATCACTGTGTAAATAATCAAGTATAGGCTTGTAGTAGATATTACCATACTTCAAAATGTAGCATGGCAGATTTGCTCCCTCAGAACGAAGGCATTCTTATCTCGGTCAAGGATTAGGAAGAGGGTGGACCGCTCTATTGTGGATTTAGCATTGAACGGGACCGTGAGATTTCACTGGATTACTCGAGGTTCGTACATTAGGTTCAACATCGAGACAGCCCAATTTCGTTTCAATCAATGGACTAGGGATCCCGGTAGAGCGAGGGGGCGGAGATGCACGATACCCCGACATGGCCGATACATGAACTTGATCTTGAAACTTGAAAAGGGATCGGAAGCAAATATACCAGGCGGGGGTGGGCGAAGCTGTAAACTGGGACATTCTCTTGCGGCCTCCACCCGCGCATTCCCTTCCTCTCAAGTTGCCGCTTATCAACACTGGAAAAGAAAACACATTGGATCCAGAGTCCAGACTCTTAGAAACATCGACAAGAGAAAATACTCTTGATTCAATCGGATTTGTACTTAAATCAAGAACCAAGCCTCTTAATTTTGATCGGATTTCCTTTTGATTTAAGCTTAAATCTGATTGAATCAAGAGTATTTTTTCTTGTCGATGTTTTCAAGAGTCTGGACTCTAGATCCAATGTGGTTTTTTTTCCAGTGAAGAAAAAATTAGATGCTCAGTCTACCCTAGGTACAACATAACCAAGCTATAACTACTAGCTAGCTTTGCTAAGGGGTACGCGATCCAACCCCCGAGGGCGCTTTCAGGTTTATCAGGGATGCCACAGTCAGAGATTACCGGAAAACCGGGAAATGTCAGGGAAAAATTATTAAGTCACCTTTAATCGTCTTCTGAAATGAGCTTGGCGTTTCGCAAAACAAGTTTGGCTATTAACGAAACAGAATAACATTCAATTATGTATTTTTAACCATCTGGCATAACTTCAACTGTCAGGGAATTTTACCAAAAAGTGTCCGGGAAATCAGGGAATTGTCAGGGAAATTCATTCCACTCAGAGGAGGTAGTACGGTCAATTTTTAGACGTGCGGCCTTTTGATTTCTTGAGAGACCTCTAACTTTTTTTTTTTTTTCAAAATGATAATTGATCGGGGCACATCCTATTTTTGGCTGTGTTGCTCACGTAGCCCTCGAAGCACAACTACAAATGAGACAAACGAAACTAACACAATATGGAAATAGAGCAAATGGAAAGACGCGTGTTGACGGCGGCGGAGGGATACAACTATTTGTGCTTGATGGATGTCTGCGTTGCATCTACAAAATTGAAGGCGCGATGGCGTGAGCTGTGAATTCGCGATGTTCCGCGCAGCTCCGCTTTATGCTGCCAATGAGGTGTCGTGAGGAAAGTTAAGAAACGAGGCTCGATTTATTACGACTCCCCTGTTCACGGCTGTATTGCTCGTACAGTCTGAAAAGTACCACTATAAATACAAATAAGACAAACTGTAACAAACACAGTATGGAAATCGAACAAAGTAAAAGGAGGTGCGATGATGACGGCGCAGAGATACAACTATTCGTACATGATGGATGTCCGCGTTGCATCTGCAAAATTGAAGGCGCGATGGCGCTATGCGCTAACTCGCAATGCTCCTTTCTATGCTGCCAGTGAGGTGTCGCTCAGATTCGAAAGAAAAATGCAAAATTACGTCCCGATTCCGTTGTTCCTCAATTTTGTCTTCTTTTTTCAATTTGAGGTTTGATTATTTTTTAATGCACAAATATTTACAGACCTACATCTACGGCTCGTATGTACCGCGGTCCCTCACAACTCGCATGGCACATTTTTTAAACAAGTCTCCTGCCGATTTGACCGGGCTTCAGCATCTACTTGTAAGGGTTAATGAAAATATCATTCAAATATGACTTCACCTTGTCCGCAAAAAACTCATGATTCAAGAGGGGAGCCAAAAGAAGCCATTCAGTCAAAATCAGTCAGTGAATTTTAATAAAATTTAGTCATGTTTCATCGTGCAAAATTAGGCTTTAAATGTTGGTAACGTCCCAAAATATTGTTATTGCCAACAAAATTATTGTTGAATGGGACCTTCTGCAGCCTTTAGATCTTCGATGCATTTAATGCATTTTCTCCGGAACACTACCTAATTTCTCCGGAGAGAAAATAATTCTCTCTCGAGCAATGACTTTTCGTTCCGAAGAGAAAATATTTTTCTCCGGAACACTATAACTAATTTCTCCGGAGAGAAAATAATTCTCTCCGTAGGAAGCCTATTGTAATTCAACTGTTTTAAGATAGGATAAAAACTAAAAACCAGGATTAAATTTCAAAAACTTCTTTGCTTGGCATAGGAGCCCCTACATTTTCATGCGGTACCTACTCTTTGCGAATCATGGGCGACCATGGCTGCCGGCTTCGTCGCCGCTGACGTCACTTGACGTCACGCGCTTTATAATTTCCATTCATTATTACGGCTTTCAAGTAACGAGCACACCCCCTCTATCCCACCTGTCTCTGGTTCTTTTTAGCAGAATTACGTCCATTTAAAAGTAATGGAGAATTTGCAGGTGTATGAAATTTGATTAATTAAATGTTTAAGTGGACGCTTCCAAGTGAGCTGAACACGAGGATACCCTCGGTTCATAAATTGAACAATTGTTGGAGGAGATATGACAAAATAATCTAATCTGCTAAAGCACATGTGTTTAAATGTGAAATGCCGCCAGATGACGTCACTAGGCGATGCATTTTCTCATTTTTAAATGTATTTTTATACTATTTCCCATTGCAGAAAAAAATTATAAAAAATACTGCAAAATCAGCTCTTTAGGCACTTTCAGATGAAGCAATAAAAAATGTGCGTGCAAATTCACCAATCTCTCTTAGGCGAATGGAATTTTTCTATGTAAAATCTTTAATGAGAGGTCCCTCGGAGCCTCAGGTTCAAACAGAAATTTTTCTCTGTGTAGCAGCGGCTAGTGACTTCCTCTGTGATCTTACGATAATGACATCCAAAGATCGGATTTATGCCAAAGCTGGTAAATTAGGTCAACCCTTTCTCGTAATTTCCTACCTTTACGTGGGAAGAGCCTATGCAGGCTGTAAATGGATCTTTTTATGACGTGGGAACACAGAACAACATTAAGAGTCGGCTGCGCGAGGAGGGGGGGGGGCGAGGCAGGGCGGCGGATATAAACCTGAGAACGCTAGCGTTGAAAATAGGGCCGTTCTGATTTCGTGTCATACACCATTTATTACCGAACGGTGGAGGGGTGGGGGGTCAGGGGAGGGAAGCGAACTGACGTCGAAAAAAGGAAGGAAAGCACTGGGAGAGTGAACTTCGTATTAATATCAAGGTCACGGGTTAGAAATCTTACCATGTTGCCAAAAAGCATGTTAGTGGAGGTTTTTAGAGGGTCGTCCTTAAGTTACGTAATACTCGGGAAAGGGATGGGAAACCCTAGTAGCAATAACCTTTTGAAAAATTTTTTGAAAACTCTTGAAAATCGGAAAAATGTTCGTGTTAAACCTAACCCTTTTGAGCTTTTTTTTAAAGTAAAATTTAAGGGAAAAAGTTTTAAAAACTCTTAAAATCTAGTACACATCGATTATATTCATTATATATATAAATATAAAAAATTTAAAAAATTAATAAATGAAATAAATTAGTAAATTAATAAAACTAGAAAGTTTTGACAAAATGATAATTAGTAGGTAACCATTTCTTTCATCTAGTAAAATATATACTATGACCTATTTTGATCGCCTTCAACTTAATTAACATAGCACGTACTGTAGCACAAATCACTGTATAGTTTTTAACCCTTTCTTACTTGAATATGAATAATACGCTCGTTAAGCTTACTTTAAAAAATAGCCAAAAAGCGTTTCCTAATGCGAATGTTTTCACAGTTTTTTTAAGGGTTGTCTTTCAGAAATTTAAGAGTTTTTTAAAAGTTTTTTTTAACAGTCTTCGCTACAAGGAAGGAGGTGCCTGAGCATAGTGAGCCTCCATGATATGGGGGAGGAAAGAGTCTCGCATTGCGTAAAGTCATGCATAGAAGTACAATAATAACAATTTAAACAGCGGGTAACAAGGCTAATTTTCACCTAAATATCACCAAAACATTTCGGCTGCAAATTCAACCTTCCTCAGCTTGCTAGAAACAGTGAAAAAATTTAAAAATCTAAACATTTAGTACTTCGCTGTACTTTTCAAAGCGAGAAAAATGTTGTTATCCACAACAAAAGTTAACCATACAGCAACCCTGGTAAATTAAATTGGCAGTAGAATCTGTGTTCCAAAATACCATAGACCTACGGCCGGCTGTAAGATTTCCAATAGCTTCTATAGCCGGCTACACAATTTCTTATAGCCTTTTATAGCCGATGGCGATTAAGCAACTCACAGCCAGGCGATAAAGTGTATGCTAAACGTCACTAATTACGGATGCTAAGACTTAGTGAGTTTTTGGACCACTGCTCTCTTTTTGGGCCGTAGTATCTTGATTTATTTTGCGAGGAAAGCTCCGTACTTTTGATGGATGCCTGCCATTACTAATATATTAGAGCGCCTTCAGTTTCGTATGATACTGTGCAATACCTCTGGTGTGAAATAGTTGCTTCAAGCGCCGTGGCACGCTGCGGTACGGCAGGCGGGCAGCCAGCGCGAAACGCGCATTGGCGCCTACAAACCTAACAGGAATACTTCACGCGTTGCGCAATGCGTGAAGTATCTCTGTTAGGTTTGTAGGCGCTAGTGCGTTGCCGCTCCGTTTTGTGTTAGGCTCTAATATTTAATCTGGCGGAGTCAGCGTCATTCAACTCATGATTTTGAAATGTTTGCACATCCTGTATGGATTATTCTCGTTTTAATTGATAAAAAAAAATATGTATTAAAGGAAAATATAACGTGTGTTTTGTAAATATTAAGGTGGTTCCGTATCAAACTTAATGATTTCCAAAGCACACGAATTTCTACACACTTTCTTATAGCCTTTTATAATCGATAGCGAAAAAGCAACAGCCAGGCGATAAAGTGTAAAGCCCGGCGACAGGAATTATAGCCCGGCTGCATAATTTTTTATCGCTTCGTATAGCCCGACCGTATGATTTTCTCCGCATTCTACAGCCATATTATATTCTGTAGCCGTCTTTAGCCGGCTATAAGAATTCCTATGGTATTTTGATACGCAGCTCTTATCGCCAATTTTTATCAGGGAACATTCGGTATCTAGAGAAGCATCATTGATATTTTTTCATAAAAAGACAAGGTGGTAAAATGGTGCTGGGTCCATACCATTTCGGGGATAAACAAACTTCAAAAAAACAAACAATCGCAAAAAAAAAAAACTTTTTAGCGTTGTTTTTCCCTCGAAATGCTGTGAACCCAGCACCATTTCACCACCTTGTTGCAGTTCGGGTTATTTTTTAGTGTTTTCTCTCGTTTCACATACAATTCATTTCCATACATAGAGTCTCATGTACAAATCTGAAAAAAATGGTAGCGATGCATGAGATTTAAGCACTATAAAGTTACTCAATTACTGGGCCGTTGCGCACCACACCGCACTGTGAAGCAGCGAGGTTGATCATGAAGTCTTTGTTCATTAAAAACTGCAAATTTTTGCGTTGATAACATCCCATTATAAATCGAAAGAGGTACTTCTTCCGGGAAATTTTACGAGGAAACCAATGAAAACATCCATAGAACCTGTGAGTCTCGTATGAACAAAGATAATAAGCTTTTAGAGCTTCGACTTTTAATCCGACCTCTCTCATTGATCCGTTCCATTGTGCGCCACCACGTGCGCTGAAAGGATCTTCCATTCACCAGTTCCTCGGATTAGTTTCACCTGGAGCGTCGACCAGGATGTGTTTACATCATTCTCACTCCCGATAAAGGGCTATTTCGCGTCATTTATTTCCGGTAACTCCTCTACATGACCTTACATTTTTTAACCACTTTTACAGCATTTATGTTGTTTTTCGGCTTCGCATTTAGTGGGTTTTTTTCGTGGTCAAAGCTGCGTTTTAAGAAACCTTTACTGTGGTTCAAGCAAATCGTGCCTCGTTCGTTTTCGAAAAATCTGAGGGCAAATGTTGTCGGCAAGGCGCGTGGATGCAATTGCTCGTACACCATTGCTGCTCATGTTGCATGTGGCAAAGAATGAAGGTCCTGGCGGACAGTGTATAAGTGAAGTTACAATTGGAATCTGCACATCAACTGGGCTGAAAAACACGTGGATCACGTTTTAGTAACTGTAACGTCGCACAGTAGATCGAGTCAATAGGAGAGGTCGGACAAAAGAGCCTTGTTAAAAATGGGTCGAAATTCGCCCCTTTTTAGGCCCTCGATTTTGCAAACGGGAATTGCGCCAAATTGTTGCATATGATGCCCTAAGTCTCTGGTAAAAATTTCAGCTTGAGTTGAAAAGTGGTTTCGGAGATACGGGGGGGTGAAGTGGGGGAGTTGAGCGGCTGGCGTGCGCTATTTCCGCGGCTGTTCCTCGCCAAGTCTTCGTTTTGATGTCACCCGTTACATGTTTTCCTACGTAATTTTTCACGTACTTTCCATTTCTGGCCTTAAAAATTACTTACAACCACTTTTCAAGGCGCTAGGGGGTGAAAATAGGGGTTGACCGGCCAGCAGCGCGCTCTTTCCTTGGCTGTTCCTCGCCAAATCTTCGTTTTGATGTCACCCATCACATGTTTTCCGTGTAACTTTTCGCGTACTTTCCGTTTCTGACCTTAAAAATTACTTACAACCACTTTTTAAGGCGCTAGAGGGTGAAAGTGGGGGTTGAGCGGTTGGCGGCGCGCTCTTTCCGCGGTTGTTCCTCGCCAAATCTTCGTTTCGATGTCATCCATTACATGTTTGCCTATGTAATTTTTCGCGCACTTTCCATTTCTGGCCTTAAAAATTACTTAAAACCACTTTTCAAGGGGCCATGAATTTTTTTTTTTTTTTTAAATTGATTTCGTATTATTCCCTAAGATCTATTCGTGCCGTATATTTTCACGTTATCTCAGTGTACCTCTCACGTCGCACGAGAAAATATATACGCATGATTTCATCCGAACATACATGTTTACACGCCTAAATGATATGCAAAGACGAGCGTTCGTAGAAGGGAGATGGTAGAATAATGGCAGAATCATCAAGTGAAGCTTTAAAGCTTTGATGAGGGGGGAGAGGCACATTTCTAAATCGATAACTTGCCATAGCTCTTATTTTTTCTTACTTCCCTTGACTTAATTAGGGTGACGATTGGTCTTTCAGCGTGAACGTGTAAATGTATCTGTGGTCATAATATCCTTAAATACGGCGTGTAGGCTGGTAATGGCTGCTTTTAAATAAATGAGTAACGAAGTAATGGGCAGATTTTTTAGTAATCAGATTAATGTACTGCCCGGGGCATATCTCAGATTTTTCCCCATATTTGCCATGTCATTTTGACGTGTAAACAATTATGTTCCGATGAAATCATGCGTATATATTTTCTCGTGCGACGTGAGAGGTACACTGAGATAACGTGAAAATATACGGCACGAATAGATCTTAGGGAATAATACGAAATCAATTTAAAAAAAAAAAAAAAATTCATGGCCCCTTGAAAAGTGGTTTTAAGTAATTTTTAAGGCCAGAAATGGAAAGTGCGCGAAAAATTACATAGGCAAACATGTAATGGATGACATCGAAACGAAGATTTGGCGAGGAACAACCGCGGAAAGAGCGCGCCGCCAACCGCTCAACCCCCACTTTCACCCTCTAGCGCCTTAAAAAGTGGTTGTAAGTAATTTTTAAGGTCAGAAACGGAAAGTACGCGAAAAGTTACACGGAAAACATGTGATGGGTGACATCAAAACGAAGATTTGGCGAGGAACAGCCAAGGAAAGAGCGCGCCGCTGGCCGTTCAACCCCTATTTTCACCCTCTAGCGGCTTGAAAAGTGGTTGTAAGTAATTTTTAAGGCCAGAAATGGAAAGTACGCGAAAAATTACATAGAAAAACATGTAACGGGTGACATCAAAACGAAGATTTGGCGAGGAACAGCCGCGGAAATAGCGCACGCCAGCCGCTCAACTCCCCCACTTCACCCCCCCGTATCTCCGAAACCACTTTTCAACTCAAGCTGAAATTTTTACCAGAGACTTAGGGCATCATATGCAACAATTTGGCGCAATTCCCGTTTGCAAAATCGAGGGCCTAAAAAGGGGCGAATTTCGACCCATTTTTAACAAGGCTCTTTGGAAACCCCCAACGCTCTTAACTCCGTTTTTAAAAAAATTTGAGGTTCCAAAAATGGTTTCGTTGGTTTCCTTCTAAAATTTTATTCTAGAAGCACCCCTTTGAATTTTAAATGTGACGAAATAAACATCAAAATTTGCAGTTTTAGTCAAAAATTTCATGTCCGTCCTCTCTAATTGACTCAATCCATTAGGCGTCGCAAATGTAGGGAGTGAAGATGCACGCTGTTTGCCTCCGAATTATGATTTTATTTTGATGAGGGGAAAAAATCAGCGTTACTTTGAACACTCTCGTTTCACTTTTATGTGTCCCGTCGGACAAGAGTGTTATTTGAAAATTCCCAAAAAAAAATTCCGGTGTTAGTTTTAAAAGAAAATATAAGTGTGAAAGATTGTAACCGACGAAGGTATTTTCCTAATACTGCCCATTTACCTTTTTTTCTTAATTTTTCTCGAGTGAAAATTTAACACAACATCAACTGTGTGATTGCACAATCGAAAGGTGTGCAGGGATATTTCAGCAAATCCGGTCCAGAAAATCTCACAACTTTTCACTCCAAAAATATCCCAAAAAACTTAAAAATACGTCGGATGGTTTAAAAGAAGGAGGAGAAAATTTTTTATTGTCAATAAAAAATAATTGTTTGTTTCCCAGTATACTTTTGAAGAAGAAATACTTTTAAGAATACATTTATCCGCTGCATATTACAAGAAACACCAGCAAACATATTTAAGACTTACTTTTAAATCGCTTGTCTTTATGGTAAGAAAAAAAGAAGGAAAAAACTTCTGAAATTACGAGTATTATTCTATTACGCTTTGCTCTTCGCAGTATAAATCTCTGTTTGAGTAGGGATGAAATTAAAAATAACGTCTTATCCTTTGGAAAAAGTTAAAAATAAAGCAGTATTAAAGTTAATATGTTAAAATAGCTATCGCCGTCAATCATATTACCGTTAGGAATCGTTAAAATAAGAATTTTCAATCATATAATATTTCCTTCAATGCGGGCACTGGCACTTAGTATTTAATCGGTTGCGGGATTGATGATGCTTCAAGGATTTTTTTTTTTTTTCATGATTTTCTTCAAATCAGTTTTATAGAGGAAGAAATGGGGAGAGGGAGCTTAAAGTTTCAAAACTTGGTTTAGTCTGATCGGCGTGTTTGGTAGAGGCGGGATTAAAGTTTCAATCATGGAATCGATTTCCCTGTGACATTGAAACACTATCTCTGCACGCCACCATTCTGGACAGCTGTACATCGTGATACTTTCTTTTTTGTGCAGTTTCCCATGAATCTAGGCTAATTACTTGAAATTGTTCATTGAGCTCTTTCAACACGTGCACTTAGACCCTATTTTCGTACTTACTAATATTTTTAACTTTATGATCTTTGTAACGTAAAGGTCATAAATGCAGGCATCTACCGCCTCGTCGAGCGTAGGGAACCGCTTTTTGAACCACCTATAGCCATTTGGACTGCATTTTGCAATATGGAACTATAAATTCTAGCCCGGTTTAAAAACAACGTATGTGCCATTAGTGTGCACTATGCACATAAGTGTTTTTTCAGATGAGCCAGAATTCATAGGTCCAAATTGCAAAATGTAATCGATTTGATGATCATGCACGTCCCCATGTAGCATTTTTCGACAGAAAAATCGCGATATTTTGATAAAAAGTTGCGATTTTTTAAAGATTTTTTGGCGATTAAATCGCTAGGATCATCAACATCTGAACGATTATCGTCATACTCTAGTCACAATTTTATCTCTACAAATTGAGTTCGATAAAATCGGAATTTTATCTCAATTTATCACAATTTTTTGTTCGATACTATCTCAATAAATCGCCGTCGATGGAATCTCGATTTTATCGCAAATTTATGAGACGAAATCGCAATTTTTCGTAATTCTTCTAACCTATCGCGATCGCTGCTACTTGGGTAGTCATTTAACGACGATGCACGTCAATCGATCATTTCGTCGCTCCTTTGACGTAAGGGGATATGTGCATTAAGACATGAGCCCTGAGATCTATAAAGATATATGCATAACAGGGCTCGCGTCATAATGCACATAGTTCCGTTTGGCCGAAGTACTTACGTCCATTTATGATTTCGGGGCTTCAAACTATCGCATTGAAATATAGTTCAGTCGGTATTTCTCGAGAAAGAACCAAGTGGCATCATCTGTCACCAAAGTTCATCTCGCAATTTATTTTTGTGACATGATAATAATGGAGATGTTGCATGCGTGAGGAATTTGCGATTTGACTGTCGATTCTTATGTAAAAGTTCGCGAGAAACACGATGGTGCCACTGTTTTACTCTGAAATCAACCCCCAAGCTCAAAAAAAGCTCTCAAGTTGAGGCCAAAATGGAGGGGATGTCCCACGCCATCCTGAGAGTCCACGTCTACATCAAGACAAACTCCCCATGCAAAGATGGGGAGCAAATACATTAGCAGTGATGCCGTGTTTTCAGTTTTAGAGTCCCCAAATGAAGTGGCAGCCCCGTCAGTGTATTTGCTCCCTATCTTTGCATGGAGAGTTTGTCTCGATGTAGACGTGGACTCTCAGGGTAGGGTGGGATATCCCCTCCATTTTGGCCTCAACAAGAGAGCTTTTTTTAAGCTTGGGAGTTGATTTCAGAGAAAACCAGTGGCACCATCGTGTTCCTCGCGAACTTTTACGTAAGAATCAACAGTCAAATCGCAAATCCCAAATTCCTCACACATGTAACATCTTCATTGTGCCAATTTTCTTCAAATATTCAGAGAATCTGCGTCATAATACCGAGAGCATTCTCAAGAACACTCAAGATTTTGTCATGTATGTAGAACCACCCTAAATTCGGCCTTCATCCCCTTAATTTAAGGCAAATTCACCCCTACAAAAGATAATTTTTTCTTAAAAGGCCCAGTGTAGATGTGCCCCGTGTCCTTAACTCTTGCCAGGTGGTTTTTGCTTCTTTTTTTCCCCGGGTGTTATCATGGAGTTGAGATCAATGAAACGCGCTTTCATTGGACGGAACCACTTGCTTGACGCCCTCGATAGCTCATGAAAACTGCAGGCAGCAGCGCAACAATAAGTGACCTACAAACCTCTCCTAGCGTGATTCTTAACAATAAACTAACCTACAAAATACTTTATCAACTCTTTACCGCTTAATGATCATTTAAGAACCTTTTAATTTCCGGCAACGATCAACCGGGTATCCTTGATGACGTGAATCCCGGGTTCCATCTTTTCCGCGCGCTTTTCTCCTTAATTTATCGAGGGTAATAGCGCAAAAGAGATGTCACGTGTACATATTCGAGTCAAAGCTTCAACGATTGTGAAGGATGTCCTTAATTTATGACTGCATCTTGTAAAAAATAGATGAAAGAGAGCAAATCTGTCGTTCCAAGGAAAAACGCCGTATAATATTCGAATGTTGCGAAATTTACCGTGAGAAACACTTAATTTTGAGGGAAGCTATGGACATTTTTCATTGAAATTTTCGAGCACTTTGGATCAAATTGCGCGCAAAATTCTCTGAATATTAGGAAGGAAAATACTTGGAAATTTGCTCGAAAATTCGAGATTTTGTCGAAGGAGGTTTGGCAACGTCTGGAGGCTCATACGGCATTTTCCCTAAGCACGGCAGAAATGGGACATAATGACGGTGAAACACTCAAATCACGTACCTCTTTTCCGGTGTTTAAAAATCTCCGCTCCTAAATTATTTTCTTTTTAAGTAAGAACAAATCAGCACCACTCCGTGAAATTTTTCAAGAATTTAGGCACATCGCAACTAAAAAAATAAACACGGAGGTTTTTAAGAATCGACGTTGAGTAATTCTTCATTTAAAAAATAAAGTATGGTAAAAAGTCTGCAACGTCGCAACCCAATATACGTGTTCGGGAGTTTCGCAATAAGTATCTATATGACCCAAAATCTAAATTTCCCAAATAATTAGCAATCGCTGTCAAATTGAAATATGTTTGTGTCGAATACAACATATGAAAATTCAGACGTAAAGAGACAAGAGAGTAGGTTGTTATACCTAGAATTCAAACATGCGCTTTTTTTCTTCTTAAATGCATAATGTTAGGTAGCACAATCGAGATTGCGTATAACGAGATCAGTGACCTTAGTTGGGTTTAGTTCAGACCGGCAACTAAACTAACTTCCTGACTAAGCGGAGAGTATCCGCAAAATTTGAAGGCGCTCCAAGCCACGGTTGTGCTGATGAAAGTTCTTCGCCAATGGAACCTGTATTGAGTTAATGCTAATAATTGCAATTTGACAAAATACAGCACATCGACGGTGTGAGTCGGCAATCACACAACTCGGTTTGCGACGTCGCAGACTTCCTGTCATACTCTATTTTTTAAACGGAAAACTACTCAACGGCAATTCTTTAAAACTGCCGTGATTTTCTTCTCCGTGCGAAGAAGATTCTGCATAAACCTCAAGAAATGATGTCAATTCGTTCTCCTTCAAAAAATAGGTAACATAGAGGCGGAAATTTTCAGACACCTTGAACGAGATTTGTGATAGCGGACTTACGCCGTCGAAAATCTTCATGTCACTTGCAAATTGCTGGTAAATGTTGACTGCTGCAACATGAAAAAGGAAAAAATGAAAAAAAACAAATAACGGAAATGGAATCTTTTCAAAACTTGAACTGAATTGATTTTTTGTTTTGTTTCAGGGACAAGGGATACCAATGGGAATAAAAATGAGTTGGCAGACACGTGACTATGGACGAAAGCTGTGATGAAAAACAGCAACGGAAAGATGTGTCGATACTCGAGTACCTGAACGAATGTAGGGTCGTTAATCGCCTAAGCTGTTCTTTGGTGTCAACGTTAGGAATGTGTTTGAAAAATTTGGAGGCTCCGGAGACTGTAAGTGTAAAATTTGTTGACAGTACTCTATTTTATTTACCTACATAGTTTTCATTCTGGGGGATCGTTCTCATTAGGTGGTTCCTCACTGGAATTAAAATTATTATTAGCCCGTGAGAACGCCTCAACATTACAAGATTAACTGAGAACAAGATGAAATTTCATGGAATTTTTTTAAAATCCTGAAATGGACTCATAATGCCATAAAAAGCATTGAAACCGTCAAATCTCAATTTTGAACTCTTGAAAATGATTTGAAAAATCATGATTCAAATTACGAAGTTTCTCACCGAATTCGTATCAAAGAAACCGTTGAATTTTCATGGAACGTGGAATTTCACTTTTCAGCAGAATGAAAATTCATTCCGTAAATTCCATTCTGCGTCTCTGTTCAATCCATACTTAGTCGTAATTCTGCTATACGGAACTATAAACGAGTGGGAAAGATGGGGTGTGCTCTAAAAAGCGCCATAAGAAAACATGTAAAAGTGGGCGTGATTCCCTTTGGGGAAATGGAAAAGCGGAATTTTTCATTCTATCAAACGGAACTAAGCACCAACTGTATGCGACACTCGTGAGCTATGGGCATATGACAAGGGCTTTGTGGACAGGGCTCTTGAGTTAAAGATCGCGTTGCCGAGCGTCGTTGCTCCCGTGGTCACCGCTGACGTCACTGGCGCTTTATAATTCCCATTCATTCTTATGGCTCTCAACTAAAGAGCACCCCCATTCTTCGCCGCCTGTCTCTGGTTCCGTTTAGTAGAAATACGTCACCTGACGAATCAATGCCAGCGTTATTTTTCCATTGGAGTCTCTATACGATTGATAATGAATGTTCATTACCTTGGCATAAGGAACTGGGGCTGGTGGTAGAGAACGTTCATGTGGTGACAACGATGTTCATTCAGATCGGGTCTTCGGCGGTTCCACACTCGAGCAACTGTACTTTAATCGAGTACAAAGTCAGCTACTGGCGTGGCAAAGCGTCCAAGCACCGCCTCATCCTCCTCTATCTCATCCATCAAGTCGTCACTACTGGTCTAGCCACTGTCTATCAACAATTGCTTCCGCCAATAATCAAGTAAGTTCTCAAAATTCTCGTCGGTGCCATACTACCGTACGAAGGAAGAACGCCGTATGAACATTCGAGAGTTACCAAATTTCCCTCGATAAATCGTGTATTTTTGACAGCATTCATGCTCATTTTTCTTTGAAATTTTCAGATGTTTTAGATTTCGCTAGCGTACAAAATTGTCTGAAAATTTTGGGGGGAAATATTCATAATTTTCCCAGTAAATTCGGTGTTTATGGACGGAACCTTGGCAACGTCTGAAGGCTCATACGGCGTTCTTCCTTAGCACAGCAGCGTAAAGCTAGAGTCGTCCAGGTGCACCATTATTCTATATCATCACACGATCGCAAGTCGTCGCACGATGGATCGAGTCAATAGAAGAGGTCGGACAAAATTTGGAAACTTTAAACGTTTATAACTGCGTTCTACAGAACTTTGAGATTTTAAAATTGGTTTCATTGGTTTCCTCGTAAAATTTTCTTGCTGAAGCATCCCCTTGAAATGTAAAATGTGACGAAATAAACTCCAAATCTGCACTTTTATAGTCAAAAATTTCATGCCTGACCTCTCTAATTGACTCGATCCACTGTGCTTTGTTTCCCAGAGAGTGGGCTGATTATATTTTTTTTAAATAAGGCAAAGAACACAATGGGAAAATACGATTGGTTGAAACATGTGGTTGTTTTAGACTGGGGGAAAATGACGGACAACTATGGGACCATTTATTATTATTTCAGTCTGTTGAGAATTCTTGACAGTTTACTTTTCATCCTTGTGGATTACCAAAAGTGTCTCCCCGAATTTGTAGGCTTTTTATACAAAGGAACAGAAGTAGAACGAGTCATTTCGTTCTATCCGTGTGAATGGTCGGCGGTCGCCGAATATCACATCTCGGCGTCGAAAACAACGCCTAGATGCATGCAACTCTACGTTCTTGATGGATGTCCCCATAGTATAATCAAAAAATTGAAGGCGTTTTGACTTTTCTTACGTTTGGGCGCTCCAATCTGACGCAGAAGTCCATTTGCATGATTGATTATTGAAATTGATAGGCAAAGCGATAGAAAAAGAAGACAAGGACAAAATGAAGCAATCCGATTGGTTTAAAGGTGTAATTGTCATACACTAAAGGGGCTGTTTAGCAAAGTGTTGCCATCGATTACTGCATCGCTGCGCAACACTTGACTAAACAGCCACCACTTTGAAGCTTCACTATGAACGTCTGTCTAGGGCTTGCAGGGAAAAATTATGGACTAGCTACAGAACAGTTTAAAGAAATTCAAGTCCTTTTGATGTCTAAAAGCCGTAACAAACAGTGTAGAATATTATATTTTTGGAAAGAAATGCAGAAAGTTCCAGTGAACACAGGGTAACGATGTCTCAAAGCTACAATGAAGCATCCGTTAATATTATCGTATTATCGTGTACTCTAACTGATTCAGGTTAGCTGCCTTGTTCAACCAGTTGTTGGCCGTCTCACTTCAATCGGAATTTCGGGACATAACTGTGGTTAAGAACACGTGTCCAAATATTTTGCAACCACTGAAAAAATTCAGCGTCACGAAAATTCTTCAGGTAAGGATTCCTCAGGGATGTAGGGCAATGTGCTCATGGCTGTTTCATTTTATACCCTCCACAGCCAAGTTTTTTTTTTTTTTTTTTTTTTTTTTTTTTTTTTTTTTTTTTTTTTAATGTGGCTATCGCATGATTTTGTGTTGAAATCTTGAAGTAAAACTCAAAATCCATTTTAAGTTTTTTAAACGCCAAGTTTCTACTTTTATTATTAACAACTAACTTATCTTCTTCAAAAATACATTAGATGAATTCACAAACCAATTTTAATGCACACCTTAGTTTTTACTCCTTATACATGGGAACACATCGTCAGTTGTCCGTGAATGACAGTTAAACTTCCACTTTGAAACCACAAAGATGCGCGCCATTCTAGGTTGCGACTTTTCAAAATCTTCGATCCTCTTTTATTTTTTAAATGAAGACCGAATCAACATCATGGCTTGAAATTTTCACAGAATATTCTCTACATGAGGAAGAAAAATCACCGAAGTTTTCATAAAGGACGTTCACTGGTTTTCAATGTAGACAATGAAGAATGCAGGAGCGAGGCGTGAATGATCGATTTATCGAGTCCCCATTTAAAGCTATGGTAAAGAATGAAGTATTGAGGTGTTCGTTGCGAACACTCTGTTTCTCGATCCTTTTCCATAGGTTTAAATGGCAGATAGCCGATGTATCATAAAACACGCCACGCCACTAGAAGAATAACGAGAAGTTTGCAACGTTGCAAATCGAGATATATATTGCTGCAGTTTCGACATTGACCGGCCGCTTTACGTGCGTTTTAAAGTTTAAGGGGGTAGGAGGACAAGGCGCATACGTGCATTTTCTGCTATTTCGAGAAATACCTGTTTGAAGCTTCAAAAGTACATGGTTCTCACGGCGGAAAGAAGGTTCAAACTCACTTTTTTATGCTCAAAAATTGGAATTTGGGAACACATTTTTCTCAGAATGCATTAAGACTGGTTTTACTTGAAATCATTAATAACTCAATTTAATAAAAAAAACCGCACTTATACGCCTTGTCCTCCGAGCCCCTCGTTCTTGCATATTGAAGAAGCATGTTTAATGTTATCGCCGTGTCTTTAAAATTTCTCGTCTTCATGTGTGTCATGTGTGTTAAAGAGTATGCTCTTGCTTTTTAAAAATTATTCATCGAAACATTGGCCAGCCCGTAGCGAGACAAATTAAGCGCTCTTTTTTCCTCCCAGATTGTTGCTCAACAGAGAGCTGCGTGTTGTAGCGAACAACTAATTGAGATTCTACTCAACTTGTACCGAGAAAATGGATTGAAACCAGCCACGAACACCGTGACATTCGAGAATCTACCAAGTTCTGACGACTCCAGCATGGACGTGTACAGGTGCTGACAGCGTTATTTTTCAGACTACCTCTCAAAATTTAGCCTTTTTCGTAAACAAGCCACTTTAACGAGCAATGACCGATTTAGGGTTTGTCAGAGGAGGTCCTGAAAAAATGGAGGGACGCTCCTTTGACAAGTTGTGGTGGGCTATCTTCTGTGAAATTATTAAACGAGACACTTTTCATTATAATGCCGTGCTGAGGTTCACAGAATATTGCCGACGATTTGATCTGATATTCTTGAGCGCTTCATAGGCAAAAAATCATAAATTTCTTCAAAAATTAATAGTTTGTATGACAAAATTGAAACGGCCGGATGTTCATACGGTATCAATATTTTGCACGGAATTATGAAAATTAGTATCAACAGAGGACGGACGCAAGGACTCCTTAAAAAACGCCTGGTTGCAACTATTCGTTCTCGGTAGTTGTCCGTGTTGCATACATCTAAATTGAAGGCGTTTTCACTTGCCCCGTGTGAACAACTACGATTCGTGGGAGTCGATCGTGCTTACCCAATATGCTGAAATAATTTTTCAGCATACTTTTTTGATAACGTGGGAAATTGCATCGTACAGTGTGTGTTGAGTTTAGTGTGATGCGTAACTTTTGGGTCCTCCCCTGACGGCCACTGAGCCCAATAATCCCTTAGTTTTGCACTAAACGCGTTTGATTTAAGACGTGCCAGATTTTTACAGAATTAGCCAGGTACGCATATTATATTCTTGACACAAGTGTTGAATTATTTTTTCTGTTCCTTTCAGAGAACTTACACAGTACATCTCACCAGTTCATCCAAGTAGCACTGCCAAAGATTTTTCCGTCCTAAAATCTGTGTTCAATTCTGAGCTTCAGAAGTTAACGCCACTGTTGTTCAATATTGCGGCCTCCGCACCATACCTCATCAATCCTCAGCAGGTTAAAACGTCGAAAAAATTTGGTAAAATTAACAGTTACGCTTTAACACAAGGCACTTTTTTCATATCCATTACAATCAGTGTCAAATTGGCTCATGCGATAATAGCGCTTGCACGTACTCGAATGCAATGCAGTTCATGAAGATGAGAAAATCCGCAAATTATGTTAAAGCTAATCCAAGATATTGATAATTTCAACATAAAATGAAAAAAAAACTGCAGCAGTGATTTAGTTGACCTTAATAATTGAAGTGAGACAGGAAAAAGACGTGAACGGTTGTACGGTTAAAAGCCGTCCATCAATTTTAAGACTTAACTGTTTAATTGGAAACAAAAATGTTCTAAACTTTCGAGGGTGATGTGTCACTTCAGTTTGTTCATATCTCCTTTCCTCCACGTCATAGCAACCGAATCTCAGGACTGGTTTGATAAAAATTCAGAGCATCTTCTGCCAATTTGATCAGGCCAACAATATTTAATTTTCTAACGTTACAGGCTGTTTGACGCTGATAAAACCTGTCAGAGAGAAGATGTTAAATTTCTATTCGCAACAGCTTTGGAGTGAGGTGGGATCTTACGCTGAACATGTTTTACTCTGGTGGAGACAGAACTGTATAGGCATTGAATCCACAGAAGACACCCAACAATTCCGCCTTTGGCTCGGACGTTTATTATCCAACGGTTAGAGTTTGTAAACTTTCCGAATGGTATTTTAATTTCGTTCCCAATATTTTTAAGTCACTTTCATGTTTTTATACTGTAAGATGTTCATGAACCAGTCAAACTTAAAGGTTTTAATACGAACTTAAACTCTAACTAATCAAACTTTCCTTTGAAGGAAAATGTCACTTCAGTATTTTACTTTGTGCCGGAAGAATTCTTTCACATTTCTTCCAATTTTAAAGGCATCAGAAGGTTGGGCATCCCCCGGGGGGTCGGTCTCCTTGGATGCCATGGAGGGCAGCCCCCGGGGGTTGGACGTCCTGGATTCCAAGGAGAGCAGCCCCGGGGGGTTCGACCTCTTGGATGCCAGGGGGACAGTCCCGAGGGTTGAGTTCCTTGGTTGTCAAGTGGGGCTTCTTGGATGTCATGTGAGGTAGGTAGCCCCCGGTGGGTTGGGCTCCTTGAATGTCAAGGGGGGCAGCCTAGAGGGTTGGGTCCGTTTGTTGTCATGTGGGGAACCTCCCCGTGGGGCTGGGCTCCTTGGATGGCAGGGGGAGCACCCCCAGAGGCTGGGCTAATTGGATGTCAGGCGAGGCACCCCCGAAGGTTTTGCTCCCTAAAAATTACGTATTACCTTGCTGAAATTCGTACCCTGTTGCCGTGGCCAATGATTTGCCTTCAATTAGCCGGCTTTGCAAAATGACTGTCGTGACGCACGAATAGTGGTATTAAAATTTTGCTTTAAGATTACGGAGTGGGTTGAAGGCGCTCTTGAGTGTAATGAGTAAAATGAGCTCTTGAGTAAAATGAACTTTTGTCGATGAATTACTGTGAATAATCAAATTTGAAGAAAAGGTGCTTTGTCCACTGGTCCATTTAAAGGCGTAAAGCGTGGATGGAGGGAGCATGGATGTCCTCCGGGTTTTTACGGGCACTTTATAACGTATACATATTATGCTGTATGGCTGTAGGTTTCTAACGATATAGGTATATGCCAAAAAGTTGTAGGGAAAATAGAAAAAATTATTAGGTACCTATACAATTTTTTGAGGGTCCAAGCATAGACGATATATTCGAGAGACTCCGCACTGTCCTCTTACCTACCTATGGTGTGAAAGTTACTCATGGAAGCCAATTTTCTGATTCACTTATTGATGACTCACGGTATTGGATCAACTAAAGCTTCTAAACAAGTTTTAAGTACGAATAAACTTTATTTCTGATCTTAATTGTCAAAAGCACTTTCAAAACGCTAATTGCAAAAAAGCGTATCTCGTGATCAAATGTTTTTTTCCAATCATACAATGTTTGATCCGCTCGTATGAAATCAATCTAAAGCTTCTGCTAAGGAATTGTAAGCGTGAAACTCATTTTTCAGTCTTGAAATGATCCAAATCCGCCAACAACAGGTTTAAAACACTGAATGCAAACTCGTGGTAAAGTAGCAATAATTGTCAGTGCCGAAAACGCGAATCACGGCATTTCTGCCGTATTTTCGAACAGCCCGAGAAATTATTCAAAATGCTGATGAAGTCTGAAAAACATCTTATTCTTGCTATCCTCAAGAATTATTGCTCTTCTACTAACAACGAAGAGGAATGTAGACAGTTTTTTTTTTTTTTTTAATTTCCTGGAAAATCTTGTTTCCGAGTTACGAACTTCTAGGCTTTTTCACCATCGATATCGTGTTTCTCATCTTTTCGGCGAGGAGAGAGATATACAATGATAATTTAATTTATTTCGTGTTTAAAATGTTTATTAGTGAAGACTCTTCCTGATCAATTGAGGCCCACCCTCCAAAGCTTGAGCGATTCTTTGTGCTGCCACATCACTGCGACATCCTGGGAACATTTATTCCGAAAATCTCTCGTTGCGGCCGGACATCAACACAGTCGTCACGTCACCGATGATATCGCCCTGGTAAACACAATGTTTTCATGATTTAAAGCTATTCAATCCCGAGAGTTAAAATAAAGTAGGCGAAAAAGTTGAACAAACGACCAAATCTGACCTCGTTAGCCCGTTGAGAAGTTCAGTGGTCAATGCATATCAAAGGGAATAGAGGAAGCGCACTGGAAAAAAAGTCGCTTGGATCTAGAGTCCAGACTCTTAAAAACATTGAAAAAAAAAACCTCTTGATTCAATCGGACTTTTTGCTTGACTCAAAAGGAAATCTGCCAAAATCAAGAGGCTCGGCTCTTCGATTCAATGAAAAATCGGATTGAATCAAGAGTATTTTTTCTTGTCAATGTTTTTAAGAGTCTGGACTCTAGATCCAAGAGACTTATTTTCCCAGTGCGTATAATCTGAGCAGGCACCGAGTATAGTAGATCTTTTCAAAAGATGTGAGTTGACGCCACCAGTGGCGCGGCGTGGCGTCGTGGCGTGCTTTGCAAAATATCAATTGCAAACCCGTGGAAAAGGGTCGATGAACAGGGTGTTCGCAACGAAAAAATCAATAAAATATCGGGGGAAATAGGGGAAATATCGATAATCGATCACGCCTCGCCACTGGACGTGCATGTTTACCCAAATATGTGAATGAGATATTTTTTTTTGGCCATCCCCTCCCCTGCCCAGGTGAATTGCGGGAAAAAAATTGAAGAAATTTGAAATTTCACGAGGCTGTGAAATTTATGAAAAATATGAAACATGCATTTCAAGAAGCATGTGAGTTTGCAACCTGCACCCAAGCGATGCAGATAACACTTAATTTTTTGCATTTAATAAGTAGTATTATTTTTTGTGCTGGAATTATATTAAATGAATGAATGAATGAATGAATTAATTAATTAATTAATTAATAATTTAATGACTAAATTAATGAATTAATGAATGTGAATGATTATGAAAAAACTGACGAATTCTAAATTTTAGCTATGGATCGTATCATTCTTCATCGTTGGGTTAGTCATCGATTACCTTGAACATAATATTCAACATATTTTTCTTCGACTTGGTGAACGTCTTTGAAGAAAATAAAATTTAGGACTAGTGAAATCACACTACTCTTGTTTCATTTTTTAAAAAAAGTGGCTAGGTTCAATTTTGCTCGGTTCAGTTGGACGTATCATGCAAAAAGGAACTATGTGCATTAGGTTTATGTGCAACATAGTTCCTTTTAACATAAATACGTCCTATTCATCCAGCCTCCCGTGTGCTCAATCAGATCATGTCTCGGTCTATAATTTATAAACGTATTTAAATCAAGAGGAACTATCTCGAGGGGTTTCAGGACATTTTGTCTACGATTTTTTGTCCGCGCACCTTTTTTGTCCAGTAGTTTACGCCCACACGTAAAATAAACATTGACTTGGTCCAAGCGTTATATTTTAGTCGGTATGTAAAATTATATTGACAATATGGAAATGAGAAATTGAGAGAGAAGGAGGTGTTGTTATGGTTGCTCATTTTCTAAATGAAATGTTATTACTTTCTCCTTTTGAATCATCTTCTTAAATTGTCATTGGTGAATATTTGGTTTTATTTCTATCCTTAAAATATTCGATGTACAATATACCTTACATATGTATAGGTACTTTTCTTTTTAATTTTTTCTTTACGAAATTAATACTTTATTTTGAAAAAATTTATATTTTTAAAACGTGACAAATATTTGTAAAGCCTTTTCCAAGCGACATTAATCTCAATGAGCTGCAGTTGTGCCGACAGAAACTGCAAAAATGAATAAAAGAGGAAAAAAAACCAAGAAGCACGGAATCTTTAGTTTTAACCCATCTGTACATCGATCTTTTAGAGTCAAATACGTCAAATTTTGAGCGTTTGGTTGCGCGTACACCTCGCTGCAGCACAATAAAAGCACAAAATGTAAAAGAAAAAATTAAAAGTACTTTGGAAATCATTAAATTTGGCACGGAACCACCAATATCTAAAAAACACACATTTTATCATTATTCTCCTTTGATAAATTGATACATATTTTTTTCCCATCAATTTGAATGAGAATAATCAATGCAGAATGTTCAAACATTTCAAAATACTGAGTTAAAAAACGCTGACTGTGCGAGTATAAATAATAAAGCCTAAGAGAGCGGAGCGGCGTGCTGCCAGCGCGAGAGGCTCACTGGCGCCTACAAACCTAAGTGGATACTTCACGCATTGCACAATGCTTGAAGTATCCACTTAGGTTTGTAGGCGCCGATGCGCGTTTCGCGCTGGCCGCCCGCCCGCCGTGGGGCGGCGCCTGAAGCAACTATTTCACAACAGAGGTGTTGCACAGTATGAATATATGATACGAAATTGAACGTATTAAGAATAACAGGCATCCTTTAAAAGTACAGATCTTTCCTCGCAAAATAAATCAAGATACTTATCGTAAACTGGAAAAATCTAAGGGCCTTTAGCTGAGGCAAATCAAGAGGTTCATCCGGTTCAGGTGTAACAAGGTGGGAAAATCTTGAAAGATAATTAAGTACTGTTACACCAAAGAGGTGTAGAGAGTTTTAGTGAATTTTGTCTCATGGAATTGATGCTCCCCCGTTTTTACAAAAACTCTCAACTATATTATTATTATTCTCCGTTAGATCAAACAGACAAAACAAAAAAAAAAACAAGCAAACCCTCATTCTTCCAAGATATTTTACATTTTCATCCAAAAACGTCGTGAGCAATTGTCGTTTGTATTTACATGTGGGCCAATTAACTTTGGGTCTCAACTGGCACGTGGACCAAAACTCCCGTGCCGAAAAAACGCGTGGACGTAAATTACTGGAAAAAACAGGTGCGCGGACAAAAAATTGTTGACGAAATGTCCTATAACCATCTCGAGTTATCTCGGGGGAAAGTTTATTCTACGGGCTGATTATTGAAGTTGATGCACAAAGCAATAGACATGGAGGACAAAGAGGAAATGGACCGATCCTATTGGGTGGAAATGAACAAAGGGGGTAAGTAATTATAGTTATTCCGTCATGTTCCCTTTTGTCTGTAAAAATCACTTGTTTCAACCGATAGAAAAGCTCCATTTTCCCGTCATTTTCTTTGTCTATGGTTTTGTCTATCAATTTCAATTACCAGCTCGCTAATATGAGCCCCGAGCTTCATAAGAATACATGCATGGCGAGGCTCATGGCCCAATGGATATAATTTCTCCTGATTTAAATACGTCCGAATGAATAGTGGCTCCATGTGTGTTTCTACAGGGCACGAAAACAGGGCAGTTGTTTGACAACGTTTTCCAAGATTTGGTTCAGCTGAGCAATTCCTGCGAAGGCTCCAATTGGACACTGAATGACTTAGAAGAATTGCCATTGGTTGAGCAAATTCCTATTCTGCATCGGCTGGACCATTCCGTGCACACCGTTCGTATGTGGGCCATGACCAGAACTCGAATACTCGCCAATTTTTGGAACGTCGACCAGTTCTTTCGAGTTACTCAAACTGACATCCAATCTTGTCTCACTGCCCTAAGCCAACTGAAGGTGAGCATTATTGTATTTAAGTCGACCACGTAACGTATATATGACGGTATACACGTGGAAATATCCCAATTGGACGTATTCCCGCCAAACGAAACTGTGTGCATTAAGGAATGAGCCATGGTACCCATAAGAATACATGCATAATGCACATGGTTCCGTTTGATAGAAATATGCCCAATTAGAAAGAGGCTATCTCCATTAGTGACTTGAGCCGTGTCATGTATGTATTCATATGGATCTCGAGACCCATAGTTCCTCAAGATACTTCCCTTTGGCTTTACGTCAATATGTTGTGCTCAGAGTCAAAAAGGCTTCAGCACTTTGCAACGTTGCCCTTGGCAATCTATTTTCCAAAATTGTAACAAATTTTCTATAAAAATGTTCAAACATTTTCTTTGCGATTTGAAAATTTCTTCATTCAACAAAAGCAAAAAAAACCTCAGAATTTAAATATTGTCGGCCGAAGTAAAACAATGCATATATCCGATTGCGACGTTGCAGACTTCCGCTCATGTTTTTTTTTATTTGACAAATGGAAACTAACCAACACTTCGATATTCTCGTAAAATTGTCTTTATTCTTTCAAATATATTCACTGAAACTTTCAAGGATAATACTTTAGTCAATTTTCTAAAAAGAAGAAGAAGAAATGATTCGAAAAAAGAAAGAAAGAGAAAACCTAGCTTTTTTTAATTATTAAAAAAAGGGAGAAGAAGAGAAATGATTATAAGAGGTACTCGCAGATTTTCAGACTTTGGCAATAGACACATTATTCAATCACTTGATGATTAAAATCCCGTTTTCCAGCTAGCGAACCAATCAGACCTATTGGGTCCTGGTAGCAGCGTCCATGTCACAGTGTGCGCTAGGATGAGGATGAAGCTTGCATCAGAAGTTCGTGCCAATGTCGAAAAATTACAAGTTAGTTCGCCAATAGTAATTGATAACTTCGATCGTCTCTTTGACTAGTTGATCACATCATTCAGAGGGATCTAATAACTCATAAAATTTGCAATAGAAATATTTTGGATCATTCATATTGCTGGCAGTATGAGTTATGAGTATTCTGCGGTCTATAGTGACATCTTGTGTCAGAGTGCGTTCCAATGTGTTTTAATGAAACACCCAACCGTTTCTTCGTGAACAATTAGTAGATGAACCAAGTAAATAAATACATTTTCATAAATACTCCTTCATAAATCTGGCGTGATCGAAGGTCAGAATTAGAGAGAGCAAACAGGTAAAGTACAAGTGCCATGCTGATACAATCACTTCCTGAAAAATCAATTAATATTGATCATGCTTCTGGAAACGAATATAAAGAAATTTCAATACTTGTGTATAAACAATGTAATATCAATGAATACTTAGGTAATTCAGTAAAAATTGAGTAGGTCACAAATCAACTTCTTCCTTGCCAGGGGTTGGGCCTTGTGGCTGTCAGGAAAAGGACCCCGAGGTTGCATCACACTATATTGTTCCAGCATCGTGTAAAGTAATGTCCTACGTTATCAAAAACGTTTGCTAAAATATTATTTTAGCATCTTTGAAGTTGGAACGGCACGGCCAACACGAGCAAATTATAGTTGTACACTTGAGGATAGTAAGTGCGCCTTCAATTTAGATGCATGCATCACGGACATTCACGAAGAACGAATAGTTGCATCCAGGAGTTTTTTAAACAAAAAGTATTTTCGTCCATTCTCAGTTGATGCTGGTTCCCATTCTGCTATGCAAGGGACGAATGTCGTATGAGCATTCAAATTTTGCCAAAATGATGACATATTAGTTTTTATAACTAAAACTAAGTATTTTATTTATTATTAATAACTTACTTTAAAAAAGATTATAAATATTTTCCCTTGGAATTATCAGAAACTCTAGATAGAATTCTGACCAAAATTATCGGAGAAATTGGAAGAAAACATCCATGATTTCCCAGAAAATTCGAATTTCATGAAAGGAAAGCCGGTAAACGTCCGAATTTTCATGCACCTTGTTCTGTAACTCGGCAACTCAATTTCATTGGTCTATAACTCGAATGAAGGGCTTGGGGGATAAGGCACATATGTGCAATTTTTGCTTTTCTGAGTAATAAGTGTTGGAAGTTTTAAAATTATATGGATCCCTATGGCGGAAAGAAAGTTTAAACTCACTTTTTGATTATTTAAAGCTGGATTTTAGTCGTGAAGTTTTCACAGAATATACTTTCCAACTACTTTTAGTTGTGCTCATGAACATCTCAATTTTTTCAAAAACTGCGCTTACGCGTCTTGTCCTCCAAGCCCCTCTAATGACACCGATAATGAGCTCGTAACGGCAATTTAACTTTTTTTTTTTTTTTGGTTGCTGGTTTATCGGCTTATATTCCGTTAGGAATCTACAGCCATCGAAGAATTAGCACATCCATGCTCCAGGCTTCTCAAATTTTCAGGGATTTAGGCCGAGTAGAATCTGTTTCAGCAGATCCACTCGTCAGTTTCGTAAAAATTTGATGCCACTTCCGGGATTAGAACCCGGGACTGTAACTTCAACTTTCTTTTCTTTAACGTCGCCACTTGCCATACTGAAGCGTCCGTAAATGTGTTTGTTTCTCTTTTCAATAATACAGAGTCTTCCCAGTGAGTGCATCACTGCTCTGTCAAAAGTGTGTCGGACGATCAGTTTAGCTAATTTGCGTCTGTGTTTTCCCACCCACGAATACTGGAGACAGCAACTGGATGAAATTCCTCAATATGCGTCTGGCTACGTCGAAGAATATCTTGGTAAGTATAGAGAATGTTTATCAGATGTCTTGTAATACGGATATTCTTTCCTCATAGAAAAAAATTACCTGGAACTCACCACATAACGTCAAAAAATGCGTATCTTCATATTGCAACATTTAAATACAATATCCCTTTGCCCTTTATGTTTCAAGTCCTCTTCTAGAGTTGTTCTCTACAGTCTACAATGGGTCAGTGGCACACGTTTTCACTACTTTATTTTATGAAAGCACGGAGTGAACTAGCTTCCAGGAATTTGTTTTTATTTTTTTAACCCTAATGACAAAGTAACCCCATTTTTAAAATTCCAGAAATGATACCCTGTTCAAAGGATATTTTAATTAGCTCCGATGAAGAAGCTTTGCGAAGGAAATGACGTTTGCCAATGGTTGAACTCAGGTTCAGTCATCGGCTTGCCACGTCAATTGAGGGGCTTGGAGGACGAGGCGCATAAGTACGATTTTTGCTATCTCGAGAAATACGTGTTTGAAGTTTCGAAATTGCATGGATCCTTATGGCGAAACAAATTTCAAACTGTCTTTTTGATGCTTAAAAATGGGAATTTAGGAGCGAGATTTTCACAGAATATGCATTAAGACTAGTTTGACTTGAATCGCTTTAATATCTTGATTTTTTCAAAAACTGCACTTATGCGCCTTGTCCTTCGAACCCCTCACTTCGACTGTTGATCGGTTTGATTTTGACCAGCTTTTCTCCCCTTAGAAAAAATTGTTTGAACTTTTTTATGGACCTTTTGGGCTCCCTACGAAGTTTTACGTAAGACAAAGTATCCTCGAACCTTCAGAAATTCCTCGCCACTGCTCTATTCAGACTTGCTTCGTCTTTCATGTGTTTCAGATCGAGTTTTGAGGCCAGTCCTGATAGCATCGGGTCTATTGTCAGAGATGCTACAGAAGTCGGTGTCTGGTCTTGTTCTATGCATCATGTGCGAGGCATGGCTGGATCACATTTACGCCAACAAGATTAAATTTAGGTGAGGATCACCATGACATCTCATTATTTAATCCTTAGATGCCCAAAACTTTTTTATATGCAAAGTCCCAAGTCGAGTCAAATTGACCCGTATTTAAATACATTGATTTTGATACTTTTTGTAGTATCTATGTTATTCCTTTGTTTCCGAGGATAAGAAATGCTTCTTTTGAAAGTTGCAACTTTTTGGTAACATACGGGCGCTATTGCATTCCTTTCCTCATCCGCTATATGTATCTCCCCCAGAAGAAATAGTCGGGTCGATCTGACTCTTCAGAGAAATTCCGGGATCGAAATGCACGGTGTGTTTGAGAAAAAAGTATCATGTATTATACCCATCAATCTCCTCAGCAAAATCTGGCGACAGAGGCGGATCAATAATTCGGCAATACCGGCTTTTCTCTATTTGAACCTATGCTAAATAATCGATTCTTGTCGGATCACCCGGCCCCTCCAAGAATCGTTACATTTATATAGGTTTAAATCGAGGGAAAACAATGTTGCCAATTTGCTGGATCCGCCAATGTCTGGCGAGTTGATTTCTGAAATCTCCGTCGCATAAATAAGTCCCGGTTTTCGAGTTATTTTCGATGAAAAATTAACCAGTGATATTTTCCACAAGGGCCCCAGAAAGTGGACACCAGACGGATCAGCCAATCAGCGACTCGAAAAAGTAGTCGTTGCCAATCGGCCCGCAATTCACATTCCAGCTTTTTGCTTTCTCTTTGCTCTGAGACCGAGACGATATGTCTATGTTTAGCCCGTAACTTTTTTCAGTGTTCTTATACGTGAATTATATTTATGAGTTTAAGTATGCGTTTTTTCATCTATGTGTAAGTTTAACCCTTTGTTGCATGAGCTAATCGTTGATTTTGGAGAGAAAATCTACATTGTTCAGTATTTTTTTGACACTAGAGTCGGTTGGAATCGATTTTCATGGTTTTTTCTAAGCAAGAAGATCAGACATATAATGTTCCCCAAAAATTATTTCTTGCTTTGATTCAATTTAATACTCCAGCATGGAAATAAAGCTGAAAAACATTTGTTGCTTAGGTATCATGCAACGCTATGCAATAAAGGGTTAAACCGAGTTTCTTTTGTCCTAGTGAATGGGGCGCTTTGCAGCTGCTGACAGACTTTGGGGCCGTTCCAACGTGGTTCAGCGAACGAATCACTCTCTCGAAAGAAGTGCGAAAACACCTTTTAGCAAATGAAGTCCTGCGACGGTGTGAGGGGGTTGGTCGCTTGCTTTTACGGCGGCGGGGAGAACACATCGCAATGTCCAAACCACCAACGAGGAGAAGGAAAACACAAGGTGAGACCAAGAAACACGCCGCTATGCTAAGGAAAACCGCCGTTTCAAAATTCGACAATTGCCAAATTTCCCTCGATAAAATGTTAATTCTTGCGGAAAGTTATGCTATTTTGCTTTGAAATTTTCAAATTTTTTAAATGAAATTTTGAACAAAACTGTTTAAAAAATTGGAGGAAAAATATTCAGAATTTTCCTAGTAAATTCGTTTCTTATCGAAAGAAATATTGCAAAATTAAGCTATCTAAATTAGCTTTCCGAAGTTAAAATTTCCAAAAATTTAACTTGCACCATTTTAAAACAATAATAGAAAATTGCTACTGTGAGCAAAGCCTTCTTTTTTAGTGCTTTTTTTAACGATTCGTCGAAAAAGATTGTAATCGTCTCATCCGGTAGTTCATTTAAACCATTGACAAATCATACTTCTTTACGATGCGGCGTATGGATCGGTGCCCGTGATAATATATTGAGCATAAGATGTGTAAACACCGGCATGACAGCAGTTTTGCCGTCTCGTGTAATCCTTGTTTATACGCCCCGAACAGCAAGCAGTGAGGAGTATCAAGCCAAGTTAGGTTCGGTTGGGTTAAGCAACTAAACTAACTCTGCGGTGGAGCGTAAGGTATGAAGCGAAATTGAAGGCGTTTTGCTGTGTTCTCACAGATCAGTATTCCAGCTTCTACTGCGTGCTTGAAGAAATGTAAATAAAATGAAAATACCTTTTGATGGAACTTTCAGGATCTTGTGATAGTGTACTTCTACTAACATTCTAGACAAAAATTAAAATATTCTATCGAGCTCCTGGAAAATAAAGCCCCTTTAAAGTTTTCAAGAAATTAATTCGGGAGCACAGACGGAGGAGACCCCCTCACGCCCGTTTGTTTGCTTTAATGGGGTTAAAACTGTTATATGGTCTTCCTTGGCGTGTAAAAATATACCTCTGAAAGTTTCAAGAACCCAGAAAAGATTTCCTTGCCAAGTTGAAAATGTTGACATTCAATTTTGAAACAAGGACTGAATAAATTCACTGAGTTGCGCTTTATGGCAAAAAATCGTTAAAAGTACTTGTGTAATTAATAGACCATTGATGATTGAATTTGGGTTTCGGATTGCAGAGGAAGAAGAAGAGGACGACGAAGACACGAAGGCAGTTCAGTCGCCGTCGGACATGATGCCTGCCGAGATGTACGTGCCGAATCAAGAACAGTGGCTGGAGCTTCGCGCGCCACGTCCCTTCAACCCTCTCACCTTCTGCTGCGGCCCCTTGGCACCCATAATTTTCCACACCAATCTCTAAGAAGAAATAGTTAAAGGGCTGTATTTATAATTATTGTTCCTTAATCGAAAACATCCTCGGAGACAGAGGCGATTCAAGCAAGTTGGCAACAGGGGTGCAAAAATGTCCGCACCATGGGACCGGCCGGTCCTGGCCTGATCCCGTGAAATGGGGGAACCTATGTGAGGACGAGAAAAATGGAGGGACCCTGTGAAAAGGGGGAGTTCTTTTTTTTGGAATGTGGGGAACAAGACATTCAAGCGCCCTGTTTTGAGGGGGCAAAACTGTCGACAGCGTTACTTTATGTGTAATCCTACGAAAACTTGAAATGAGGAAGCCTATACTTATTTTGGGGGAACCCTTGGAAGTTTCTGCGCCCCTGGTTGGCAACACTATTAATAATTCGTCTAAATTCATTGAATATATCGATTCTAGGTGAGACAGGCTGCCTCGCCTAGAATCGACAGTTTAACATAGAATCAAATGGAAAAAACAATATTCAACCTGCAAGAGTCGTCACTGCCCGGAGCGACTGATTTGGTTTACCTACATTAACCATGAAATATCCATGGCCAAAATGCCGACCCATCTCTGTTTGCGACGTTGTGGACATCCTTTCATACTTTATTTTTTCTTTGGGAAACTAGACTATGTATTCTTGAAAACCTTCTTAATTTCTCTCCTTTGTTGACAAAATATTCTTAATAAATTTTAAAAGCTCTGAAGTTGGCTTGTTTGTCTTCTAAAAAATAATTTAGGAGCGGAAATTTTGAAGCACAGCAATGGAGAAACGTGGTGTCGCATTGTGGCCATTGATACACTGCCGTGCTAAGGAAAAACGCTGTATGAACCCTCAGACGGTGCCAAATTTCCTGGTGAACTTGTGAATATTTTCCTTCCAGTTTTTCAGACAATTCCGTTCCTAATTTCACCTAAAGTTCCTGAAAATTTCAAGAAAAAAATCTTCATACCTTTCCTCATAAATGAACATTTTATCGAAGGAAATTCGGCAAATCTCAAATGCTCATACGGCGTTCTTCCTTAGCACGGCAGTATTTATTCTACTTACGTCTTCTACGAGACAAAAACCATTCAATCAAATAAACGAAAACCGGTAGCAACAAGGCTTACTTACAAGAGTTTCTAATCTCTTGTTCAAAAACGCAACCGGATTCTTTTGGGTCAACTCCGGACCTCAAATCGTCAAGAAATAATCAATATAATCGTCAAGACAAACGTCTTGACGATTTGTCGGTCTTGGCGGTTAAGAATGAGGCATAATGCCTCATTCTTAACCGAATGCAAAAATTTACGACGTAATTGTCAAATTTCGACTCTGATAAACAGCATATTCCTAACCTGCCATTAAAGCACATATAGGTGTAAGAAAACTGTACCCTGTATTAAAATGTAAGTATACCATGAAAATAAATCGTCTGTTCTACTTTTTCTTCTCGTAAGTTTATTTATTTTTTCTATCTCTCTCGAAGTCACCAGAATAATTTCGTGATACCTAGAGTTAAAAATCTCCTCTCTCACATTTTGTTACACTGGAGGATAGAATATTCTAATCGGAAAAAAGAAGGAAAAATCTAACACGAATAAGATCTCTGCCATGAATGAAAAGTAAAACTTGAGTACGGAATCTGTCTTTCGTAGGAGATGTCTGTGACTCAAAATTTTTGAGCCCATTTTACACTACTTACAATCTGCATTTCTTGTAGAACAAGTTCCGACGATAGGCAATGATAAATAGTTTTGAGCTAGGTATTCTCCCTCATTTCTCAATTCAGTTTTGCTTTTTATTTAGCTTTATAGCCTTGCTTTATACATCAACCTATCATTAGATCTCTTATTCCAATTGGAATTTTTATCGGCGAGTGAAGAAAATAGTAAAAAAGTAAGGAAACTCTACCAATAATAAGAATGGCCAAACTTATGCAAGCAACTATTACCGCTTCTAAGTCGCTCACATTGCCTATACGAACTATTGAAGGCGGCCCGGTCCGCATGAACGCTGATCACAGGGCGTGTAGTCACTGCACCCAAGGTACACATCCCTCCTTCCTCAGTCCTCTGGAGCACGCAATTGAGGCGGAAGCAAAAAGGTCATTTCTTGGTTTTGGTGTTTCAAAATCTCCACTGCTAATTTATAAATTAGAGAGGAAATTATCGGACGAATTTTCTGACATTTTTAATTTTCAGTATTGTAAAATTGTAAAGAAATTTAGTAAAATTTTTACAAATTCTACGCACTTGCTTTGATTATAGTGGATGAAACGTTAACGGAGATCCTGAGACACTGCAACCAAGAAGTTCCCTTTCTGCATCCAACGCCTTAATCGCGGCGTTCCTGTGGTCTATTATACAGGGTGATTCAGGGTTAAACGGCCAGACTGAAAGAGCTGAAACACCCCCTAACTCCCTCTTTAAATTGAGATTTCGATTTTTTTCGATCATTCATGAATTCAGGGCATAAAAGTACAGGAAAGTACACATTTTTATGAGATTTCGTTCACAACCGTTGACGAAATTCAGGGAAAACGATTTACTCTCCGAAATTTTGAGGGGCCTAGGCTCCGACTGGGGCACTTTTGGAAAAAACTTTATACAACAAAAAAGTCTTATTTTGACCCGTAGAACACGCTCCTGCAGTCTGGCCGTTTAACCCTGGATCACCCTGCACCATAAAACGTGCTCGTGGGTGTTGATTATCCTCATAAACTTAGGTTTTATTTATTTCCTCTGCTGTGGAATGACTTAAACGAATTGAGTGTGCAATTGGAAACACATTTCACAGAAAACAGTGCCCCCATGAATGAAAATTATGAGAAAATCTATGCGCGAAAAGTATCGCATAAAAGCAATAACTTTTTCCGTTTTGTATCTATATTTTGTAGATCGGAGGCAAATAGTACATGGAAATTTATATATACATGACAGAGTACTCATAAGAAATTTAGTCACGCGACGCGCATTGTCCGATTCGTACAATCATGCCCAGACCAGTGTCTCACCAACTTGAAACAACATTAACTGAATCGTGCGGAAACCGTGCGTCAATAGGAACAAGAATTTAAAACGATGGCCAAAGTGCAAAACCGCGTATCGCTATTACAGTGCTTGAAAAATTTCTGCTCCCATTCCCCCCCCCCCTTTGTTAGTTCCCGAAGAGGGACAGCCAAATTTATGCCCTAAAATTTTGCAGAATATTTCTGTTAATATCTAAAGTCAAAGGGTGTTTTATAAAAATTACTTTGGCTGGTTTTCTAAGTAAAATTGAAAGTATGACAGGAAGTCTGCAACGTCGCAATTGGACTTACGTGGTTTCGCACTTGAGACGTCGAAAATGAGAAAGTAAAAATTTTAGCGCTCGTTGTCTTGTAATGTAGTCAGCGTATCATGCCTCTCAGTTTTCCTGCAATCGACGAGGTAGGCAAAAGCGGGTCCTCCGAAGCCGCAATAGTTGTATTCACTCACGTGTAGGGTTCACGTGTGTGACGTCTCTTCTCAGTTCTCTTTCTCGTAGTCTCGTCTCTCAACGAATTACGAAAAACTTCATCGGTGAACGAAAATTCTGAGAAAAATCAGGTATCATTTTATCATCCTTATCATTCATCCCAGCAAGTATTGTCATTGTCACTTCGGGAAGGTGTTTATGTTCCTTTTCATCACGAAAGTGCTGTGTCTCAAATGTATTCTCTCCTAGAAACTTGGAACTGCCTGGCACCGGGTATTTGTTTTCGTGTGGTTGATATGAATATCTGATATCATCTTGGTAAGAGTTTCAAGCCCTTTTTGTTCCTCTTGGTATTTTCATTTCAAGTAACCCCTTGAAGTTTTCTGTTTATAACATTCATTGGGCATTCAATCTGCATCTGACATGTAACCTCAAAGCATCACTTATAACATCTATTCGATCTGCTGTAATGAAGGCAAATCATTACTCCTCCCCCAGAATTCCTTATTTTTTACAGTGATTCGTCAAGCTTCAGTGACGAGGTCGAATTGACATGCGGTATATTGCATTGATTAGGTCAAAAATCATGGCAGATTTTGAATTTTTAGCAAAATAAAGAATGAAAGCCCCTGCGCATGAGCCGAAAGAATCATTCACAACCCAAAAATCAGCTATATTCAGAGAAATGAAAGCCAAATAGTGTCAGGAAGAAACATCGCAATTGATACAGAAATCGAATGTGAGGGTTTTTTCCTAATACTACTCTGCCTTCATTCCTTGCCGATTTTGGGGTTTAAATTAATTCTTTAGATTTATGCGCAAGGGCTATCGTTCTTTTTTGTAAATAATTCAACATCTGTTGAGATTTTTGACCTAAATAATCGATGTGTTAGGTATATATCGCATGCCAGTTACCACGTCATCGGAGCTTGCCGAATCATCTTAACACATCTCATGTCATACTTGCTGGGTCTCAAGCCACGATATCACTGGCCATTTCATCATTGAAGGAAGGATTGTAAGCCAAAATTATGGCTACTTGATGGTGGACAGAGTGTTCTATCATTCACCATGTATATTGGACGGTGTACCTAAGTCGGCAATCACATAATTCAGTTTGCAACGCCGCAGACTTCCCATCATACTTAATTTTTAATTGGAAAACTACTCAACAGCAATTCTGTAGAACTGCCGTGATTTTTCTCCTCTGTGGGTAGAAAATTCTGTAAAAACTTCAAAGAATGATGTTAATTCTTTCTCCTTAAAAAAATAACATATAAGTAGAGGCGGAGATTTTCAGACACTGCAAACAAGTTATGTGATTGCTGACTTACACCGTCGATATCCTTTATAAATTTACAGAAGGTGGTGAAATACAGGTTCTATTCCTTATCAGGGCAGTTACAGCATTTTGCCAATAGTGCGCCTGCCCAGGAATTTACTCAGTGCCATTCAAAAGAGAACGAACAATTCCCGGCAATCTTTTTCCATAATTTGAATCTATGGAAGAAAAAATGTTGTCAAAGTTTAGCAAAATTCAGCATCTCTAGGCACCTACAATGAAAAATATGCAAGTGGAAGTTGTATTCAAATGTTTGAGAAAATCAAAGAATTAGAAAATTTTAGAATCAGGACAAAGCCATGAAAGTCTCAAGAAAAGTGTGATGTCACAAAAGGTCTACTTCCTAAAATAATATCACCATTCAATTCAAAGAAACAAGAAGAGAATTTTTGCATAAAATATCGCATTTAATATAGAAATTCATCAATATGTATTTTCAATGTGATACTTACTTTGGATCTAATGAGTCCTGCTATCATTTATTGGACCTATGTAATTTTTTTTCATGTAAATGACCTAACACTCTTTCCCAGAGCTAACGTCTATTTTTACCCAATACTCATAGTTTGCCTGTTTTTTTATCTAATCCTTTTAAATCATCTTACTTACCTCATTTTTTGTTCCTTTTGTAGATCCTTTAGTGTAGATCCAGCAGGTGAAGCAATATTCTTCCTCCGTTGAAAAAAAATTCCAAACCCAAATACCTAATGAGTGAAAATTTTGTGGATGATCAGAACTTCTTCATGGATTTCACAGATCAGGTAATCATTTAATTTTTAAACTTGAGCTACCATCTCTCCCTGCTGTAACATCAGGAGGCAGTTCAGAGGATGGAAATTTTTCAAAATATTGTGAAAACAAAGCATCTGTAGATGTAGTTTCCTCAAGTAATCAAAGGCAACAATGTAAGTGACAGAATATAACTGTACCGGGTCGACTGTTGAATGGTTATTGAATAACCTGAATTGTTGTATTGCATCGCTAAGATGGGGATTTATCGATCAAGATCATTGGATAATGATTCAAGAAGCGATCCGCTGATATAGAAAAACCTGATTTTTAGCCTGTGTCAAAAAGCTTTTAAGTATCCCCCAATAGTAACAAAAAAATTTGTTTGCTCAATATTGAAATACTTGTAATGCTCAATGAAAAAGAGCATCTAATGTCTGCGCTGTTACATTGTAGGAAAAATCCTTTCTACATTCACTCCAAAATTGAAATGGTTGCCTTCTAATTATTTGGTTTTTGCTTTTTCAGTTTCCTATGAATGGCCAGCCGAATGGTGAGCATTTTTTCACATGAAGTATTGCTATCTCCTTTCTCTACTTTTTGACAAGATACTGGTCAGAATCTCAGTGATCATCAAATTTGATTATTGAGCGCTTTCATTGGTTTTAATCAACATCTGCCCAACTTTAGAAAGGAAACAACTGTGAAGGATAAAACGTAGTCAAAGTATTCAGTGAAGGCACCCTTCCTTATTGTAGCTTTTTTGATGAATTATGACTTTGGCACAGTCGTCAGATTTAATTCTGAATTATTTCAATTATTTAAAGATCTTCAAGAGACAATATGCATGACTTATGAGGTACCTACAACTTGCAAGTCGCAGCTCTCATTGGGCACCTAAACATTTTGGCAATTTTTGTACATTGATGGCTGAATGTGAAAAATGCAAACCTCAATTCCTATTTTCAAAAACTTCCAGGTATGTTTCATTTTTCATAAAGTTCCAGCTCTTTTAGAGCCCCAGGGTAAATTGCAGTCGGCAAGGGCTTATTGTTAGATATTACTCTTATTTCTAGAGATTTTTCCTGCAGTAAGTAATAACGGTTTTCTCTTCCAGTTCAACAGTGTCGTGTCTGTGAAAAACTGTTCTCACAAGGCGAAGGAATTGATATATTCAGTCAGAACAGTGATATCCTTGAAAAAATTCATTTTTTCCTTTTTATTTTTGTAAGTACATTTCAATACTTTTCCTTAAAGAATATATTTTTATAAACTGTTTCTTATTATATCAAAATGATTTTTAAGAGGCTTCATGTTTTCCTAAAAACCTACACGTTTTTCAAGAGGAGTCTCTATTTTTACAAAAGTGCTGTTTGACTGAAGCTTTTACTGTTAAAAGCAGTTTAGTTGTGTTCATCAATTATGTATGAGAACAGCGCTGTACACATCGGTTACAGATTCAAGATATTTATCAAAAAATTTTTTTTAGGCTTTTCTTTTGTATAGCATTATTGAATTTAAAATTTTAGGTTATACACTCACTCTGTCGATCTTTGCTCACCTTTTAAAGCTAACATTTTTCCAATAAATGAATTGCTTAATTTTGCATGATTATTTATTCGTGTACCTGGAACTGATAATTTTGTAAGGAACTAGGAACTCGCCAATTATATTCATTTTTCAATTGCATTATTTTAGGTGCATCCTAATGACAATTTGTCCAAACATATCTGCACTGCCTGTTACAATCACCTTGCCTGGATGAGCGATTCTTCTCCTAATATTGTGCCTCCGGTAAATGAACCACCTGACTTGGGCATATTTGCGAACTTCAACCAAATGCTGGTAACTCGATATTTTATGGAACCTTTTCTATATCTTAAAATCAGATTTTGATGAGATAAGAGGGAAAAAGGCATTATAAGCGAGGTCTTATATGCACCAGCAGTGATCAAAAATTCCTAATAATGGAAAAGGAAGGACTGTGCACACTTCTTTTGGCATTTTTTTGTTTATTGCGTTCCCCGCGTTGTTTGGTCCTGATCAAATGTCCCATTTGTCCTATTTGTCTGTCTGAGATACTGTTTTGGCACAGTTTATGGTTGAAGCAAGACCAATCCACAGAGGTCAGTCATTCCCTTGGACGAGTTTTGAGACCCTCCTGTGCATTGTAGCGGGAAATCTAAATGCCATACATTTTTCATGGGAGCAGCCAATGTTATGCCCTACTGGCTGTGGTAGAGTGAGGGTTGAGCAGGGAAGGGAATTCCAAAAAGATGCGCAATGACTAACCTGTACGCATTGGACTTGGATCAAGGTTGCGATAATTTGCCGAGTATATGAAGTTAACACAGTAACAAGGAGCCAAAGAGATGTCTTTTCCTCTCAGCACTTAAGAACGGTCTAGGTGAGAGAAACATAGGAATGGAAAAAGGAAAGAAAAACAAAGACAGACAGGCAACAAGCATTTTCATTAATGCCAATGGAAACTGTCCAAAATATGAGAGTAAGAGAGACATAGAGAGTACGAAGAAATATATGAGGGGATAGATATGTGTTGAGTTTTTACTTTAATCACACCTGGCCCGTCCTAGAGTGCTGAGAAGAAAAATAATCTCTCACTGTCGAGCAAACAAGCCAGAATTGCTGTTGTTGCATAATCACACATATTCAAGTGAATGGGTGCGTAAGGACAGTTTAATTAGGAATATGTACTCTGTATAGTTTTAAACTTGCCCGATAACGATTACATATGGATCAAATTTCCATTTTCTATGCTTTCAATTAAATGTTTTTTTTTTTTTTTCCAGGAGGAAGAAGATAAGAAAATGTCTGCAGAGTAAGTTCTCTTCTTTATGTCACCCTCATTAACGCTACAATTCTGGAGTATCAGTTTTCTATTTGTGCTTTATGCTTAAAATTTGAGGGTATCCTTAAGTAACAATTTTTATTACAGTGCATTACCATTTTTCCTCTATTGGAATCCTTCCAAAATACCGATTCTAGGTGAGGCAAATCAATTGTTTTTCTCTCTTTTAAATTGAGAAAAGACAGTGTTGCAAACCTGCAAGAATCGCTTCTGGTATCGTGTCACCAAGCCGAAGGAAATCTGTTTTAGTTTTTTTCACCATATCTGGGCACCAAAGATGTCAGTTAGAAGTTGATCTTTATCTTTTCTCTCAGCAAAAAAATGTAAATAAATAAAATTAAGAGAATTGATCGCAACTTTTTCTTGGGACCACAAAGTTTTCTCTGTCAAATCTCTTGAAATCCAAAAACCGAATTTTATACTCAACTTGAGAAAAATTGATCATACAAAAAAATGTTCATGGGTGGCTCAAGGTTTTCCCCCCACAAATGGTCCAAATTCATTTCCTAATACATAATCCTTGTTTTTGTTGTCATCAAATGGACCGCGTTAAACAGGAAGGAACCAAGCCACGTCAGCTATTGCCAAATTTAATTGGCTAATTTAATATTTTACATGATAACAGTTGTGCGGATTTTCGTGCAAATTTCAGTGAATTTTCTCCATAGTACGAAGCAAATTCCTTAACATTTTCATAGGGATCCGCACAAACGTTTTCTCGTAAAAAATTAAATTGCCCAGTTAAAATTGGCAATAGCTGATGTGGCTTGGATCCTTTCTGTTAAACGCGGTCCAAATAACCCAAGCATTTGACTTCCGTCTCATATGTTTCTCTTTAATTTTGATCTACAGGCCTGTCTATGTTCTTCCCAAACCAATCAAAAAAGAAAGTAGTGTTGAAATGTCTCCTGCAAATTTCGACTCACCACCCGCTTCCCTCTCAGATCCCACTCCATTCCATGTAAAACAAAGAGATCTGAGTGATCAAGATGATAATTCCTCATTTGGTAGAAATCACCATTACCTTAGTTTATTTTATTTTATTTTTTTACAAGCCCTGTCTCTTTAAACATCCTTCGTGGTCTTTTATTTCTTTATAGGATATACTGCCAATAATTGGACCTCACCGACTGTGACTTCTCATTACTAGTCTTTTTTGCATTCCAAGTGTTCTATTTAGTTTTTAACACTTTTCTAGGTGTAATTTAAAATTACCAACTTTTTATGCACCTGAAATGAAATGTCTATACTGTGATTTCTCAGCCAACAAGTCTGTTTAACTTTCAAAGATGTTTCATCAGCCATTACCCTCCTTTCAAGTTCCAAGATGCCAGGAATGATCCTCTAGGTTTCTGACACCAGTCTTCTTATTCTCTCAATACTAAATCAACTAATATTACCTTTTCATCAATTCCATCTTCGAGTCAACTTGGCACCCATTAGGTGCACACATTTACATTATTTACGAGTAGCTCCAATCCCACATCAATTTGATTTCTTTCCCTCTCCTGTTATGAACCTCCTGCAATTCGAAATTTCACTCATGGTTCCAGCGGCTTGATTTTGAGAAAAAATGTTCAAAGCCTTGAAAGCTCTGGATTTTTTATCATGTCATGTGAATAAAAAATAAAAAGTATTTCAACTTTCTATACTCTTTTTTTCAGGAGATGCATTCGAATTAAAAAGCAGCGGCAAATGTGGGATCCCATTTGATGAGTGTGACAACTTTCCCACATCCAGTCAGCAGCTCCGACAGCATCCTTCTCCTCTGTCAAGAGATATTTCATGCCACAATTGTAATGAAAAGTTCAGAAAAGTACAATTGTATCGCAATCACATTGAGGTATCTACGCACTTCTAACACTCTTCAAGTCATTAATTTGAAACTCTCTTTTTTCATATAAAATCTGTTTCCTGGACTTCTTGACACCAATTCCCAGGCAGAAGAGGCAGTCTTTACAGCGTTTGAGCCCAAAGGGGCTGATCATATACTGGTATTAGCCTATTCTGAGGTCATGATACCAACCTCAAAATTCTTCAAATTCTTCAAGAATTTTTGTCATTTGTAATGAAACTGACGGGCAGTATAGTCGCCTACGTAATGGAGAGGCCGTAACTAGTCAGTTTTGTGACATCCAACTAGTAGACAATTACCATAACAACAATCATCTCCGGGCCATTGGAACATTGATGAGTGAGGCAGTTGCCATATGGACCAATGAGAATGGCCCTTGATCGGCCGAAGTTGCATGAGCGGTGCGTCTGAATCTAAATGGAGTAACGATTTTCGGTATTTAGGTTTAATTCCCTCAATTATCAGACAATGTCATCGATGGACTAGTCAATTTCCTGAAGTGAAGTTTCATCCTCTTTCGAAAAGGTTGTAATGGATTTTTGCATTAGATCAACCCCTAAGAGATAATGGCACGAATGAAACACACGTCATGCGCCCTCCCATAAGAACACATGTTAAACCGTGGCCGAGTTGCATCTACTAGGGTGATGTCACAGCAACTTAGTTACGGCTTCTCCATTCTCGTAGGCAGCGGCAATTTATGACAGTAATGTAATAGAACTTTTTTTCAGTAGTAGCACTTCAATCAGGAGACACCTATCCGAGATTAATGGCATTGTACTGATGAGGTTTGAGTGAACAAGAATATTAAATGAATTGAATTCATTTATCCATGATTGAATTAGACTTTTATTTTTTTAATTATTTAGTAATTCTATCTTTTTTTAATCCCACTATAATAGGTATCTATCTAAACAAAATATGATTCCAAGTACTAAGCAACTTGCGTGTTCTTCAAAATTGCATCAGGAAAACGAATTGCACAAAGAAATGTGTAAAAATTAACTCTTGACCAAGATTTAAGTGTATACAATTAACATGGTTAAATGGCAAAAATATCAATGACAGCTGTCTAATTTAAACTTTATCTGACCCATGTTAAAATTTATACTTGTTAATATCTCGTTCAGGAGTTGATTTTGGAGCGCTGTGTTGTGTGGATTTTTTCCATGCAAAATTTTGAGGAGACAACATGCATACAATTTTAAGGTGAAGACCTTATCAAGTGACCTACTGTCATTTCAATTTATTCATACAACCCCTAAAAGTGATTCAGCGTACGTGAAAATTCATCTCTCAAGTTTTTCTTTATTTTTAAGACTCTGAAGGGTTGGACATATGGGCACAGAAATTTCGTGTTGGGTTTGGAGAGTTAGTAGATCAGCTTGTGGACTCTACCTACATAATCTCAAAATTATACTTAAGACTTGTTCATTTTTCTTAAGTTTCTCAAAATTAGAACAAGTGGATAGCAGCAGTATTTGCATGAGGCAAACTACTTATTAACTTAAGAAAGAAGCATAAATCATCCATCAGAATGCTTCAGATAATTTAGCTGTAGAGAAACATCTTTGTGTTTGGTCATCACAGCAAATGATGATGGTTCTCTGCTTTTGTCTGAAATTCAGTAAACTGAGATGATATCATTAAAGTATAATTTAATTTTGTTCAGATAGACTGAAAGTTGCAAAATTTTTCATCTTGACAGGTTTGTCTGCGAAGAATAAGACCGACAAATGACAGTCAACCTCTTAGTTCAAACCAGAAAAAGTCAAGTGTGTTTGTGTGTGAAATATGTAATGCCAATTTCAATCGCCTCAATCTTTTGGTAAGTAACATTTTCCTTCTCCCTTTTTTTCTTTCTTTTTCCTTAACATTTCAAAGGTGATCATAAAATATGCAGCAATCTTATGTGTTCTGAGGAATCACAGCAAGGTCGGTTTCAGAGGTATGTGTGGAGTATTTTATATTTTGCCAAATTTTTTATGAACACAAGAAAAAACACGGTATTCCCATTGCTGTGGAACAGGATATTTAGAAAATTAATTGAACCACAATATTTGGAGAGTTAAACAAAGTCATATAAGTACAAAAATTAAAAATTAGATTTACAAATAGAATCCTAATATATGTCAATAAAAAACTAAGAAGGAACATGTTCAGCTCCTAGACTGCATTTGAAATGCTTTGCAGGGGTCACATCAGCAGCAGTTTTGCTTTGGCACAGGACATTAGGGGAGTGAAGTCAAATTTGTAGCTTCCAGCCCAGCATCTCATACCAAGAACAGCGATAAAATGCCATTGTTGGTATTCCACAAGATGAAGCACTGAAGTTCAACTCCTTACTGTGTGCTTCATTACTTATTGCTGACCAATTCCTCAGACAAAACAAGGACAACCCCAAGAAATGTTTAGTTATGATTCATTTTCTTTCTTGGCTTTGGTTTTTCCTCAAAATCCTGTGGACTCAATACTGCAACATCCTGCCAAATATAAAATTTCGCTAATAATACTCAGTATCCTATCAAAATTGTTGTAGTCATTCAGTTTCTCTCTTGATAAAAAATAATCCATCTGAAGTGGAAAATGAACCCAGAAACTTTTCAATTTTTGTGTGCAATTTTAGGGGCCATCCATAAATTACGTCACCCAAGTTAGGGGGCAAGGGGTTCTAGCGGTGGATGACAGGGAGGGAGGGAGGGGTCAAGCCATGGAAGATGCAAGCTTTCTTGAAGGCAAAAAAGCTGAAAATGCTCGCTTAAAATTTGACTTTATCTACTGATTTTCATCAATTTTCTACGTTTCTCCCATAAAAGGGGGAGAGGTACACTAAGAAAGATGTAATTTGTGAGGGAGTATAGCAGTCAAAGACGGTTGGATGCAGCGACGGAGGGAGGGGTCAACAAATTGTGAAAAAAATGGGTGACATAATTTATGAACGGCCCCTAAAATTGCATACAAAAATTGAAAAATTCCTGGGTACCTAATTCAGGGGTTTTAATTTTTTATTTTTTTACTATTATTTTTCATTTATTTATTTTTTTTTTTTTCCTCCCCAGGTAAAACATCAATTGAAGCATAAACCAAAGTCTGAGTGGAAAGAAAAGTGTCACATTTGTGATCTGAGTTTTGAACGACATGCATTACTGGCCCGTCATCTAAAAACAGCTCATGCCGAGTCAGATCAGTCACCGTGGAAATGTAGACATTGTGGGAAGCACATGATGACAAAATTAAGTCTAGGCATCCATGAGCGGATCCATACTGGAGCAAAACCATATGTCTGCGAGTGGTGTGGGCAGCGTTTTCGTTCCCGAGCAAATCTGCTGCAACACCATCCGAAGCACACAGGAATAAAAAAGCACAAGTGCGAAGAGTGTGGAAAACAGTTTTCACGAAAGTCATTTGTTACTGCGCACATGAGAGTACACACTGGTGAGCGACCTTTCAGTTGCAGCATCTGCAATCGAAAATTTACGCAGATTGGAGATATGCGGAGACATGAAAAAAAACATGAGATATCAATTAAACATGGAAGAACGTGTTACACAGTTATCGATATAAATAAAAATCAATCTTCAGATTCTGTCAGCACTGCGGACAGTGATGATCCTTTAACTGATAGTGAGATAGCATTAAATGTGAAAGTTATTCAGGACTGCTGACAATGACAAGTAAACTCTATGAGCATAGCAAAGTTTTTCCTTCGAGTGCATCCTCCAATTTCCCCTTGAGTGACAGTAAATAGTGCCATATCGTAAAAATACTTTGTCATTTTCAACTCCATAGTTTGTAAATGTCTTTTATTCTCAAATCCTTTTCTCGACTTTTTTTTACGAGCCCCAACGTTTCTGTTCACCTCTCTCCTACAGAAATGGGATGGCTAGTTTCTCAACCACTTGATTTGATTCGGACCCCTCTGGAGGTTTGAAAGACCGTAAATACCAGGTTTTCTCCTTTTTAGAGTTGAAAATGAAAAGAAAGCATTTGATCTAATTATCCAAGCGATGAAATCCTTTTTTTTTTCATTTAGTTGCATCAAAAATAATTCAGAATAAAATTAGAGGAAAGTTTAAAGTTGTTGTAGCTTCATGCTAAAAGAACAATCCTATTGGTAATAGTATTATTACTCTCTTGCTCCCCTAGTTTTATTGGATGGTCTTGGCATAATATGTATTATTTGTATGTATCTGATTAACATGTGTTCGCATTTTCGTTGTTATCACCAAGTGGTAATAGCCCAAAGTTTAGTTTAACGCTCATACCTAGCATTTTTAATTGTAGATCTCCATCTAATTTTACTGCTGACTTTTTTTTTTTTTAAAGTGATAACTGTACTGCATTTTATTCTCATCAACCCATCTCAGTTTTGTGGAGGTTGATCACAGTTGATTGGAATGGCATGTCTTAAAAATAAATTGACTTGTGTGAAATGTTTGATGATGCACTTCTACTGAGTCTTTCTTGGTCACTATCACGCAGCCCAGTGGCGTGGCGTGAATTGCGATGTATAGATTGTTCAGCCATTTAAACCTATGGTAAAGAATCGATTATTAAGGTGTTCGCTGCGAACACCTTGTTTATCGATCCTTTTCCATAGGTTTAAACGCCCAAACAATCGATATATCGCAAAGCACGCCACGCCACTGACGCAGCCTCCAATTCACATTCATCAGCGATGTCAAAGTCTTTGAATAGGAAGTTTTCTCTAAAGAATGGCAAGTATTTGTGTATATTTGAAAGGTTATTAAGAACATTCGCTTTGATTATCAATGGTATAAATAAAACTATCCCATTTTTAACACTATGTATTACATATCAAACATTTTTGCACACTTATCCAGCTAAATCACAGCATGATTCAAATCACAGGTAATAAAAGTAACCATTAGTAAAGATTGCAAGAAGTGAGCCTGATTTTTATTTTGCATTAAATAATGTTGGAGGTTTCACACTTGCCCTAGCTCACTTCACTGTGATTTCAGCAATAAAAGGACATCATTTTTCAGGAAGTATTTTATTACAGATATATTTTTATCAAACTGTTAATCCATAGAATTGTTCACCTATTGTGGATATTAAGTTAAGAAATCTTATTTTAAAAAAAGGCTTTAACTGTTTTATTAAGTATTTTTGGAGCTTTGTTTTCATTTGTCAGAAGCCAGAAGCTCAAGTTGAGTAAAAGGCATTGCCCTATTCCTTCTATATTTATCGATCTGCAGTAGCTATCATGTTAGAATGCATACAGTCTACTTTTTTAGTGTATGCCATTTAATTTTGCATTTGTAACCCATTTAAGATCTTTAGTACCCTGTGATCAAAACCTGTGTTTGAAGTCATTCTTTAACTAATAAAGACATCTGCTATAAATCAGTTTTTTTAAACTTTTTTTTCTCTTTCAAATTTATTTGATGAAAGTATCAAATTTATCACAGTTAATATGCCAGGCTTGAGGATTAAATCATTAATTACTTTACTTTCCCATTCCATGTAGTCTTATAAATTAATTTTTAAATTAAATTGTGGGAATCTGTCCCCCTCCACCCAAAGTATGCTAGGCACAATTAACAATAATATTTAACAATATTGAGATGTCTGGCAAAAAAGTGTCTGAGCATAAATGGTGCTCGTGATACTTCGGCCTTAAGGTGACAAATTGAACATACTACTTAACTCACCACACCAAAACAGATGTAATCCAACAACCTCAATTGTTTGAAAACAGCAGGAGACTGTTTTTCCTTTACTCTCCTCAATCAAAGTATGCAGCATTCCCCCACCCCCCTTTTTTTTAAAAAAAAATTTTTTCCAAATTATTTGCTTTTTCTTCCAAACTATGACTCTTTAACTCATAAGTAATGTCTTGTGTTCTGAAGATACTAAAATAAAAGCTATCATAGGGCTTTTTTTTTGCAGAACCGCAGAGGATTGCTACGGAAAGCATCACTTTTTTATCCTGTTCTATGCATTCCAGTGGAACGCTTGGAACGCTCCTCCTAGGTGGGTTGAGGCCGCGGTTAGGTCGGTTGAACTGGCCCGAACAGCAAATATCCTGATCCATCGTGTCTCATGCGTTCCACGGATACAAATAGAGCTCTCATATTACATGTTAAAGATGATGAGATGAAAACAAGACAGCAATGCCTCAGTAAAAAGCCGGCTGTTTTGCCAAAGTAAGATAATTGTAAAACAATTTCTCTCGAACAAAATGTACTTTACCTTAAAATCAGGGAGCCCAAGGAAAAAAATGTCCTACCAAGGCCATCACTAATGCAGCATCCAATAGCAGTCAAGCTGGCAATACACACACTCACTCCTCCCCTCCCCCCCATCATATATTTCTCCTCTTGCCACCACTTAAACAGAGACCAGCCGGTGACTTTCATAACCATCACCGGTTTCTATCATTGCTGACAGAGCTGATCATGATTTTCAACATAAAAATCAAAATAAATACGCAAAATATTTCTGTGTGCACAACTGAAGCTGAAGGAATGACTTTGGCAGGTACGCACCCAGTGAGGTGGGAGCGCTCAATCAAAAATCCCGCCAACATTTTGAAATGTCACGTGATTTCGCGGTTCTCCTATCAGCGGCTTGGCGGTTAAATTTGGCCGCCATTTTGTTACAATCGGAAAAATTGTAGAATTTGGTGTTTTTGTGTTCTGATCAGAAGCGTCACTTCATTCTCCCGCGTTTATTCACTGCCACGGTTTTTTTCCGTTCTCCAAGAATCCGTAAGTTGAATTTTACCTTTAATTTTCATCCTTTCTAACTGTTGATTTCATCTAAATTCGTCCATTACACGTAAAACTATTATTCTACCTCTTCATCTGTAAGTGAAAGTTATTTGTACCGAAGCTTACGACGCCATCATGCCTCTCCGACCGTAACACGAGCGTTTTACTACAATGGCCTACCTTATTGCACATTTTGTCCCGAATTCCTTTGTTTTTCGTATTCTTACAACCTGACTACTCTTTTAGCAGAAGGTCTGTGTCCCAAGTAACAATAGTTGAATGTTACCTCAGAAATGAAAGATAGCTTTGGCACTGATGAAGCCCTATCTTCCCCCAAATCTCATTATCTATGGAAATTGCCTTCACTCAATGTCATTGCCCTCTTTACTCTTATAATAAATAAAACCGTCCCTTCTATTGCCAACATTTGATCCTCCTCTCTGGTACTGACAAAGTTTCATTTGTTGTTTAGTAAGTTTCTGATGTAATCAAAATATTGCAGCCGACCCTGGGGGGACCCAACAATAGGAGTTCGATGCAGTCGGACGAAATTGATCGGAACAGCATACTTTAGACTCATTTATTAGCCAAGTATTATTTACTTGGTAGAAGCTTGGATTTCCTGAATTTCTCTTTTTATCTGCCGTAAACAAGGCCAAGAGTCACTGGAACTGACAAATGTTTAGGAAAGAAAGGCCTATTTGTATTACAGTGTTGCCAAGTTCTACATGCCAAGCGAAGTATCTATTTTACAGCTGGGGTTTCCCAGTTTTTTCGAAAATTTTGGAGGAATTCTCTGGGCGATTTGATAGAAATTCTTATGTATGCTTTATATGTAACATGCATCATAAACATTTACTCAGCAACATGAAAGGTATTTTTTGGGTACTTCTTATCTGTTCTCTCTATTTCACAGGATTGAGTCATGGCTCGTACTAAGCAAACTGCGCGTAAATCCACTGGAGGTAAAGCTCCCAGGAAGCAACTTGCCACCAAGGCTGCGCGTAAAAGTGCACCATCAACTGGTGGAGTGAAGAAACCCCACAGATACAGGTAAACATCAAAACTTTCATTCGATTTCACCAATAAGTAGCACTACTATATGGCAGTCATGGTGATTCTTCTGCAAGAGCAAGTTACTTACTCCTTAGTTGTTCTTTTGCCAATGTTCATAATCCGTTATACAGCTATGTTAAAGTAACTTTAAGTATGCAGAAGTTATTTTTTTAAGTTATTTTTTAGCAGAATCAGGCCCTCCTGTGGCCGTATTATTAACCCTCTACCTCCGTTTTACTGAATACCTCTGTCTAAATTTGGGTGTAATTTTTGAAATTAAGTTATTTACTTGTGTTTCTTTACTTTCAGGCCAGGTACTGTCGCTCTCCGAGAAATCAGGAGATACCAAAAGAGTACTGAATTGCTGATCCGTAAGTTGCCGTTCCAACGGTTGGTCCGTGAAATTGCGCAAGATTTCAAAACCGACTTGAGATTCCAGAGCGCTGCCATTGGTGCTCTTCAGGTAATTCTCATTCCATCTTATCTTACCCTTCTCTTTCTCACTTGATGTTGCATTCTTAAAGAGTTCAGATTGTGTAGCCCTAGGTAGATTTTCTCTCTAGTGAAATTCAAGGGTGCTGAAAATGCCTGATCTCACAGTCCCAGAATCATGGCCAACGGTCGGAGTTCCGAAACTTTCTACGACCGTGGGTAAATCTCTCTTATTAATCATTCAGAATCTGATCAATGAGCATTCCATCAGTGTACTCATAAAGTAGCCATAGTCAGGGAATCCTAATGATAGTTAGGAAACCAGAGCATAATGATGAAATTTCCATCTAGGTAGTGGCAAGGAATTTCATGGGATCGTTGAATCGTAATATCCCTGCTTGAAAGCACTAGAAAGTTCATTGAAAAGTTAAAAATATCATTTTTGAGGGGAGAAAAATCTTATCAAAGTATGGCCAATCCAAAGCCAACAGTCAAGTTGACTTAGCCAGTAATGCTTGAAGCGCCTTAATATGCTTCAGTCCATTGCCTAGCTGCATCATCAGAGGCCACCAAAAATATGATTTTCAACTTGTGCTATTTTTGGGATTTTCAAAATGCAATTTCTTGCCCAGGTTCTTAGCCTTTTTTAAAAATATTAAAAAAACCATCAGTTTACTCCGTACATTAAGAAATCGATAATAAAGAAATAGGTGCCGCCGTCCCATTGTGCTCTATTTTATTCAAATTGTTTTAAATTGCTCTTCATATTGTGGACTTACTTACTCTGAAAATTGTGCAGAGGGAGGAAGCTCCCCTTCTCTAAGTCGGTGGCTTTTGTTCTCCTGATGAGCTTTTTGTGTCTACCTTTTTTGTGAAATCCGAGCACATTGCACAATATTGTGCAAGCTTAAAACGATTTGCACCAATGTATTGCCCTTCATGTAATTGCTTACACTCCATATGAACGATGTGTTTTTGAAGAATTTTGTAGTTAGTGACAGCTCTTAACTCATAAATTTGGAAATCAGCTCTAAATCAGAGGCAAGAAAATTTCACTCAGATGGAAAAAGTCAGTTAATTTTCCCACTGATCCTCGGAATTTTCTCTATAGCCTACATTATAACTAATCCCCCTAGGGCTCTAATGATCAAGATCAGAATTTGCAATTTCTGAAATTTACCATCTATTTAAATTTCAAAGGACCCAGCGTTACTAATTTCTCCTACAAGCATTTATGAAGGTTTTTCATATTCTTGAAATCTCAAATTCCACCTGCTCTATAACAATCTCATCTTTTGTTTCGATAGTTTATCCTCAATTCTTCTTAACTAATCTGTATTTTTTGCTTCATTTGCAGGAGGCCAGTGAAGCATACCTCGTTGGGTTGTTTGAAGACACTAACTTGTGCGCTATCCATGCCAAGCGTGTCACAATCATGCCAAAGGACATCCAGCTCGCCCGCCGAATCCGTGGAGAACGAGCTTAAATTAGATTAATTTTTTTCATCTTTCCTCATCATTACTCATTTATCATTTACTATGCCATGCGCAGCTCTCTCTCTCTTGCCTATCTTCTAATTATATTCAGTGTTTGGATGATTGAACGTGTGGTTAGTTAAAATTTACGGAAACCTTTTCTCCTCAGTAATGAATATTATTTATAGATCATGCTAGCTTAGCATACACTTCCCCTATAGCTTAAATGAAGTTAGGCCAAGATTACAATCTTTTAATCTCTTAAGATCTATCTCTCACAAATTTGACCATTAGCAACGCAGTACATTTTTAAAAACAAAAGATCCAATACCAAAAGAATTTTAACACGCACAACTAATCATGTCATTAAATATTCATCTATTTTAGCCTAATTGTGTATTGTCCGTGTTTTTTCTGTCGTTCGTTTTAATTTAGCACTCATTTGAACCACTAATTGTTCTCAAAAATTTTCAAAATTTTAAGTCAGATTAAGTCCTTACTTAAAGAATCTTAAACATTTCAAAGCTACAAATTCTTTTTAATAATATCTCTAGAATGTGAAGGACTTATCTAATGTCAGCCCCAAGGAAAAACTGGTTTCCGAATCATTTCTTCATAAATTCTTTCAATGTTTATCAGTATTTATGTGTGTATGTGTGCTTGTAATATTCTGAACTCTTTATTGTATTTATTCCATACTTTCTTTTATATCTTCTTTTTATAATAATGAACCACCCCTTAAGTAATGAAATCTCCTCAAAGATAAATCCAATTTTTACCGATCAGAGATTAACCTTTTCTAAAATGTACACTGGTCCTTTAAAGTTAATTTTCAAAATATTAAAAACATTGACACAAAGCAAAGAATGTAATAATTCTCTTTCAGTACAATATTTTGAAAATTAGGAATGGTGTAGCTAGCGTCTAATTATCAGCCAACTTTAGAATGCAACAAAAGATATGCTAGCCTAACTCTTGCATTAAATTTTAATGTAAAAACAAGAATGGCAGATCCTCTATGCCCCTTTCTAAAGTTGGCAAACTAATTTTGCTAGTTCTACATTTTCCAATTTCCATTAATCAAGTATTTTGTTTTTCCCTAACTCTAAAAACCACCATTAAGTATACTGCTACCCTCACCAGTGGAACATTTATATTTATCATAAATTCTTTTTTTTCTGATGTTAAGCTAAAAGTTTCCAATTAAAACTTTAGTATCACTTTGAATTCCTCAATTATCATGGTGTAAGTTTTATTTATTGGGTTAATAATTATCTCACTCTTTTCTCTAAAAGTAAGTAGTAAAAAAAAGAACAAACATGAAAGAATTGTCAATGTATGTACTTATTTACGGTCTCATAATAGAAATTTTATCACCATTTTTAAAGAAAGTCTTCTATTTTATTTCTTCCTAAGTTATCCCATGTACAATCGATTTTTTGTTATCGAATTCAAGCTCATAACTTAACATTGCTGCCAAGGCCTACTTTCAAAACTTCCAGGAGCATCAAAACGTTTATTATCTTGCAACAAGTTTGTTTCCTAGTTAAAAATATCTAATTTGAAAAAAATAAAGAAAGAAGGCAAATTTCTGCATTTTGCCTCAGATTCAGAGCAGAACAGGCCTACCCACTAGCTAATTGCCTATGTAACTAACCTGCTGTTAACCTTGGAGGTTTCCTTATGTATTTAAGTGGAAGTATTTGAAGTGATTATCAAACGAGGGTGGATGAGAACTTATGATTCCATAAGGTAATTTTCCTTTTTCTCAATGCTGAGGGAATACATTGCCAAATAGAACATAGTTTGATGCACACTCCCAAAAAAATAGATTCATTTAACTTCCTCCAAGTCAAACGCTCTGTAAGTCACATTTATTTGGGGACCGGTCAAATTTTTCATCAGAACAGAAAGCCCTCCAAGTGGAACCAACAATATGATCCCTATCCAGTTTGACTTGGAGGAAGTTAACTGTAATCCCTTATTGTAAACTGCTCACGATCGAAATTCCCAGCAGACTTTCAATTTTATTACAGCGCCTCATGAATAAATCTGACCATCTATGAGAGCAGAAAAATAGACCCCAGTCCTTCAAGATTGGAAATTGAGTCATAGATACGAAAGCATTGAGAAGTGCTCTACAAACATATCTGATTTAAGTGGCCCATGAATTCAGTAGTTTTGAAGTCGAATTGTTAAGCTAGAAAGATGCCAACATGCGCTTCAATTTAACTCAGACAAATTGAAACACTTCATACAAATGAAGTCTCATGTATTTTGCCTTTTAACCGGTGCTCACACATATGAATGAGAAGAAGACGGGCCTAATTGCATCGGAATGCTACGAAGTTTCTACCGGTGTATTTATTTTCCCCGCAACAACTGGATATTTCCTTTCAAAAGTCATCGCAATTTTTTTTCTCTCTTTCTTGCTATTGAGATTTGGCAAAATTTACCTGCCATTTTTAATCGATAGAATTAACGAACAAATGATTTTTCATACAAAACTCGCAAATGTAAATAGGATTTTCTCGCACCAACTCCTCATTCCTTTCAAGAAGTAAGTACGTGTTTGATTCTGCATCTCGTGTCGTTGAATAGACTAATCAGTTTTGTCTATTTTACGGCAAAAGTACACAAAATATCAAAGAAATTAAGTTACAGAATCAAACTAACTGTTGTCTTATGAATCTGTGTCTCCATGCCATCATCAATGGTGCCCCATTTGACATCAGTGTAAATTTCAGGTCTCATAGAGCAGCCTCCAGAGCGCAGGTCCTTCGCGTCAGACGTCATGACGTCAGACTACTGATAACGAGAAGGAAGAAGTAAGTGGGAGTTGAGAAATGGCTGTCTAGTGATAGTGATAATTTTCTAATGTTTACAAATGTCAAAGGTGAAATGCATGTCTGACTTTCGTTCATTCTGTAATGCGTTCTATTCAGAAGATTTTGTTTTCAGAAGTATGATTTCATCTATTGTTGGAGACCTTTCAGGTAGCAACTGGGTAGGTTATATACTATTCTTATCAGTCATGAATTCATGATAGTGAATTTTCTGTGTCAATCTTCAGTGCGGCTGTGATCAATCATCAACAGTAATAATATGGGGAAGGCAATTTCCTAAGTCTCAGGAGTATGCATGTACTTTAGAGGTAGATTTTGGCTTTACTTTTGTGGCGTGGTCTCAATTACTGTGCAGACATATTGCTGTCATTGCTTTGCAAAGCAATGAGAAATGGTAAAATGTCATCGAAGAATGAGTCAAGTGAAATTTCTGAAATCCCAAAAAAAGCTGGTCGAAAGCTAAATGATTGCATGGCTTGACAGAATTATATGATCTAGAGTTAGATTTTAAAGGGCCTTCAAGACAAATCCACACGGTTCAGTCATAACATATCTTTTTTAAACCCACTCTGCCCAGCCCCAAATCGACTGCAGACTCAATGATGTAGAATTGGCTTCTTCCATAAGAAATACATTTCATGGAAACTTTCCTTCTCTAATTCGCAGTCCATAGGAATGACTGACTTGCTAGGATTGGTCTTGCTTTAGTATATCACTTCACTTAACTGTCACCCAGAAGTCTACTCCTAAATAGGGCTCTCTGATTTTTAACTCTTCCGAATGTTGGAAAGAATAATAATCATAAAAAGCATATGAAAGTGGCTCCCTTACAAAGTTCTAAATACAAAGAAATGAGGAGAATTACTTTCCTCAGTATTCCTCTTAAGCATCAAGAAAATAATCTGCACCGATCTGTTTTCTGTCATTATTTCTTCAGCAGAAACTGAGATAGAATTCCACTCCTGTCGACAATGTTAGGAGTTTTTCCTTTGTTTTTTTTACTCATTGATATTCCTTTGAATATTTCAGGTCCTATCTGAAGCTTATACATCGACTGACCGACTCATCTGATCGAATGTTTATGCTACCATGAAATGTTCAAGTCCAGGTTTAGCTTCCAGGGCTGAAAGTTCATTAGTCTTCAGAAGGAATGGTTGCAATTCAGAAGACCTCATAGTGAGTTTCTCATTTATTCGAGCCATCCAAGTGAAGTATAATTTTGGTTTTTTAGTCTCGTATTATTGAATTCTCTGTATAGAATCTTCTCACGCCAAAACCGTTGACTGGTCAATGCAAGTGATGTATTTTTTAAGTTTTATGTCAAACTAGTAAAAAATTGAAACCTAAGTACATAAATTCCATGCCATTTAAGGTTATGCCCTGGACAAAAGATTAGCCATCATGTTTTTTGCATTTACCGTAAATGCTCAACTGAAGACATACAACCTTTTTCCGCACTCTAAAAGTGCGTATACTCATTTGGCGTGGACTCTTAAGAGTAAACAATGCCTTCCTTTATGGTAGCGATTTCTTCCAATGGACATATTTAACTCAAATAGAACCATACTCATTCCGACATGAGCACTGCGATCTATAAGAATACATGCGGGGCAGGGCTCATGTCACAATATATATAGTTCTAGTGCGTAAACTCATTTGGCGTGGACTCTTAAGAGTAAACAATGCCTTCCTTTATGGTAGCGATTTCTTCCAATGGACATATTTAACTCAAATAGAACCATACTCATTCCGACATGAGCACTGCGATCTATAAGAATACATGCGGGGCAGGGTTCATGTCACAATATATATAGTTCTGCTTGATTTAAATGCATCCAAATATTTCTAACACTGGATCTCAAAATCGTAACTTTGCCCATTCCAATACATGGAATTTTGAACTACCTACCAGCCATGGGTCATGAATTTGGTTTCGGTATCATTTCGATGGCTAAACCAAGTACCTCCGTCATGATGTTTCAAACTTTCTGCCACTGTTGTATTTTTTCAAAGAGAAGCAAGGCAACTTTATAGCTTGAAATTCATTCAGAGTACTCTGCTGCCATGGGAAAAAATATGAATGAAGTTTTCAAGAAATTATGTTGCCTAGTTTTCGAAAGAAATAATAAAGAATGACAGGAAGTCTGGAACGTCCCAAACGAAGATATCGATGGTGTAAGTCGGCAATCACAAAATCGTTTGCGGTGTCTGAAAATCTCCGCCTTTATGTTTTTTTTTAAAGGAGAACAAATTGACATCATTCCATGAAGTTTTTGCAGAATTTTCTTCGCACAGAGAAGAAAAATCATGGCAGTTTTAAAGAAGTGCCATTGGTTAGTTTTACGTTTAAAAAATAAATTATGACAGGAAGTTTGCGACGTCACAAACCGAGTCATGTGATTGCCGACTTACACCGTCGATATGTAGTTTAGCACTTTGGTCATCGATTTTTTATAATTTGCTGAAGAACTGCTCAAGTGCATTAGGAGATCTTATGACCATCATTCCAGGGGTGCAGTAAGTTCTTCGCTTTCACATTTTTTGAGGTCGCTTTCATAATGCTGTTCACATAAGACTTGCGTGCTTCACTATTTCCTTCGCATAAAAATGCGCGCTCAACCATTTTCTTTGCATAAGAGAGTGTGATAAGTACGTAGTTTTTGCAAAAAGCTATGCACTCAGCAGGTTTATGCTTTCGGCCCTCACTTTTTTTCCCTTTTCTCAGATGCCTTCACATTTTTCAATCCTTTTCAGGGGCCTACACATTTGCCCCGTGATCTGTGCGAGTTCGGCCGATTGAACACTTTCTGCACCCTTGCATCACTCTGTGTGAAGTGTGTAGCAGATGCGCCCCACCAGTGTCACATGTCCCACTTTCTTTTCGTACTTCCATCCACAACTAAGTTTTTTTTTATTTTTTGTGTTATAATTAGAATTCTTTGTTTGCAGTGATGATTGGCCAAAGATGATAACCCAGTCATTCAGTATGGGGGTATTATGAAGAGAGTGAGCTCGGCAAAAGCTAGGAGTAAGAATCAGCCGGCTCGTTGTTGTATTTCGTTTGCTTGCTCGAGGACAAGAAGTTATTTGAGTGTTGACCCGCACAAGTGTGTTTCTCGTTTGGGTACTGAAAGGCTTGATACAATGGCTGAAAGCATTCCTGATCAAGGTTTAGTTCAGTGTTCTTCCAAGGAAGTTTCTGATTGTATTGCAGGATGGATACATTATCTGCAGGTAATAATAAAACTTCATCTCTGTGATATTTTGCTTTTTTAAATCTCAATCCAAAATTTTCTATTTTCAATCCATGTCAGGGAGAAGAAAAAATAAATAAATAAGATATTATAAATGATAACAAGGGGCAAGAATAAATTTGAGTAAAAAATAAATTCTGGAATTACCAGATTATTAGTTTTTTCTTTTTTCTCTCAGCAAAAACAACATCAAAACAACTCTGAAAAGTCCGAACAAGGGTTTACAACTTTGCAGATGAGAAAAAATGTTTAAACATCTAAAAATGTGCCAAGAGCATGTAAGAAGCTCAGTTCAACAGATTGTTCCAAAAAAAGTTTAATTCAAATAATTCGAATAGTCAGTAATCACTAAAAAAATTTCCTAGGTAAACAGGGTCCAAAAGTTATTATTACCAAAATTAAAAGCTTTCTTCAAAACGGTAACTCACCACCTTCATAACTTCAAACAATATAAGTTTTGTGAAATATTTGAAAAAAACTGACAGCTTTTGAGACATAAGAATTACCTGGTTTTCAATCCTTCCAGCCGTATGCAATTCTTCCTCAGGAAATGGTTAGTGACCCTCTGAGATGTGTGTCAAGAAGGTACCTGCTCTGAAATACGTTTGGGTTTTTTTAAACAAATTAAATCAGGTTTGAGTATCAAATTCCATAATACATTCATTACTAAATGCGCTCTCTGTTTATAAAGATGGACCGTCATGTCAGGATGCACAGAAGATACAAAGGTTTTCCCTGTTAATAGTTAGCATTTAAGATTTAACTGTGATATCTTTGTTTATAGATGGTCAGAGGGCTGTGTAATGCTGGGTCTGAGTTATCACGGTTATTAGCCGGACTAAGCATAGAGTCAGCTCCATGTCGGCACCGCGCCATTCAGTGTCAGGCAGTCTGGGAACAACTAGCAGCAGCTGCTGCTGCTGCAACACGGATGATAAATATAAACGCCATCACTAGTTTGCAGGACATCGACCTAACGGCAGACAATGACAATGAACAATGTGATATCAATCAGGTAACGTATGATTTCCAATCAAATTCTTCCACTTCTCAGCTTTGATTTCCCTACACGGTAATGTCTCAAGAGCTGCAATGACTGTCTTTAAATTCTATCTCCTCTTGACTAAATAATGTTGATTGATATTCTTTTAATCATGAATGGTCAAAATGACATATTTTAAAATTGAATTTCCTTACTTACTCTCAGGTAGCCATGATCTGATTGTTTTTCTCCTTTTTTCTTCGTGTCCAAGCTAAAACATGTAAATAAAAAATATCATACACTTGTAATCTTGATGTGATAGAATGGTAAAATAGTGCTGAACCTACATTATTCTGCAGGGAAATCAAAGCCACAAGAAACAAACGATTAGGATTAGAGTTGCAGTCGTAGAAAAAGTTAGTATTCTTATGAGTTTCAGTTAGGACTGAGGGGGGAGTGTATTTAGCTGAGGCAGATGTATTGGAATACTGAGCCAGGGTTATACCGTGAAGTCAGCACTTGTTTCAGTCTTTTAAATATTATCAACAGATCCAGTGGCGTGGCGTGAATGATTGATTATTGATATTTCCCCATTTGAAGCTACTGTAAAGAATTGATTATCAAGGTGTTCGCTGCGAACACCCCGTTTATAGATTCATTTCCATAGGTTTAAATGGTAGATCAATTGGATTGCATTTTGCAAAAAGGAACCACTAGCATTGCAATGTTGCTAAGATTGTGCAACTTCTTTTGTCTTGGAGGAAAAACCCGATTATTCATTAATAGTTTCTATTTTACCCTCTAAAAACTGTAAATTTAAGACAAAAATTACCATCTAAATTTCATAGTTTTTCACGATTTCCGCAATTTTATTGCAAAAGATGAAGTTGCGCAATCTTAGCAGCATTGCAATGCTAGTGGTTCCTTTTTGCAAAATGCAATCGAATTGATTTATCGCAAAGCACGCCACACCACTGAACAGATCATACTCGTTTAGTGATGAGTACATATGTGATAATCATCTTGACAAGTACAATGGTTCATGTTTTGTAAGCGGTTCGATTTACCATTCTTGTTTTGTGTTGCATTGTAAAACATTGCTTTCTCTATGAGCCTCCCATGTACCTAAAGACACTGAACCCAGGATTTCTCCAAATTGGGAGCAACGAGTAGACAATCATTTTGTGAGCCCAGGTTACATGAATACAATAAGAACTGAAAAACAGCTCTTTTGCAGTCAGATGATTGGGTCAGATGTGTAGGTATGTTTTTATATCATGTTTCAATGGTTTCAAGTCATTGAAAGCTATTTTTCAAATTTTTAAATAATTTTTATGTTTACAGTTGAAAATTCTGTTTCTAAGTTTACAAAGATGTTCATTATCAGAAATCTGCAAATTACAAAAGGGCTTTCCAACACACGAGTCGTTTCGATGGAGTAACAGAAACCTGTGAAGAAAACAAATTAGACCACTGATAAATCATGATTTTACTGACCCATCACAAAGAATTAAATAATTACTCCCAACAGTTTCACTGATTTCCATGAATTTCTGTCAACAGCAAATCGTTTGCTCTGGCCTACTATCAATGGTAAATCTACAGTACCAGTTGAGCATGACATGTTGCGAGAAATTCTCTCACTTAGCAGCGTGTCAGTGCAACCCAGCTGGAGGCCCTCATGCGGAACCCATCGAGGCCGCAGCTGTGGCACGTTGTTTCGCTGTCCCTCCCTCTTGCTCCCCTCTCTCAGTGCCTATTCCTCAGCGGCGATGGTCCGAAGCAGCGCCTACATCAGGCGACAAGTCCGAGTCAACGCTCAGAAGGTGGTCGATGCCATGGAAATTAGCCCTGCCTAGCTCAAGTACCAGTGATAAAAGCAGGTCTACAACCCCCGGTTGGTTTCCTTCTTCCAATCTTTCTTAGCTTTTTACAAGAAAATACATAAAACAGTTCTTGCTTAACAAGTGTTGCATTTTATGAGGGTAAGTAACAACAGTCAGGGAATACCAGAAAAACTGGGAAATTTTAGGAAAAAATGATGAAATCATTCTTAAATCATCTTTAGAATCCTCTCTTTAGAAATCATCTCCCTTCAGAATGGGCTCAGATGTTTTGGACGATAAATTTTGCATGGAAAGTTTTAAATCTACATATTTTCAACCATCCTGCATTTATTTAAATGTCAAGAAATTTAATCATAATAATCATAATGTATGAGGGAAATCAGGGAAGTGTTAGGGAATTTAATGCCTCAAATTCTGTGGCAACCATGATTTCATGAACACAAGAAAATTTGGTACAAACTGTATGTAACAAGGTGGTAAAATAGTGCTGGATCCACACCATAATAGGCCAAATAGTTTAAACATTTTGAGCTCTTACGAGTACTGGTATAAGACTGAGAGGGGAAAGAGTTTCAGAACAAATGAGACACAAAGTAAATGTAAAAAAAGGGCAACACAGGCAGTTCCTCTGGCAAGCTTGCTGTTGAGGGAAGGGAAGGTAAAATTATACATGGATTGAATAGGTTCAGATAAGCTTGAGATTTTTTTTCCAAACTAAATATAAGTATTTTTGAAACGTACCACTTTCTCTCAGGCAAATGTGAATTTCCTTGGCTCTCAACAACATATTTTCCTAATTTGTAATACTGATTCCAGACTCGAATGCCTGGCAAAATAATCTGGTTACCCAAGAAGAGCTCCAAGATGTGATCGTCCTTCTAACCTCGCAAAATATTACACCTGGAATTGTCCCTGGCGTAACTTTAACACGTGTAACGGACTCGACAGACCACTCCCGCATTTCGTCTCATCGAGGAAGCTGGTGGAGTGAAGGCGATGAACTCGACCCATCGGTTTTAATGTCACGTAAGAGTAGCTCTTCAACTGATACTAGCAGTTCTTGCTATTCTCTTCATTCGCGGTCAACGAGCACTTCAGAGGAGTCAGGAGTGACTGCTCGATCACATTTATATTCTATGTGGAGCGGTGCTGAATTGCCATTCATCAAGTTGCCAGAGTCCACTGAGAGCAACGACCCATAATCAGGGTGTCCACCAGGCCGGAAAGTCCGGAAATAGTACTGACTTTTTAGGGCACTCCAAAAGTACTGGAATATGCGCAAATTCCCTAAAAAGGTTCGGAATTTTTTCCATTATACCACGCGTGTTTCTCAATAAAGCCAGGAAAGTATGCAATCCTCTGCGCATTGATTCTTAGAGTATTTGTGCACAAGATCGCGACTGTGCAGTCAGTTAATCTTCAAGCCATCAATGAAATTCTGTGTCCACGGCATTTTTGTCGCAATTCGAGCGAGAATCCCAAATTTTCGACATTTTTCGAATTTCCTCCAATGGCTTTCTGTTGAGGAGGTACTAAATTTCTTGGGAATGCACTGAAAAAGTACTGATTTTTGGCCAACCTATTTTAGTGGACATCCTGATAATCTGAGACTCTCTTTCTTGTTTTACGGCAAGTGTGAAACTGAAATGGTTGAGACTTGTTTTGTTTTCAGCTCAAAGCTGGTGAACTCTGAGACTAAGGGATAGTGTTATCGTTCAGATTTTTTATCCCTGGTGAAACTTCTTTTGGTAGGTCGATTATTAACATTTTATCTTTGTCATCGGGATGCAATAAAACTAAGTCAAAATTAGGTTGTGCTATTATCGGCTGGATACGTACCTTTTTGTCTGTATTGCGCTTCTGTCCAGCTGGACTTTAGTGCCTTTTTTAGACCAATAGCGATCCAACCAGTGAATGGTGCCACTCTATCTCAGCTGAATTTTATTTGTTCCAATGACAAGAAGAAATTTAAATTGACAAGCAGGCTTTTTTTAACAAAAATAAAATCAATAGAGAAGGATGTATTTATCAATTGAAACATTTCTTTTGAAATACTTTCGGTCAAAACTTCCAATTCCATTCTGTCAAATCAACCTCTATCTGATAGAATCTTAAAATTCTAAAAAGGAGGATATACTATACAATCCTCTATACCTCAGCCAATTCTGATTGAGTGAATAGAAGTAATTTTATTCAAATAGTTTTCAAATCACGTACAAAGAAAGGAAATGCATAGGTAATACTAACCTAGTTTTTCCAGAGGCCCTTGTACTGTAATTATATGCAGTAAAATTTCTATCCAATTGACTTTTAGCTTTGCAATATGGTAACATCACCTCATTAAACTTGCCAGAAATGGCAATGCAAATATCGTCTAAAATTTTTATAGTAGACAAATTTTTCCAGCATACAAGGACCATCCCCACCCCTCAAAAAAAAAAAAAAAAAATGAAATGAAAAAATAAATAATTAAATAAAGAAAAGATCTCATCAAACATCCCTATCATTCAGTCTTGAAGTAATGAGTGGTAACTAAACCTGACTTCTCATGAACAATGATTTTTTCTTACAGAAAAAAATTATTTAACAACCATTCAAAAGTTAGAGATTAAAAGGGCGTTCAAAAGCTTCTCAATTGGAAAAGCAAATCGGTTGTTGTGCTAAAAACTAATCAGAGCATTCCGCAATCTCTACAGGATGATTGAGACCATCCATACCGGAGTTTTCTTGGTTAACTGAATTAGACCTAAGCATTGCGACTTTAAGTCGCACAAAGTGAGAGAATTGAGGGGGAGTAAATATGGAAACAAAGTTAAGGAATCCAAATTTTATAGTCCAAAAGACTCTTTCTCCCAGCCTCATCATGGGGAAGGGGGAGGGGGAGTGTAAAAAGGAATAATTATCTTGAGAGCATATGATATAACCTTAAAAAGAGCCTGGGATGGGTGATATGGATCATCTTGTCAAGCGATTGTTCGTCTCTCTCTCTCTCTCTCTTTCTCCATTTTTCTGAAATCGAGTTTTCTTTAATATGTGGAGTAGAACCTGTAAAAGGCAAGTATTTGTTTTCTGCAAAGAAATTCTTCTGCTGCTTTAGAACATAATCTCTTCAAAATTTCAGTCACTTAGTAGCCAATTTTAGGTCTGAGGACAAGAAGGGGCTCTTTGTCTTTAGGACCCTTGCCTTTGAACATCGCACAATCCAATTTCTGCTGTCGCCAGAAGCCAAAACCTCTTTTGAACAGCAGAATATGAAGACATTACTGTAGCTCAATTTTCAACCATTAATTTTAGAAAATTGCCTTTTTTTCAACCAAATTTTTCTCTATCCTAGCTACTGCGCTTTTTAATTTTCAAAGGAATTTCCATAATTATATCAATTAATGGAACACCAATTTTTCGATTTGTGTTGTTTGTACACTTAAAATTTTCAGATATTATGTTAACTATTTATAAAATTGAAGATTTAAAGGAAGAGAAGGTGATCTGCTTGCTTAAAAAAATCTTATCCCTCGATGTATATCAAAGATTGAAGAACTTAAATTGTCAATGACAATCTCTTATCCTTTTCTCTCTTTTTCTTTCAACTTCTCAATCAGTTGAATGTAGCGTTAAATTTCACACAAAACAACTTACCCAACGAGCCAGTGAAAAATCAAGCAGCATGAACATCAGCCAAGGTGACTGCTGGGAGGGGTGCCTATTTCATCATATCAAGGAAAAATTATAACTCCAATTCCTTCCATTGCATTATGGACCACTAGACTAGACACTAGGACAGTAGACTTTTATCTATTTCAGTTGTAATCTCTTCCCAGTAGCTCATACGCCTCTAAAGCGGGTTACCGGCTTATCCGGAAACCGACTTAGCGAGGTTTTACTGTACTATCTTTCCTGTTCATCAGCCTGTTTGCTGCTTTCCAAAATTAAGTATGATTCATACAATCCAAAATGGAAGTTTGCATCGAAATTGTGCATCAATTTCATCATCTCCATAATTTATTAAAGTATAAATTAAACAAGATTTCGTGTCATATTCAAATTAATTGAATAAAAAGCTCCTAATTCTAAATATTTTGACACATTCTATTATCTTGAGGGTTTCCAATCAGTCTGGAAAAACGGGAAATTCAGAGGATTCACAACAACCTGGAAAAGTCTGGAAATTTTTTTAACATTTAGCAGAGGTCAGCGCAGTTAAAAGGGAAAAAATCAAAGTTTTATCAGCCAGTCAAGGAAAGTGAGGGAGTCAGAAAATGAAATTATGGAAGCCCTGCAGTCATTATACTCAAAAAGTTACCACGCAAATTTTAAGAATTTTTCTAGAGTATTTTTCTTCGTAATTTACCGGTTTCTCAACAAACAGTCATTAATTTTAGGACTGTTACTGAAGGGAAGTATTCATCAGCTCTTAAGTGATTCAGGAAATAAACCTGTATCCTGCTTCATCAATGTTACTCAGCACCCGATGCCACTAGAAGTTATCAAAAAGAGCCGCTTTTATCACTTGCCCTGTATTCTGGTCACAACCTTTCTCCTTTAAACGTTTCACTTTTGATAATACATATTTTGTTTCTTCTCATCATGTTGTATACATATTTCAGTTTCTCTTATTAACTAAACGTCTAAGTGACTCGAAGTCCAGTTTCTGACCAGCTCGTGCTGTTATTATGTTCTTGCCACCCAAAAAGTGGAAGCAAAAAGTCCATTCATCCTGTCGCACTAGCTCAAAATACGTAGGAGTAATTTCAAATTAAATGATTTTTCACGCGTCACTCATATATCGCCTATCCTGTAACGTCTAAAAGACTTGGAAACTGTCTTATACAGTCTCTTCCTGCAAAAACTAAATTGTAACTTTCTCCTAATATTTTAGTGTTTGAAAGTAGATCCCTCCAACCTTGCATACTGAGAGATCTAAAAAGTTATCAATGAAAGTATGAAGAAAAGCTTTATGTAACTGGATATTAAGCCCTTAGGTAGAAAATGTGGCAATTCAACCCACTCATTATCCAAATGTAAGCTTCTTAACTTTCAGAAAAGCGTCCAACACGAACTTTCACAAAAATTTTAGCTGCAACTTTTCCTCTTGCACAAACTTATCACTGGAATTATTTTATTTGACTTCAGCTCACCCAGTAATAAAACTTGCATACTGTGAGCAACCTCTCTTGATTTTAGCTGTGTTCTTTCCCTCTGGCCTTAATATTCCATTGAACAGCTGACACCGAAAGCCTGCATTTTGAGCAAACTCTTTTTTCAGAGGTTTCCTCACGACTTATCGAAAATCTAGTAGTAATCAGCTTTTATTTAATGTTTCATGTATTGTCTGCAAATGTATCAACCTCATACTATTTCAACCTAGCACAAAAAAAAGATGAGGAAGAATAATAATTTCAAAGGATTTTTGTGAGAGATACAAGGACGTAAAGAATTTAACTAGGTAAAATAATTCTCTGATTCCTATGTCGGATGGGTGTGTGCAGGCAGGTAGATGGCTGAATAAGATGAGGAAGCACATTTTCGTACCTTATACTTCCTGATTTTTATCGTGTTTTTTGGTTTTATTTGATGTTTCTTCGCTGTTCATGTGAATCTTTCCAGAAGACGCAGGCCACATAGGTATTTCTTCCTTCTAAATGTGTTATTTATCTGAATGAAAGTGTAAATGTTGTTCATTAAGTTCGTCTTTATGTTGTATAGTTTATCTATTTTTTATTCCAGATACTTTTTTCATTCTCTCTAAAATTGCAGGCTCAATTTGAGAAAATATGTTCTACTAGTTACCTTTTCGAATTTATGTTTTTATTTTCCTAGTCAAACTTCCAATTGTTTCTTTCACTGTAATTTTTTATCTGTTGCATTTCTTTCGAATTAAATGTTTTAATTTTTATTTCCTCTCTTCTTAATCTCTCTTTTTTCCTTCCCTTTATCTACTGTGCAGATTGAAAGCCTAACAACGGTAAAACTGCAAAAATGCGTATCTCGGTTACGGTGTTTCGAAATCTCTGCCCCTATTTTATTTTTTTAAAGGAGACTGAACCAACATCATGACTTGAAATTTTCACAGAATATCTTTTAGATAGAGAAGAAATATCACTGAAATTTTCAAAAGCTTACGTTCAGTAGTTTTTTATGTAGAAAATAAAGTATGACAGAAAGTCTGCAACACGGTCTGCAACCGTGGTACGCATTTCTGCAGTTTCACCATCTATAATGAAATAGTTTATCACTGCACTGCCGTCCTAAGGAAAAACGCTGTATGAACCTCTAGGTGTTGCCATACTTCCTTTAATAACCTACGAATTTATTGGGAAAATTCTGAATTTTTTCCCCCCAATTTTTCAGAAGATTATGTTCCCAATTTAATCTAAAATATCGGAAAATTTTATGGAAAAATACGCATAACTTTCTTCCAAAATGCATGTCTTATTCAGGGAAATTTGGCAACTCTCGAATGTTCATACGGCGTTTTTCCTTAGCATGTCCGTAGCACGGCAGCGAACACGTCCGATTTTTGCGTCTTTAAGAAATGAATTTGGCAGCCGTGGAAGCGCGGGTGATATCCGGGAGGTTAGAAATTCGAATTTACAAGCGCCAAATTTGAAGTTGAACTGCGACCTCCGCGAGTGCGCCATTTTGAAAGAGACACAATTTTTTCGTGAAAATTATTATAAATTGATTATCTGCTGAAAATTGTAGAATCGAGGATATTCTGGCACTGTAGTTTGAAGTGGATTGCGAATTTCAAGTGAACTAACCTCTCTATCTATGAAAACATGGGAAAAACTGGATTGTCTGTGACCTTATCGTTTGAAAAAATTTAGGGGAAACAAAGCTAAATCACAACAGATATGAAAAATTGGGAGTCGCCATATTCTGATACTACTTATGATCAAAGGCCTTACAAATCTAAGCCCTACAATACTGTTTATGATCAGCAGCCATCGGTACATAAATCCAGTCACAATTCTCCACCTTTCGACCCAAATAAAGACGCCCCAACTTTCAGTGGGAAAGCAAACCGCCACAGAAACCACACTCATCATGGTGACCACCGTGGACATTGTACTTGTCACAATTGGGAATGCAGTCATGTCAAAGTCAAAAAAGGTCCTAAAGTCAATCAAATACTTTGTTATGTCTGTGTTTTAATTTTCGGTGGAGCTTTACTTAGTGGAATCATTTACGCTTACTACAACCTATTCCTTTATTGTTATGAGTGCGTTGGAGAACCTGGAAGCACTTGTGCAACGATGAGTGATCCTCAGAAAGTTGATTACAAAGCATGTCTTGGAAAAGTTTGTGTTTCCATGTGCAACAAACAAACCAAAATCATAAATAGGACTTGCATGAAATTGAGCACTTTTCTGCACAACAACTCCCAAGAATCAAGTTCATTTTGCGCGACAGACAAGTGTAACACATTTGTTAATCACTGTTAAACTTAGCTCTGGGAATCCACCACTGTAGGTACAAACAAGAAGAAAATCATACGGAGTGCTTCAAGTCATGAGATCTCATGATGAGATCAGAGAAGATTCTCATCAGATTTTATCCTGGAATATGTTTGCACTCTTACGGAGTGGCTTCAAATCGAAAGTGGAAAATGTCAAAAACAAAAATACATAATGAGCTGAATCTGCTCAAAAATAATATCAAGTTCCGGAAACAAATTAAAATAGCTCAATAAACTAAGAGCTAAAAAAATTTTGCTCGATGGAATGAAAGACGTGTTAATGTCATGAGTATTTTTAGTCTGTCTAATTGTGTGTGTAGGAAAATTCATCCTGGAAAACATTAATCTGCAGTGGGTTTTGCTTGAAGAAGTTGTTTGACTGCTAAATGGCTTTATTTTATACGGAACTGTTCATAAAATACGTAAAGCTTCAGGAAGGGAGGGAGATCAAGGAGAGCATAATGCCATTTTGATTTTACATATTGTAGGATAAGCACCTTTGTCACTATCGAGTTACGAGAGAGAAAGTGCGTCAAAAAACCCAAAATGTAGCTTAACGTATTTAGTGAACGGTCCCTCACCATTGAAGAATACTGTCCAATATGAAACCGTTTTCTGAAAAGGCATGTAGACTTCATCTTAAATCGTGTTCTGTGATTTAGTATTAATATAAGCCGGAATGAGTTAACTGGCTGATGAAGACTCAAATATACTGTTGGATCATCGAGTAAATGCGATGAAAATAATGCAATTTAATTATTATACATTTTTACTTACATATATTTTATTAATATTTGTAATCTAAGATCTCTCCAAGCAATCCACTTGGTAGCTAGACTGGACGATAGTTGCTCAAAGTTTTTTTTGAGGCGGTCTAGAGGATGATAATTTCTGAAAGGACAGGATTCGATGACGATTGGATGTCAGACCAGCGGGGCGATTATTGAAATGATATCGACTGTATGTCGCCGCTTTGTCGTGTCGCGCCATCGACTAAGCAATTGCTTAGTCGATGGCGCGACACGACAAAGCGGCGACATACAGTCGATATCATTTCAATAATCGCCCCGCAGGTGAGATCAGTGTATGTATGGTAAAGAGGATGGTCTGTTCCAGATGCTCTAACTGAGAGTTCGGTCTGGGGGCATCAATGCAAGTGTTGACTGTTGAACTTTAAAGGTCCACGGGCTGATTACCATTGAACCAAAACTCCGAAAACAACAATCACTGAAACACACGGCTTTTCCTCATTTTTTTGTCATACATGTGAAAATTGTGGCGTTTTTTACTGTTTTGGTACATGTTCAACAGTCAACACCCCTATCGATGCCCCCAGACTGAACTTCCAGTTTGAGCATCTGGAGTGGGCTAATACAGATGCTATCCCATCGAAGAAAAGAGAGGTCAAGGGAGATACCAATGGCCAAAATGCCAAACCACATTCCTCCATTGCGATTATTCAACATTTTTGCTCCTATTTTATTTTTCAAAGAGAAACGTTTCAACTTTATAGCTTGCAATTTTTACAGAGTATTCTGCTGACAGAAAGGAAAAATCAAGGAAATTTTCAAGATATTAAGTAGATTGATTTTCCAAGGCAAAAATAAAGTATGACATGTCCTGATGGTTATTTTAAATTTGTTTACAATTCTGATGAGTAGAGTTTATTCTGAAGAACTAAGGTTTATGGCCAAGAAAAATAGATGGAATATTTGTGTAATTGAATTAAAGTGTTTGATTTATTTATGTTCTAAACTATACATTGAATAAATGTACATGTTTGTTGATCTACTTAACATAAATGACATTTACAAGATTAACATTGATTTGTAATTAATACAATTAATAATAAATTTAATGACAGACATTAACAAATATTTACCATTTATCAATTAAAATAAGGCCTCAACTTTTGACATGCTGTTAATTAAAAACAATACGAAAGAAGACTTCTGTGGGAGCTTTCAATTACAAATCTTCAAAGAACAAACGGCATTAAGTTACTGTTAAACTTAGATTAGTTCCAGAGGGTTTGCTGACAATGATGACTTGACTAAACTTTCCCGTTAGTGAGAAGTAGACTTAATTTGTTTAGTTACATGAATTAATTGTCTTGACACGATTGAGTGGAAGAAAAGATAATTGAAAGATGTTACAAAGTTAAATTCTGACAACATAACATGCGTCCTTAAAAATCTTACTAAGCACCTCAAGGCAAGCTAAAGAAAGAAAATTCATGATTAAATAATAAAAAAATAATAAAATATAAAAACAAGAATAAACACTTTTAATAACTAACATTTATAATGTATATAGCATTTACATAAGTAGCCAAAGGCAATATTGAAGATCGACGGTGAAACTAATAGACCACATATCTCATTTGAAGCGTATAAAAATGTCCGCTTCCATTGTATTTTTTGAAGGAGAACAAATCAAGATCATTTCTTGACATTTTAACAGAGTTTACCTCGCACAGAAAAGAAAAAACACGGAAGTTTTCAAGAATTGAGGCACTGGATGCAAGAAGGGCACTTCTCGATTGCAGTGTTCCAGAATCTCTGTTGCTAATCAATCTCTTGGAAAAGAATTTAATGTGTGATTTTGCCAGAATTCTTTCCATAGAAAATTGTAGAATCGTAAGGAATATTCAGTGAAATTTTTAGTGAAATAGATGCATTCACTTTCCTTACAATGAATGAAATATTAGAGGAGACTCTGAAACACTGCAACCAAGAAGTGCCCTTTTCGCACTCAAGGCCTCAATTGACGTTGAATAATTTTCCATTTAAAAAGTACAGTATAACAGAAAGTCTACAATGTCGCAAACCGAGATACAAGGTCTGGTGCTTTCACCATCGAAATACTCTGAGCACTTTGGAACAGAATTTGAGAGGGGGAAAACTATAACCTTCCGCTTTTTAAGTACTGCACGACCATAAGGTCATTTGTAATTTTGAATTGACGTTACTAAATGGGATCAGGATCTTGCTTTCAAGACGAAAAAGAGAAGTTGTTCTGATGTCACACACATTGCGTTGCAGCAAAAATCATGCTAAAAATATATTTCTTTTCCTAAATGTACAAAGAAAACAAATATGACATTCAGCAACAAGAATTTAGTTTAGGAACATGAGTCGATTTGACAAAAAATTGATTTGACTTTATTGATTCTTTAATTCAACAAAAAGCACACATTTTAGTGGCAAAATAAGTTAAAGGTACAATTAATATTGCTTTTCAAATTGAAAAATAAAGAGAAACCCATGATCTCCAATCACTCCATAACCGCCTTGAAATATGTATTTAATTTTATTATTGGGCCAGAACTAACAAATTTCACTTAATCAGGGTCCTTGACAAATTGTTTAAAGGCAGTTTCATGTAAATGAAATTAACTCAGGTACACTGCAACTTGGAAATACTGATTGAAGTTTTACTTTAAAAAAAGGAAAGTGAAAATTCCTTGAAGAGCACTAAAATAATGATGAGGCAAATAAGTCAAACAAGTATGTAAAACTGTAAAAACTGTAAAAACTGCAAAAAAGGTGAGACTCGCATGGATAAAGATAATAATCGCTTGAATAAGATAAAGAGGATTTAAAAAATTTGGATATTTTTAGTAAATAGTGCGATTACCTACGGTTAACAGTAAAAGTCAGTTCCTTTAATTCAAAGGTGTCACTGAAGAGTTGCGCAAGAAGAAGGCACAGCTTTATTCTCTTTCAGTGCCCCCAATTTTTTGCCTCCTCCTGCAACAATACTAAAATGGGGTCACAACCTCATTGCTTTTCATTTGTAAAAATTGGCTACTTTGAATACCTCGTTCTACTATTTTCGAGGGGATGATAGCTTCTCCTATAAAAAGTTTGCCACTTCTCCTTTGCAATACTGGCTACACTTTTGTTTTGATCAACTTCATACATATGTGTCTGATTCAGAGAAAGTTTCTTTCGTAATATAGGATAAGAAGTAAAGATAATTAAATGAAAAAAAAGTTGAGAAAATCAGAATCAAAAGACTGTTCGTTTGGAATTATTATTTAAATTGGTTTGCAAAATCATGGGATGCTTGCATACATATCTTAAATCAAGGAAAAACTTCATTCAGCAAATATTAATCCAAGTTTGAGTGGAGAACTTGAAAAATATTTTTCCTGTATTATAGAATAAACGCGTTCTGCTAGACTGTGTTATGAACAATCGTTTGATTACTAGAACCAGTGACAACAAATTTATTGATATTATAACTATTCTGATTTAAATAAAATAATATTTTACGGAAGACAAACACATATAAATTTGAACAGAAAAACAAGGTTAAACAAAACATGGTTACACAAAGGAAACAAAATATTATGCAACATGCAAAAGTCGATTTACAAACAAATAAATACGTCACTTAAGTGAAAATTATGGCATCCATCAGTCTGGTAAACTGAACATATTTAATAAATCTGTTACGGGCCGTTCATAAAATATGTATCGCTGAACTTCAGATTTTTGGAACTTCCCCTCAGCCCTCGTAGCGATTTTGTGTTGTAGGCCCCTCTTCTGTAAAAACAAAATAGCGTAGCGCTCTTCTCAACCCTCCCTCCCTCCATGGAGCGTTATGTATTTTATGAGTGGCCCTTTACAGATAGTTATTTCTCTTTCACTTTCATGCTGACATTCTGATTTCAGTATGAGAGATGATGAAAAGGCAGTAAACATCCGAAGCGATATCTACTTAACAATGGCATTAGACACTCAGTTTATCTATGCTACTCAGCTATGCAGCCAAAATCATGATTTCTTCTTTTTTTGTAAAATTAAAACACCATAAACAAAATGCTCAACGAGGCTTAACCTAAAACTTAGACATATTTAAAAAATACTGTTGGCAGTTGCAAATGGCAACCAAGGTACTAGAGTTACAGATACATAAGAATAAATTATGGAAGTAGTTCCTTGTCTAAAATTGTTTAAGACTACACAGCTCTGATTGATTGATCAATAAAAAGGAATTTATTTACTTTAAAAAAAAAATAATAAAATATGATTGCTTCCCAACTTGACAAAAAGGCTTTAAAATTACCAATGAAGTTAGCATTAACTTAAAAAGCAATGATTTAAAATTTGCAACACTTTGTTTGTCTCATGTGGTATGAAAAAACTGGAACCTGATGAAGAATTAAAATTGTATAGCCTACATTGGTGAGGCTCGATCAGAGAATGACAAACTGTCTATTGCAGCCTTCCTCTACAAAAACAACACATGAGTCTGACTTTGTTTGCAACAAACATGATGCACTTCCGCATCAAACGTGTCATGCACTAGTTTTTAGTCGAACTTTAAATAGAATTGACGATCAAATAGAAACTTTATTGTTCTAGTTCTCTGATAGACTAATGCATGGCAAGTTTGATGCGGAAGTGCATCATGTTTGTTGCAAACAAAGTCAGCTATGCATTAGTTTTTAGTCGAACTTTAAATAGAATTGACGATCAAATAGAAACTTTATTGTTATAGTTCTCTAATAGACTATATTAATACGTTCTTGATTCAAACATGGATTTGATGTCATTTTCTTACAGTAAAGTAAAATGAAAACATTAAAACAGGCATTTTTAAGGCACCAAGCACGCCTTTTGTGCATACGATTTAAAAAAGAAGAGAAATAGATTGTCTATGTAGGTATGATACACAAAAATTGGCTGAAAACAGAGTGTCTATAAAATTGTAGAAGAATCCTGTCATTTTCATGACAAAAAAAAAGAAAAAAAGTCAGCTGTATAAGATTGGGTCCTTCAGTGTTTCATTTCATCTTTAAACATTGCTATTACTAGCACAAAGCAATTATGAGTCATTCACAAGTATCACAATCATGTTCAGATATTTTTTTGGCTAATCAATGGGGCCAACCACCAGAGCTTGAATCTGTTATACTTGCAGTTGACATATTCAGCAACAGTCACTGTCAGCGCTGACTTCCTTTTTGGAAAAAATTGATTTCGTGTTAAAACAGCAGCTTTGTTCGAAGGATTCATCAGTAAAAAGGCTTTTCTATTTCGCACTTAAAGCAGAATAAACACTCTAAGAAGCAATTTTTTAAAACTCAACTCACAAAAGACTTTTGTTGTCCACTTATGCTAACAAAAAATAAAAAAAACCTGATTATCGTCGATTTTTAGTGTTGCACTCTTCCTGATCTTGATTTTTAGTGTTGCAGTCTTCTTGATCACTGATCACTTACAATAAAACTTTTTCAACGCGAGACATAAGAAACGCACAAAGCATTAGGATAATTCTTGACTATATTCCATGAAAAATTCCTCAATTTCACACATACGCTTTCATTAGGGCATCCGTCAACTTACAAAGAGTCGGAGATGTAATGCAGTTGGGCGAAATAGTCCTCTAAAAATGCACTATTTCAGGTCTCTAAGAATGACACTACAGCTGCATTACTGGACTTTCAAAAGACTACTCTCCAAATCCATCATTAATTTGATTTTTGAGAAAATTTGCAAAATAAAGCAAGTCTGCTCAAAAACCACTATACACAAAACTAGTTGCTAAGATAAGGCAAAGACGGCATTTTACATTATTCAACACTCACTGTACAAACAACGAAAAGGCTTCAGTAAGAGCTGTGGATTAAAGTGTTAATTTAATTACTGCGATTAGTAATTGTAAAATAACTCGACCACGTTTGACTCCTACTTGTTGAAATATTTTCAAATATTCCAGGGTTACAGAAAGGTCTACTGCCAAGGAGTACTAGACCCACCCACTGGTAAGTTTATGATACAATTCTTCGTTTAATGATTGATTTGAGTCTTTGCTACGCATGGATAAAAATATGTAGCCTCCGATGAACTCATGGATGACTTTGCAATCTGCTGACAGAACAGAAAACACAATACTGCTGTCTTCAAACTGAACCATCATTTGTTTCACTTCCCAGTTGACGTTCCATGCCTGAAATAAAACATCAGCTTAGTTAGAAGAGGGTTAAGAATAAGTTAAATTTAAAATTCTCTCTTGTGCAATAGTTGTGTGTGCACTAGCTCAATAGTAATCAATGAAATATTGACAAATTAAGTATTAAACACCATCTTAGTCCAGGCTTGATTGTTGAAATTTGGTATTTTTTGACTGGACAAGACATTCAGGTGAAATAGAGTTACTGATTTGATGGCTGACGATAAAGTGGTGGTTACAAAAGAAAAGACTTTAGCTCCCTGTCGATTCTGTCCAACATGGACACAACAAAGAGGACTCCTGACAAAGACGACAAAAAAATCATTCATCCTTAGTCGTCACACTGAGGCGCTCTGCAACTCCCAATTGCCATCTATGTTCATCCGCTCAATGATCATCAGGCAAATGATATACCTTAAGTCCCTTACACCCTCTTTACATCTAATTCCGATTTTTTAGAAATAAGAAGATATTTAATAAGTATTTTGAGGGAGTTTGAGAGATTAAGAAAATTCAAAAGGATGAAAAAATCTTACTAAAATTAATTACAAACAGAGATATGTTTAAAAGAGAGAAAGAAAAAAAAAAAACAATATGATTTGAAGTAGAAGCAACATTTATCATTACTGTAAGCTCTTTCATCCCCTAAATTTTCATTTTTTGTTACAGTTGGTTCAACCGATTTCCATAGTTTTGCTGCTATTGTCAAGAGAATTCGATAGATGAGCATGCTATATTTAGATGGAGATATAACTCAGGTTTATGATAGAGTTGTACCTTCTCCCATTTGAACGATGGAAATGTTCAATTCTTGTCACAATTGGTTCTGAAGATCTACCCAGCCGATTTTCCTTATTTTTGCAATTATCAATAGGAGACACTCTCATAAGAGCCTGCTCTATTTATAGTAACTCAAGAGAGCCTGTGAAGCAGGCCTTCGGGGGGCGCCAGGCACTCTTAGAGCTGCATAGCAACTGAGCAACCCTCCTAGTAAAATATAATTGTTCTCGGATAGAATAGTACCGCCTGTCTTATGATGGGGATTCTAATTGAAAATCCTCTCTAACTGGAGACTTGCGAGGATATCCAATTATTCTGTATCATACCCTAGAGATGTATCCTAAAGCGAGAAAAAGAGAGAACAATGTAAAATGTAAAGAGCGATTAAAATAGACAAACCTTGACAGTGTTGAAGCGCCAAATCTTGATATGGTCACCCGTGTTGATATCCATGCGCATGAGGCGATTGGATGCAACACCAAGGAGCTCCTCTTTTTTATGACCCACTAATTTGACTACGAACAATGAAACACCAAAATCTGGTAATGACTGCCAAGCCTTGATGTAGTTCATTTTTGCATCAACTGAACTTAGACTTTTGACATTGGCGTGTGCTTCCAATATCCGCTGCACAAGCTGTAACAAAGCATAACATCATTTGAAGAGACCGTTGGGATGATAAATATTGAAAGTCAACTTATATAACAAAATAAGCACTCTTATTAACTTTTTCATGAGATGATTGGTCAAAAATGGGTTGGAGGAAAAAAAATAGGCACATAATCGACTCTTCATTAACTTAACAGGCTTGCGGTCAAAGCAATGATAATGATCTTTTGACAAAGTCAATAAACAAGGTCTGGGAAAAAAATTGCAAGGTCATGGGTAGTTCTTTTTTCTTGTGTAGAAAATAAAAGAGTAGAAATCCGTTTTGATTTAGACTTCAGAATAATACCTGAAAATGGGCCAGTTGCTCAATTTTTTTTATTGCTAATATGAATGGAGCTAAGATTCCTGATGTCACAGGAATTTTCCTAGTGGTTTTTGACCACCGGAAACCCTAAAAAAATTACCTTAAAGACTTCCCAAGACTAGGACTTTCAAAACGATCACTTTTGGGCAGGCACAGGTCTGGTGCACTCGCTACGTCACAGTACAATGCGAACCTGGTCTCTTTGTCACTTACAAAGTATTCATTATTTCAACGATTATCAACGAGGTCCATATTAAATGTGAAGGGGAATAGGACAGTTTCATAAGACAGTCCTGCTTTCTGATGGATCGAATGCTTTGACTCTTCGCAAACTTCAGAGCCATGCGAAAAAATCCAGGCCCCAAATAAGTCGAACAACATCTCGATCAGTCGGAAGGTTACTACTTACTTTTCCTTTAAGTTTCTTTGTAAACCTAGATGGCACATAATCTTCCGGTGTAATATCTAGGGATGCAGGGTTTATGGCGGGAGCAGGAGCTGCACGTTGCATTTGAAGAAACGCAGCTATGGAACGAGTCTCAGCTTCAAAAGAACTGTCAGCCAAGGAACGTCCTTTTGATGCTAGCCTACAGGCTGCCATCCACTTGGCATATTGTTCTTCCTGAAATCAAAAATACAGATAATGAAAACATCAAGAAAAAAATTACCACGAATCTGATGGGAGAAAAACTAAAATGAAAAATATTCATCAAAAGTAAGTAATACTATTTTAACAAATCTGAGGGATAAGATAGCTGAATTTGCGAGTGCAAAAGTCTGTGCCAGTTAGGTATGATTAAAGTCTGCACACAGTACTGGTCAATAGTATTACAAAAAAAGGAGCTTGTATTAAATATCTTCAATTTTCATCTTTAGGAAGGATCATGTTTACTTATTGAAAATGGTAAGTTGTATGTTAATTGAGGACACCGCACCAAGAACAGCCTATAACTTGGAACCGCGTTTTGAGAAAAACGCATTTTAAGTTTTGTTTTTGAGGTACTGCGCAGACTTTTCTATGCAGGTACCCTGTTTTGGTGTTTTTGGGTGACCTAACCCTTCTATTGAAGGATGCCGGGTAGATTTTGAGATACATTTTGGGTTTACACTCTAATATATTTATTTTAAAAAAGCGGTTTATAGGCCATTATTACACCCAACAGTCATTTTGGTGGCAATACGAAGTATAAACCATTTTCATCACGCATGATTAACGCAAAATGAAAGAATATCGATACAGAGTAAAGAAAAGGGTAACTAGCACCTTATAGGCCCATAAGTTGATAGGCCCGCTTATAGGTTGTTCTTGCACCCACCGATTCAGTGGCCTGACTTAACTCGGAGAAAAAAGGTTTTTCGACCTCGAGCCGTTACCTATCTATATTCTATCGCTACCACAGCATAGTCCAGGGTACGTAGAATCCGAAAAGCAGATGGGTGTAATAACGACCTATACGCCTATAGGCTGTTCTTGGTGCGGTATCCTCAATTGTGATACATTCACAAAAATGCACAATATGGATAAAAGTTGTAACGTACCGTATCACATCGGATCCACATTTCTGACATTCCATCAGCGCTTGGTACTTCCAGTTTTATTCCAAACTTTGATTGAGACAGGTTAACATCAGGTGTGACCTCACAGCCTCGTAGATTGATTTCGTAGACGGGAGAGTTAGTTTTCGAATCCTGGTGGTTTTTGTACAGATGGAGCTGCAAATCTTTACAGGTAAACCAAAATCTCTTGTATGCTTTCAGTGTAAAGCGTTTGGGCCTGCAGAGAAAGAACATGATTAGATGGCGCCAATTAATTAAAAATAATAGAGCTATTTATAGAGGCTGACTGATTTGCGTCAATCCATTCATATTTAACTATACACTTCTTTCCTGCAAATCCTGCATCCACAGTAGGTACATTGTTTACTTTTCATTTAAACAGATTTTACGAAAAAATATTGCAACAACTACGAGAGCAATATACCTAGTATTTATCTGTGTGATTTGAATTATTGCAAGGGTATCAAGCAAAAAGGTAACATAAGATAATACAAATTATCTAAAGGAGCAAGAATTATGGAATTCTCTGTCTTTAGTTTCAGTTTTAGTCAGGAAATTAGGTGTATGAAATTACTAGTTTAATTATGTTGTTTTGTCATTTCTCTTTTCGAATTTCATTCACACTCTCATTTGTACATTAGGCAGTACGATTGAAAATCAAAATAAAGAACATGTTTGAGTCAAAGTAAAAATTGCGGCTACGTAAAACTTTAACCTAAAGTCACATGGTTCAATTTTTCATCAAACTTTTCCTCTAACTATTGAATGTAAATTTTTCCTATTTGACTACACAACTGCCTTTCCTCTTGTGTACACAGTAAAAATTTTCATCCAATAAAATTGTGAGAAAAGTTGAATGAAAAGTTGGACTGTGTGAATGGACTTCAATGTATAGTGACACTAATCAGAGCAATTAAGTACCAAACAAAATAGTTTTCACTTGGTCAAACTGCACATATAAGTGAGCATGATAAACAATAAAATCTGTTGAGACATCCATACGGATACATGAACAGAGGAATTAAATATCAGGACAAGTAACATTTGCACCTTTGGTTCTGTCTTAGCATAGCAAGGACTAGTCTAGCATGATAACATTATGATTACGACACCGATCTGTGAGAACCAGTAGAGATTGAACCCACCACACAACAGAATCAGGTGAAGAATGTGGCAAGTTGATAGAGGCACATCATTGACAAGGAGTGTTAAAGTCGCAACGGAATGACAGTTGTACACTCTTTAGGATACTGTAGTAATGTTCATTTATGTGGCAAGCTAACAGATAGCATTCGCAGCCTTCTGGAAGTTCTTAAGCTAGAACTTGCATAACTGCCGCTTATAGGAACTTGCATTCATGCAGGTCCGAGCGTAGTTGGTGAGGCGTCTTGGAGCTGAGAGCCAAAAAAGTTATGGCAATTGTTTCATTAAAGTAAGCTACACAAAATAAACAAACAATAAATGATGATTGAATAAATATACTCATAAAAAGAAGTGGGAGAAGGACATAAGAAGAAATGTAAACCTACTTTAAGAAACGGAGATAGTCGCTAAGCTCAGGCACTTGTGTAATATCGACTGGTGAATGAATATGAGAGCCTTCCAAGGAAAACTCTAGGTCAGTAAGCGCTGCGTCGATGTCATCATCAGCAGCAGACAAGTTTGTGCTATCTTCAATCAACTGCGGGACCCCAGCTTGGAGCGTTACTTGGACCTGGAATGACCAAGAAATATAAATTGACTTAGAGTTTCTCCTCTATACACCCTATAAGATGATTTACTTTCAGACACTTTAGTATAGACACACATAGACATAAATATGTACATCTTTTTTGAAAAGACTCCTTGACCAGACTCTTGACTCTTGACTCTTGACTTCATGCTCTTTGACTCCTACCTATTTTAAGATGACTCGAATGATCTTAAGGATGATTTGGTTTGAATTCAAGACTTTGAGAGGTGCTTTGAGTGGAGGCTGAATTTTGGGTAAGCCCTACTTATGAAAACCCAATTTTGAAAAAATTTAAAAACTCCCAAGCCCCAAATTTGAAAACTACACATTAATTTTTTTTTTCCTTCTTCTTCTTTTTTTCCACTTCAAATACCTCTGAGGGGATAATCTCACGCTAGTAGTCCTTAACATCCCATACCCCTCAGTCCCTAAAAGCTACAACCACTCCACCATAGGAGACCGAAAAATGCTAACGAATATTATTCCTTTGGCACTTTGGCAGAGGGGTCTGTTTTGCTGAATAAAGAGCAAGCAGAAATTATACTCAGCAAACAGGATTTGTCTGCAAGAGGATTAAAAACATCTAAGAAGATTTGGAGTTTGCTGGAGCCTTAATCGGTTTTTGCAAAGGTTCCTCTTGTCAGGGTCTACCGTTGCGCCACTTGGGCCTCATGTCTTTGTGTGCATTCTTATATAACATATATTGTTAGTTTTAAACCCTCCACTAAAACCAAGGATTATTTAACCATAGAACCAGTCTAAAATTGAGACAAATAGGTCCTATTTCAGCAGAAACTGATTTCTTAAAATATTTGAGAATTTGATGTAATTTTGGATTTTTCTCAGTGACAGCATAGTTGTAACAGAAAGGTACAGTTCAATTGGGCAAAGTCCGACCAAGACTGATGCTTTTGCCTTTGTTCACTTTTTATTACTATAAAAGATGTCTTGGTGGTACAAACCTGTAATGCGGCAAACATGAGGGCCTCTTCTTCAGTGCAGTCAATTTCTTCATTTAAAATTTGCCACTTGGCTTGTTCATACAGCTGATTGATTCTGACTGCATCCAAACGTGCATTCAAATCGTAGAAGGAGTAGAATTTAAACCTGAGCCGCAGGGTGTCGAACTCTTTTACACCTTGTTCCATTATTGATAGAGAGGAGTCAAGCCATCTGCAAAGAGTAACAGGAAATAAAAAATAAATTATATTTATCTATTCAAATACATTTAAGTGCAGTTTTACTAGTACAACACTTAAATATCATTAAATACATTCTGCCATCTCTCTACTTATTAAATTATTCTCGTATTCTCTTATTATTCTCGTTCATTAGATATATATCAGTGCTGTATAAAGTTAAATTAAGATATTTATTTTAGTCATATTAACCAGATTCATCCCTACTAAATTATTTAATGCATTTTATTTTGGTTTTAAAATTAAGAAATATATTAAATGTATAAAAAAATACAGCCATTTGTCTTTATTTAGGGATCAAGCAGTCATGAAAAAAGATAACGTGATAAAGATTATCAATAAAGTGGCACTGCATGTATCAATCACAAAGAAAAAAGAGTAATGTCTGAAAGATATTTATAACAACTTGACCATAATTTTGAGAGTAAGATTGTTTATAATGAATAGCCAATTTTGTGATTCTTACACAAATACACCATGTAATAACATACTTCATATAATTTGAAGGAAAATGTACAACAGCTGTCAAATTTATGGCCTCCCTCTCTCCTTGAATTATTTCCGTTGTGGTAAGACAAATGAGAAAAAAATTCAACTTACGCAACATTCATCCTTGCTCTTTCTACAAGGGATTTTGGTTTCACTAATTTTGACCTGGCTTCATGGGTTGGCACTGCCGGACTATGTGCCAGAGCTGTATCTGTTGATCCATTCAGGAGTTCTAGGCTTATATTGTGTCCATTTGTCGTGTGATTACCATTCATTTTGTAACTATCATTCTTCCATGTGTTCTGCAAAAAAATCATAAGTTAAATTAAAATAACTACAGTTTAAATTTTATGATATCCTATTCTTTCACATTGACGATGAACTACATTTCATGCAATTTTACAAGTGATTCCAAAAACGTATAGATTCAATCAAAGTTAATGGGTTGATCAAGTTAAACACACTGGAATGAATCGAAATTCACTACCCTCTTTCAATCAGAAGTAACATTAGAAACAGGAAATTATGAAAATATTGACCATGCTGCACATTACACTGTAGAAATTTTTAAAATAAGGCATTTTTTTTTCTTGGGCACCATTTGATGTAAATAAATAAATAAAAAAAGGCCCTGCTTTGCCCAGCATAAAATTTAAAAGTGTCTTCTTGATTCTAATCCAAACAGACTGATTAAAAGTTGCAGTTGATCTTTGGTGTAGGTGCTATCTTCTGAATCGCTTGTATTGTTACCGTCCTCTTTGAAAAATGTTGCATTTAGTTAAATCTAACGAGTGCATACTCCTTAATTTGAAACTGAGGGGGCGAATAATTTTTTTTTACTCACAATCAGAGATTTCGAGTTAGTAAGATGCTGCAATTACCGAATCATAAAAAGTGCTTCCAAAGAGAATTCGAAAAGAGTTGATTTTAAAATAATCTGTAGGCACATTGTACAATTCACATTGCACCTATTTTACCTCTGTACAAAACACACCTCCGAATCAATTTATATTTTCAACCCAAAAATTTGTCGTCAAGTGGTTCTTTTTTCTCCTTCTCATAGGCTCAATAGTTTCATGAATTAAATTGAACCAAGTGAACTACATTTTGCGATGAGAAACTAAGTTACCTGGCTCATCCAACAGGCGTATATTTGCATGGGAAAATTAAGGCACAAATGTTGTTTCTATGATGAACCAGAAAAAATGGTTCCTTATTGCAAAACGTAGTCTAGATGGAAGAATATGAGCCCTGCACTTACCGATCTGATGGGAGAACTAATAGGTGTAGAGTTTTGACTTTTGCTTGATGATACGGGTGCACACAGAAATGGTGGAAATGCTTTGTCTAGACTGTGCGTTGATCCAGTTGGGCTATGATTGGCAATGAATGTGTTTGTGTCTGGTGGTATGTTGTTTCCATTCATTTCATATCTATGATGTTTCTTAGCTTGCATTTCTTTATAGTTACTTTTCAGATGACAAGGTTCTAGGGGTTTACACAAGGATAGCTCTTCAGGGTGTCGAATTCCTGGAACAGATAATAAAAATATAGGGTTAGTGCAATCAGTACAGTAAAAGATGGAAACCTAATAAAAAAGACCAAACAAAAGCACCCAGCAGGGTGGCATGAAACGTAGAAATAAATGAATGATTGGAAATTTCAGTGAAATATTTCATGAAATTTCACGAGGCTGTGAAATATTTCATATTTTTCAGGGGCTAGTGTATGCAAATTGCACTCAAACACACAAAAACAGAAGAAATTCACAATTTTAACATTCTTCAAAACATGAAAAGGGACCGGTATGTTTCTATATGTTTCATAAATTTCTGAAATTTCATGAAATATTTCACAAGAAATTTCAAGATTTTATTTTTCATGAAATTTTGCCACCCTGGCATCCCAGAGTGGAATGAGTAGATGTTTTACACCTGCAAAGAGAGAACGTAGAGCGTACTTTGCGTGTACGTAGAATAAGTAAGACAACCCACAGTCCCACACATTGGCCCGCTCAACAAAACTTTTTCGATTCTTCAGAATTTTTCGATAAAATGTCAAAGGGGCGCATCACCTTTTCCAATGGGCACCCTTGTTGTTTCTATATTCAGTTCGATTTTCTGAATCTTTTCAGTTCTGAAAATTCAATCAGAAAATTTTCAGTTTGCTTTAGTAGCAACTAGTGGTGACTCAATCTGGGTCAGGTCAGTTAACAAAAATTTACCCCTCTTAGATAAAAATTTGGGTGAAAAATAGACAGGTCACAGAATGTTACGATCGCGGTTTGACAAAAAGGAAAAAAAACGGGAGTGGGCAGTTGTATCTCCGACAGAGGCCCCGTGTTTTTGACGGTTGGAGTAAAAAAAGCAAACAATAGGAAAATGAAGAGTTGAGGCGACCCTTTGGACCCTGACACGGGCGGTCTCCTCGGATGCTCACGGCTTGAAACAAAATTAACGATTCGCTTATTTACTTTTTCCACAGATGAAAAGACCTACGGCTCTCGTCAGTGAAATTTGGCTCCGGCTCAAATGGCGCCAGGCGCCTCTCCGTTGATTTTTTTAGATTTAGTCGAGTCTTACCCGGTGTTGTCATAGAATACGTCAAAATTAGTTCCATTCAAATGTAAAATTTACATTTAATTTCGACTTGAAACTTAAGAAAGTTAAATGTAAAAGTTGTGTGAGTTAAGTTAAATGTAAAATTTACATTTAATTTCGACTTAAAAGTTAAGAACTTTTGTTTCTTCGTACAATTTTAGATAAAACCAAAGCAGAGGTATATTATTGTTAATAATAAAAATAGTTGTTAATAGTCTAACTAAAATAATAAAAATAAGAATATATGAGATATTTTATTATTGCTGTTTTCCATTGCGAGTGTCGAGTTACTAAAAAAAGGGGTTCATACTTTAAATACAAATTGATTCCTCCCTTTCTTTCCCTCTTTAAATGAATGGCAACAGGAAGAAATTTGAATATAAGTAAAACGACAGGTTGCCTATGACCAACTGAGAATTAGATTTGGACACACGTACAAGTGATAAGCAGTGAGGCGCTTAAAACTTCGGTAATTTGTGCGATTTTAACGACCTGGCAACCGGCGGAATGAGCGGGAAACAGGGGCGCCGAAAACTAGACCCAAGTTTCAATATCATTTCTCGACTTACTCAAATCGCCCATCAAGTGGAACCGACCTGTGCTCTTTCCAACTTGACTCATCCGAAAATAGCCAAAATGGGCCGATATTTTTCTTTTTTTCACACAACGTTCAAGTTCTCCTCCTTTCAACGAAGTATGTTACGGCCTGTGACTTACGGGTCGAATAATTCGGATCAGGCAGGACACATTCGAATCTCTGAAAAAAGTTCATCTTACGCAAGTTTTTTTCAATCATTTCAGACTGCTACAAACTGGAAGCTACAACTGTAGATAGGTGTATGAGAGACCATTTGACTGAGTTTAAGCCGACTTCAGTGACCCAAAAACAAAAAAAGCCACAAAAAACTAAAGAAAAAGAAAAAAAGAGGAAAATTTACAAGTTTGTAGCTACAGTTGCCTTGCTTCCTCTGTTCGAATTACCAGGGTGTCCGGCCATTGATTTTCTTTTCTTTTCTCATTCAAGCTCACGATGATGTTGGCCGATTCATTTTTTCTTAATTTTCTCTATAAGGGTAAGTTATGGCTATTATGGTGTGCATCATAGTCGTTACGCACTGGAGCGCCAATGAGGTCGCTTTTTGAGGCTGCTTTGTCCAATACTCCTGAGACTAGAGTGCAGCGACTGGCGACGCCATACGTGAGGATTTCCAGCTTCTGGCTTCCCTCAGAGTGTATAAGTATGCAATTAATCACATAAAAACTCGAAGTCCCATACATTTTTGACATTTTTATGACTTTGGTCAACTTAATTTGTCAAAATCAGCCAGAATAATTGAGGCATTTTTCGGTTAAAAAGGTGTATGAGACTTCCAATGCTTCGTTATGTGTGAATATTTCCGTAAGTCTGTTCCGAGTTTTCCCTCGCTATTGTAAGGAAGTACCTAAGTCGACTGTGAATGAATTTCACCTGCCGCAAACGCTATAAAAAATCGCCCAATCTTAGCAGAATAGCAAGCCCCTTACTCTTTTTTACCCCGGAAGTCCTCAATTGGACGTATTTCTGCCAAACAGAACTATGTGCATTAAGGCATGAGCCCTGAGACCCATAAGAACGCATACACGACAGGACTCATGTCTTAGTGCACTTAGTTCTGTTCGGCAGAAATACGTCCAATTATCGATTCAAATTTTGACGGATAGGAGATTAGGAATGCACCGTTCAAGGATCGGCTTCATCGGCGCTCCAGCGCATAGCACTCTAATGTACTCTATGATAGATATCGACCCGATAGTGAGACCCCGGCGGATTTTAACGGAACCATACACGCGAGCATAGCCGCGCGTTCGTGCGGGTGACGACCACACTCACACAACGACGACGGTGACTTTCATCGGGGCTCGAAATTCGAAAATTATCCTCCGAGTACGCCACCCCGTCGCTTGATCAAACAGTGTGCATCTCTACGAGAGATTAGACCGAATTAGGTTAGATTAGATTGGCCGGAAAGGGTAACGAATGCGGCAGATGGTCGCACCGCCTCTGCCAAACTCGCTGTAGTGATGCGCCTCGGAGAAAGGCGTAAAGCGACCGTCTGACTGTCGCCTCTCCGTCTCTTCCGACGCCCACGCAATGAGCCAACGCGACGACGAGCGGAAAAAGTAAGATTCGGAGAAATTTCTCGATCCCTCATCCTTGGAGGCGTTTCTGACCTCTTAATTTAAGGTGAGTCTCAAGCCTTGGTACAGTGGCCTGCATTGCGATGGATCGATTGATCTGCCATTTTAGCGTACGGAAAAGGATCCGGGATCCAGAAAGTGCTCGATCGGTCAATCGTGGAGCAAATGTGAAGGCACCTGACGAGGGGTAAAAAATGTGAAAGCACTTGGAAAAGGGGAAAAAATGTGATGACAGAAGGCATAAACCAGCGGACGCATAGCTGTTTGCGTAAGGAAACTATGATGCCGTGATAGCGAAGAGAGCAGTAAGTGCATTCCAGTATGAGCCATGGTTAGCACATGCTTTACACTGGGAAAAAAAAAAAAAAAAAAAAAAATTGGATCTAGAGTCCAGACTCTTGAAAACATTGACAAGAAAAAGGACTCTTGATTCAATCAGATTTGAGCTTAAATCAGAAGGAAATCCGCTCAAATTAAGAGGCTTGGTTCTTGATTTAAACTTAAATCTGATTGAATCAAGAGTATTTTTCCTTGTCGATGTTTTTAAGGGTCTGGACTCTAGATCCAATGTGTTTTTTTCCCAGTGTATGTGTTTCGAGGTTCAGCCTAGTATGCACTTACTGCTCTCTTCGCTATCACGGCCGAGTGTAACACGCTCTCTTGTGCGAAGAAAATAGTTAAGCGCGCTCTTTTATGTGAAGGAAATAGTGAAGTGCACAAGTCTTATGTAGACAACGATGTAAAGACAACCCAAAAATGCGAGGACTGCCTCCAAAAATGTGAGGGCGAAGAACTTCCTGAGTTTCTGCACCCGTGAAGGATCGATATACAGGATATTCACGACGAACATCTGATAATAATGGAGTCTTTACTACAGCTTCGAATGGGGAAATCTCGACAATCGATCATTCACGCCTCGCCACGGGTTACGGAAGAAACATCCACGCTCCGCTGCTGAAATCTGACAATCTAACCAGAGCCGGATTAAGGGGGTGGCCACATGGGCCGCGGCCCATGGCGGCAAATTTTGCAATTTTTTTAAATGTAGGTATACAAAAATATCGGATTTAGAAAAAAAAATTATAAACGAGAAAAGGCGACAAAATCTCTCATTTCCTGAGAGTGTAGTAATTTTTGATTTTGTCGTCTTTCAGTGATACAAGAGATAGCACATTTAATTCGTCGAGTTATGAGAGAAACCAAACGCGCAATTTGGCCTGGAACGGCGCGGCGCAGAGAGCAACGATGACAAGGAGAAGCCATCGGCGCGGCGATCGGCATGTAAAACATATCAGCGCCTACAAGACTGCACGAATACTTCACGCATTGCATCAAACACAGTGCGGTCATTGCGGTCAGCGTGAAACGGATAGCGCCTACAAGAATGCATGAATACTTCACGCATTGCGCCGAATACAGTGCGGTCAGCGTGAAACGCATGACGCCTACAAGACTGCGTGAATACTTCACGCATTGCGCCAAACACTGTGCGGTCTGCGCGGTGCGGCGGCGGAAGTTAAAATCATTAAACCACATTCACGTTTGTTCTTTCATAATTTGTTCGTTCATTTCTTATGAATGGTAGGCCTTGTCCAAACAGAGAAAGGTTTACAAAACTTAACTTTTGCTAGTAGTGTTGACAGGGCATCCCCAAAAAATTTGTTCAACACGAGTAAACGCGCCTTATGCACCCCTCCCCCGCTGGCACGTTCACTTGATGGTTTTTATTGATGTTTCAATACGAATGAGAAG